ATCCCATTTCTATATTGATTTTTGATATTTTTTCTTTAAAAAGTCTGCATGGAAATTTCCACTCATTTTTTTTAGCTCATTTCTTTTAACATACTGTTAGTGTGTGTAGTTTTGTTCAGCGCGTTTCTTTTTGCAAGCCATTTCCCCTATCAGACTGCATTTTTGTACATTAATTTCACTGATATATGCATTTCTGCGCACACTTTTCACTAATATACACATTTTGGCATGCATTATACGGCTAGAGAACCATATCACAAAAACTGCAGAAGAGCACAGTGTGAGGGAGAGGAGTGTTTTACCTTTACCTATTAGTTTGAAAGTGCACGTCTGGTAAATTACATAAAAACCAAATGAATAAATCCCCCAACACAACTCTTGGGCCAATTGACTGGAGGACAGTAGCATGTACAGTGGTACCTCGGGTTACATATGCTTCAGGTTACATACGGTTCAGGTTACAGACTCCACTAACCCAGAAATAGTGCTTCAGGTTAAGAACTTTGCTTCAGGATGAGAACAGAAATCGTGCTCCTGCGGCGTGGCAGCTGTGGGAGGCCCCATTAGCTAAAGTGGTGCTTCAGGTTAAGAACAGTTTCAGGTTAAGTATGGACCTCCGGAACGAATTAAGTACTTAACCCGAGGTACCACTGTATATCCTCTTGGAAGAACAGGGAGATGAGGTCTCCCACCTGCAGTAATACGGCAAAACTGCTACTACCTTTGAGAGAGCAGTACCAGCCATTTGAAGAACTACATAAGACAATCTCTCTTTTCCTTACACATTGGCAAGATGTACTGTATAGGAAGAGGAGATAGGAATGAGAGAGGTTGCCCAATGCCGTGTGTATGCGTGCAAGAGTGTGAGAGGTGAACCATAGGCTTGGATGAGTCTCTCTGCCGCTACAGCTACTTGCCCAGCTACAGCCAGGACCAAGCCAACTACCACACAGCAATGGCAAGATGGGATGATCAACCAGTGCTAGTCAACTTTGTGTGTGTAGATAGGTGGGTGGGAGAGTTTCAGTTCAGTCTCTTATTTCCCCCCACCCCAACCACTCTGATATAGGTTTTGGTATGAACATATGTATTTCCTATTCCCTAGAAGTGGGGTGAGGCAAAGTTAGAAGAAGCTGGGGCTTTGAGTATCTCTCTCTCCCTGCTACGAGGTTACCTAAAGCAGGAGATACTATTGCACTTTGATAGCTGAAAGGGCTGGTATGCAAAAACCTAAATCTGGAGGGGGAAAGAAAGGTATTGTCACTGCTCCAAGATGGGTGGGTTAGATAGGAGTCATTTTCTAGGAGGAGATGACTATGCATGCCATAAGAAGAGCCCAGCTGGATCAGGCCAGCGGCCCATCTAGTTCGACATCCCCATTTTTACAGTGGCAAACTAGATGCTTTTGGGAAGCCTGCAAGCAGGACCTGAGCACAATGGCAGCCTCCCCTCTTGTGGCATCCAGCAATTGGCATTCGGGGGCAGGCTGCCTCCAACAGTGGAAGCATAGTCATGTCTTCTTTTCAGCCAGAACTCAGTTATGGCACCATTCTAAGAGATTGAGGGAGGTGCTCGTGGTGAGTTCCAGTATGTATTTTTCTAGAAAAATAGCACTGCCCACAGTATATAAATAAGATCCTTAGCATCGAAAGACAAAGGTAGCATTAATTCCGTCATGCTGAGATGACCTACAAACGACCTACAAAGAGCTTACTGGCTTTGGCTTTTGCCACCACAGAATAAGTTTTATGTGATATATGTAGGTGACAGAGATAATGGCATCGGCAGGCATGCCCACTGACTCATTAAATTAAATGGTAAGATATTTCTAGGAGTTAATTTCCTTCAGTAAATACACGGACAGCTAGTTATGACAATATTTGTGCCGCCAGATTTATGCCTGATTGACAGAGCATTAATCTCCCATACCAGGTCCATGCAAGTGATTCTGCATGTCATTTCATTAAAAACAACTGATTATATTGCAGGGTGGGATAATTATCACTGCTGCTCTGTAAGCAATTGCTGGCACGGTAGTACTGAAAAGCAGTGGTCTTTGGGGGGCTGCATGAGTTGGGGGTGGCACAAAGGGGATTGCCTTTCCTTCTTATCCATCATTTTAGCTGAGGGAGGATTCTTCTGCACAGAGTGATGGTTATCCAGAGAGCTTCATAGCTGACCAGGGAATTTAATCCGGGTCCCCATGGTGTAAGTCCAGCAACTACTATAGTGCACTTGGTCTCAAATTAAAACAGGCTAATAAATGAAAACAGCAAGCAACTCAAAGCAGCAGCACCAAATTCCATAAAAGTCTTAAATTAGCCTCACATACTAGATTTAACTGATAGTAGCTTAATAAAGGAGCCTTCACTTGGCATCTAAAAGTCAATGACGTATGAGCCAGGCAATATGCCCAGGGAAGGTATTCCATAATCAAGGTGTCACAGCTACTGAGCAAAGCCTCTCCCTAGTAGCCATCCACCCTCAAAAGCAAAAACTGCATTTTGAAATACAGCCTTTTATGCATTTCCCTCCAAACCAGTTCTGATCCTAATTGAGAAAAAGAATGACCTAGCTCCTTTTAAGCCAGTAGTTTATAAATAGCCATTCCCATCAGGCCCAATTAGAATCGACATGCTGGCCGGAGCTGATGGGAGTTGTAGTTCAAAACACCTGGAGGGCAACAAGTTGAGAAAGGCAGGTGTAAAATGTCAAGCAGCCCTCATATTTTCTCATCCTGTGCGTGATCTGGGACTGCCTGCTCTTCAGGTCTGGTAGGACCACAGAGCGCCTGCCGCTTACCACTGAGTGGTCACAATTTTGGGATCAGGGCTTTACAGTGCATGTGCTGTCCAAGTTCTGGTCCAGGATACTTGCCATGCTTGCGTATTTCTGCTGCAGATAGACTAGTCTGTAACTCCTTTTCCTGTTTTATTTTTAGCTAAGGAAGTGATTTATGGAACATAGCCACAACTCAAAGCTTCTACTTTGGGAAATACAATGGCTTGTACCCAGCATTAGTCAAAGTAGACCCACTTAAATTAATGGAAGTGAATCAAGCCAACTTGAATAAAATATTGGGGGGGCAAGTAAGCCCTACCCTGCATAACTGATCACATGACGCGGTGCATTAACACCATTTGTATGGTGAGGACTTCCGGGGTGGCGCCATCGGTAATGGCGGACTCCCTCTGATCCGGAGGGACTGGCTCCACGGAAAACGGGTCTGTTCCGCTACGGCGAAGCGGGGACCCTTCAAAAAATCACAGGCGGAGGAAGCCTGTGACCATGGGACTCGGCGGGCACCTTTTGCGCCCCCCCAATCCGTAAAGGAACCCAACTATGGGCTCCAGAGCGAAGAGGAGCTAGTGGCGCGGTGCTGAGAGTCAACTGCTTCTTCCGTGGAGCGAAGCCGCACAGCCGTTGCCGGAGAGTGCTACCTTTTTCCTGGGACAATTTGGTTACGAAAACAACTACCCGTGAGCAGATCAAATTTGGACAATTGGACTTTAAACAATGATCTGTGAGTAGAAGGGAAAATTGGATTAGGAAATTCTTCTTAATTTGGCACTGAAGCGGGAAGGTCTAAACAGGAAGTCAGCCTTCCGTTTCTTGTAGATAGATTAAAGCAAAGACATGGCAAACTAGAGTTCAGAAAATCGTTTGTAAAGGATCAACTTTCATCATCTAAAACTACTGAACCCCCTTCGGAAGCAGGAGAAGAGGGGGGATTTTTCCTGGATGGTTTAAACTTGCAGGAGAGAGTGTAAAGAAAAGTAATTTTCCACCGTCTTGAACCTGGGAGCGGGATGTCAGGACAGACGTTTTTGGGAAGTTCATTGACTATAGACAAATGTTTTTGACAGATAGTTAAAAGAAGAGAAACATAGTGATTCCATTGTTCTCTTTCGCATTTTAAAGGAACAGATACTGACAAAATATCTGAAAAAGGAAACTTTGTTGCTAGATCTGCTGTTAAAAAAAAATAGAAAAGAGATTGATACAAATAGAAGTTCTTCCCCTAGAGGGAGCTTGTGAAACTGTTATTAAACTTGAACTGGGGAGCTTCGCAGCTGCAAACAGATTAAGATCGTGGGAACAGACTTCTGACCTTGCATAACAATGTATTCAGAGGCTCTGGTGCGTGCTTTCTGTAAGACAAGTGCTTTATTGGAACAGTTACATGAGAAGACGGATTTGATGACTGTTGCGATTAGAAATTTTGGACAGGTAGTGGGTATCTATATAGAACCCACCCATGAATCAACTCAGGAGTGTGCTCTGACAGATCAGATGAAGGAGGAGATTGTTGTTGGACCTCGGGTGGTAGAGATGGAGGGAGCTGTGGCCCAGCAGGAACATGAGTTGTTGGATTTGACAAATGAACTTGGAAAAAGCCAGATTTGGAGAGATAGAGTTTTGTTGGGCTTGGAGATGGGGGGCTGGATAGACCCCCCTATGCAGGGATGTCTTGACTTTTCAAGTCTGGCAATGGGCCGTGAGGAGTTTGGGGTTGTGGGGGTCCTCAACTTTGGAGGGACTTTGAAACATGCTTTTAAATACCACATGGAGTTCAGTGTGGATTATGGAAAAGGGGCTGATCTGTCGAGAAGGGACAAAAATACTGTCAAGTTGGAGTTTCCACGAGTGAAAGGACCAGGAGACAAAGTAAAGTACAGGTATAAATATGAAGAAGATCTGCGGAAGGGACATGGAAGAGACTTAAGGGCCTTGGACATAAGATTACCAGGTTAATGAACTAGATGGATGGGACAGAAAGGACTGACAAAACCCGGGACCAGGAGGAAGAGACGTTGGATGAAGATTGGAAGAAAGTTTTTTAAAAATTTTATTTAGGATTGTTTTGTAAAATTAATGAGTATTAGAAAAATGTTGGAACGAAACTATTTGGCTTTAGCAGAAATGTTAAAAAGAACTATGCAAGAATATGTTATGGTTATGAGAAATTGGTATAAATAAGATTTAAGTTTTAAGTTCTAGGGTCTTTTATAGTAAGATAAGGTTAAAATAGATTAAGGTAATTTAATGACAGAATATTATGAAAAATGGGAAGGATTTGCTGTTATAATTAATAACTGGAATACAAAAAGGGAGGTGTGAGGAGGTCGATGAAATAAGGCAATGACAGTTAAGGATTTGGGAATATTGGATCTGTTTTTAAATGTTTGTGGTTTACTTTTGTTTTTTGGATTTTGATGTGTTTTGTCTTTTTTTTATTGATTTGTATGGTTTGACTGCTGTTTGCTTTTCCCTTGTTTTTTTCTTCTTTGTTTCTTTGTTTTTTCTGTAACTTTAAAATGCTTAATAAATATCATTTTAAAAAAAACACCATTTGTATGGCAATGCGCATCACCTTTGGAGGGTCTGGCCCCCTCAAATATTTGACCCTTGGACCCTAGGATTTGGCTCCTGTGGAAGTGAAGGAGTGCTAGGGACTGACCTTCTGCACTTTAAGTTTCTTCCCTGCTTGAATGCAGAATCAGGGCCCCATATCAGGGACTCTGATAGAGAACTGTTGGGAGTTAGGTGCAGATGTGGGGAAGGACCTGGAAAATGCATCTGATCCTTTTATAAAAGGAGTTCTGGACCAGGGAGAGGGGCAGGATCAGAGGAGCACACTTGTGTCCCTAACAAGTCAGAGACAGATGGAGAGAAAACTCCTGGATAAGTAACCTTGGGCACTCAGTGAGTGGTAGTCCTTATACAAAGAAAGGAGCAATCCTGAGTCCCTAAAGGGAGTAAGTGTAGATAGGGAAGCAGACCTCGTGTAGTGTATCCCTTTACCTCAGTGTTTGCAGACCTGGAAACATGGATAGCTCCTGGAAAGGAATGGCAAGAGAGTTTTCGCCTTCTTCATACCTGTCCCAGAAGAAAAGCCAAGTCACATTTGCTTCAGAAAGTAACGACTGCACTTACTGTTTGTAAGAGCTTTTAAGTTGGGATCACTGGCATGGACAGGGGCAGTGCTTTTTTTTCTAAAAAAAATGTTTAGGGGTACTCTCATTTTCCTACTCTTATTGAAATACTGCCCCTCAAAGAGGCCAAACTTAGATTCTGCGTCCCCCCCCCCCAGAAAAAAAGCACTGGACTGGGGTATTTAGAACATGGTGTAATACCTAATAAAAGCTGCTGAGGTTGGTATTGAGAAAGGAAGCATGATGTGCCCCTGTCTTAGAGTGGACAAGACTGGCTGAGCTCCATTAATTTCACTGAATCTACTCTGAGTAGATCTTTGATAAACAACAGTGTACTTGCTGCAGTTTCAACCTCTCTTTCCTCTGTGTTTTGCCACAGTCTCCAATTAATATAATGGGCACATCTTATTTAACAATAGACTCAAGTAATAATGAAGGCAGATTGGATATTGCTAATGGGGAAAACAATTGTTCCATTCTGTGGGTGAGACTAAATTCAGATCTACGCTATGTGCCCTAAGCATTTCAACCAAACAACAGTTGCTAAATTATTAGAATGCTATGGTATATTTGTATGCTTAAGAAATAAACATGTAATATAAATTTCTGGTGCCTCACCGAAGCTTAGATGATATTGTGAGACCTCAGCCCACTGAAATTCTCTCTGAAATTCTTTTTATTTTATTTGAAGAAAAAAACTCCCATAGATGATCACAGAGAAGCCTCTTTGATGCTATACACACATATCTGCATGCCCAATCTTCAAAGGCTTTCTTTTTTAACAGAGCCATGGTTTAATACTTTTTAAAAGTTTTGTTCCTATTTCATACACCATTTGATCTTGTCTTCAATCACGCGACGTGAGCTTTAAAATATAGTTTGCAGTCTTTCATTCCTTTTACTAGTCTTCCCTACTGAAAAAGCTCATAAAGACCAACGGCCCTTCTAGGCAAGACTGCATATGTTGGTTCTTTTTCATTATTAGCATGCTTCTGTCACATTCAAGACAGCAGGGAGACCTGATTTGTTACTTAAGAGCCATTAATAGATTACTACATCATAATTGAGTAGAAGCCATTTGTCTCTAGAAGTCAGGTGTTTAGCCAATTGCAATCAAGCAGGCTGGATGCACATCTGTTTTAACACTGGTCTTACCTGTTGTCTAATCTACTGTATATTTTGGAAACAGTTTGTCTGTCTGTCCATCTGTGCTCTATAAGTTTGGCCACCTCTTTTGAGAAACTGCCGCCAAATTTGACACGAATGTTCCCGAGGTAGGGGCTACAGTCTTGGTTGACGTTTGAATGCCAAGTGCCATTTTGAATCTAAATGGCAGACTAAAATATGACTAAAACTCACAAATTACACTGTCCATCTAAAAATCTCACAGGGGTTGTGTTATTTGAATTCCTAGGCAGTGCTGGACTGCTAGTGGAAGCTTGAAGGATACTAAAGGTTAACAAGAGGATTTTCCACAATTTTCATCATTTCTGACCATTGACGATTATAGCTGGGGCAGATGGGAGGCGGATTCCAACAATATCTGGAGAGCTGCAGGTTAGCTGCCCCTGTTGTAGAGGGTGAAGCACCATTTACAACTCCTTACATAACATGTCTGCATTATATATTAAAGTCAATTCAAGTTTCGTTCAGACCAATTCACCCATGCACCTCCATCTAAGCCAGATGGATTATACCTCTCTAACAGGATGAGGTGTATCTACTTGCTATTTTGCGGCATCACAAAAGTACCAGGAACCCTTGAGAGGAAACCTTAATCCCAATCTGTGTTAAAGTGGATGCTGGAAGGTATTATTTTCATTCCCACCATGTATTTGTTGCATTCAATACTGCTTTCATTCTGCTGCAGTTCAACTTCCACCAAAAACTAAACTAGAAACTATACAAAATTTTGAAAAACAGTTTCTCATTTCTATTACTGGTAATAAAACAATAATGAACAAAGCAAATTTCTTTTCTGAGTCACAACATTATGTGTCATGCTTGGTTGTTGTTGTGTTGTTGCTTTTTTGCTATTATGTTATACAGTATATTTTGTGCTTTTATGTAGCAAACCGCCCTCAGATCTTCAGCTGAAGGGTAGTACATAAATTTAATAAATAATAATATTAATAACAAGCCATCTCACCAAAGTCATGACAACTGCGAATAATGTGTCAGCTCAATCTGCTATCCAGGTGCTAACTTGATGGAGAACCACAAGTCCTTCCATTTCTCTCTCTTCTGGTTCTTCCTCTTCAAAACAAATTTGGCTCCAACTGTATTTCAGATAGAGGACTCCATTAATCGCTGTCCATCAAACAGAGGAGAGTTCTGCAAATGAAGTCATAGAATTGAATCATAGAATTGTAGAGTTGGAAGGGACCCCAAGGGTCTTCTAGTCCTGCCCACAACTGTCCCTGGGTGGGCTTGAACCACCAATCTTCTAGTTAACCATAAGCAGCATTGACCCACATGCCCACCCTACCTCCTATGCAGTTTAGAGTCCATGAGACCTGCTTCCAAGCAGACATGGGGTAGCCAGGTTGGTTTTGACCATACACAATTTTGGCTTTACATGCTCTCCTTGGAATGTAACCCCAGCGTAAATTGAGTCGCCTGTATGTAACTTTAAAAACGGCAACCTTTGTGTACTTGTTTTCCTCTTCCCTCCCAATTCCCTTTTCCTCCAATGTGGTGTCTATTAGACTGTAAGCCTGTGCACAGGTTAATCTGTGTACTGTCCCTAGGAAAATTAAAGTGCTTTGTAAATGATAATTTACTGTAACAGTATTTTCCCAGTATACCCCTGCCTCCACTTCCTTGTGAGTTTAATTTTAGATTACTAGCTTTTCAGACAGCAAACTGTAGTCTTATACTTTGCAACCCCTGTCACCCCTTTGGAATGAAAGTTCAGAATGAAACTATTAATTGGCCAAACTTTTAACTCTTACCTATTTTGGGATTTTTAAATTTTATTTTCTTCTTTGAATTGTATTGTTTGGGGCCATTTCGATGGCTGAAATGTTGTTTTAGAGAACAAAACACCTATGCTGATATTTCCACCTACGTGGTGCTGTTAGCGCAACTAAGACTGACACTGTTATTCCAAAGCCTTTTTTGAGGGTGTGAGAGAAGCGCTATGAATGCTTTTATTTAAAAAAGGCACATTGAAGTAAAAATAAATGAATAAGGCTGCCACCGTATTTTTTTACTTGGGAATAAGACCTATGGAACTTAGGAGGTTGCACGTAGAGATTTTGCTTGTAACAACATAACGATGTAAGAGGTGTTGAGAACAAATTTTAGTGGAACTAGACTGTGCAAGAGAATTTCCACCTGTTCTGTAAGAAAAAACGTGCAAGAGGACGTTAGTAATGTCATTAATAATATTACATTTATATTGCTGCCCATCACTGTATATTTCATGGGTGGTTTACAAAAAAAGCTAAAAGATAATGAAAATGAACCGCCAGTCATTTAAGAAACATAAAAGACATGATTGTTCATAAAATAAATCATTGGCTAAGAAATTTTTCTCCGCTGCTTGTCTGTGAAGGATTACTGATTTCTGCGGGTGGGTTGTTGTTGTTGTTTTCAAAGGGGGTATTTAATTTTAAAATATTGTTTTGACAGCGCGACTTGTGAGCCGTTTTTGAATTTTAAAATGATGATGTTGTTGTTGGTGCTGCGGTTCGTCCTCCGCCTTGAGCTCGTCAGAAAACGCGACGATCACAACGACGATTGTTTGAAATTAAGACCAATAGAAGTATTTTAATAATCATAACCATAATCATATTGTTGATGAATGTGATAAGAGAGTAACAATGGTGATTGTAAACGGGAGAGGGTTGAGGAGAAACGGACCGACCGCCACACAGGCAGAAGCGGCCAGGCGGGCTGAGGTAAGCTGGCCGCGGTGCATGTCGGGAACAGAGTCCGGGCTGGTGCTGCTGCTGTGGCGGCGGCGGCTACCCTCGTCGTCGTCGCCGCCCACCCCGCGCCACCGCCTTCTCCTCGGCCGCGCTGCACGCCGGGAGTCGGCGCGCGTCGGCCTCCCCGCAAGATGGTCTCCGGGCTGCTATCCCCTCCCCTCTCCGCACATGCGCAGTTCTTAAAGCGGGCCGAGCCTGCTCCCTCCTCCGCTGCTGCTCCCTCCCTCCTTCCTTCCTGGCGGCCGGGGCGCCACTGACAAGACCGGGGCGGGAAAAGGGCGGTCGACGCCGCTGCTGCTGCCGACGACGACGAAGGAAGACGACGACGACGACGAGCGCGACGACCATTACCGCCGAAGAAGGAACACCGCTGCGACCCCTCCGCCCGCCCCTCCTCAGCCAGCCTCCTCCCACAAGCTTCCTCCATCTTCTTTCTCCACAAGCCGGCAAAAGGGGAGGGGGCCGAGAGAGCCCTTCTTCGGCGAGGCCGGCTCTGTGCCTCCCCCGGGCCCAAGGAAGCGACCAGCAGCCCACCCCCCTCACTGTACGCGCTCGCCTCGCGCGCGGAACCGGCGCCGGTGAACTGGTGGGAGCGGCCTCGGAGGCTCGGGTAAGGCCGGCCGGCTTCTGGCTCCAGCGGGAGAAGGGAGGGTGGCACACCTATAAGGCGCGACACGGGCTTGTACTGTGGCGCTTTGCTTTCTTATGGCTTTATTTACTTATGCGTATTGGGCGCGGGGTGAACAGGAGGTAGGCCCCGGCTTGGGGCTGCTCGTGTTGCTGCTGTTGCCGCCGCCGCCGCCGCCTCCTCCTCCTCCTCTCCCTCCCTCCCTCCTTCCTTCCTCGCTTCTTTCCAGCTCGCTCTCAAAATGGCCGCCGCGCCCGTTGATATTGAGACGGGGGTGGGGGGGGAAGGGAGGAGAGAAGGAGAAAGGGAGGGATGAATAAGGCTTCCCTCCCTTCTCTCTCTCTCCCCGACTCGCATCCTTACCGTCGTCATCTCGTGTTTGTGTTTTGCCCCCCCTTCACGCCCCAACCTTCATTCGCACGTCTCTCTGAAATGCACGCTGCCCATTCTTCTCCTCTGTCGGATACCCCCCCTCTCTTCTCCCCTTCTTTCCTTAGGTGACTAGGCAAGAAAAACGCGTATGGCGTGCTTTCCTTTGCTCCCGCTCATCCACCCTCCACACACAAACGTTGTTCTTCCTCCTGGCCTTTAGCCACCCCTGTACTATGATTACCTCTGCCTCTTTCCCCGCATCTCTCCTGAACATCTCTCCATGCACCCACACCCCGCACCCACCACCTGCCAAACGGCATGACCCTGTTTATTCTTTTCTCGGTCCCCCCCCCCATAGTAGGTGGGTGGGTAGATTGGTTCCCCCTTTTTACACCTCCCCTTTTGAGATATTACCCTTTCTCAGTCTCTAGTGGAATCAAGGATATTTTTGCTCTTTCATCCTACTTTCCTTTTTAACGGGAGTGGGGCACGTGTGACCCTCTAGTGGGGGGCTGCACCTTGTTTCTCCTCTTCCACACCCATCTTATAGTGACACTTTCTTGTCTTCTAATAGGAGGCTAAAGGGCTTCTTTTCCTTCTTACCCCTCTTTCCTGTTAGAGAGGGTGTACAAATGAGTATATAGTTGCCCTTTGACTTCCAATTTTGTTTATCTATAGAGGAGGTCGGTGGCCCCTCACCTTGGCTGAGAAACTAGCCTCCCTTTAATGGAGAATCTGTTACATTTTCCATTAAAGGATATAGATTTTCCATTGGAGGGAGGGGAGAGGCTCCTAATACTGCTGTTTTACTATTATCTGAATTCTCAGCATCCCTCTCCAGCTGGATGTGATCTTTTCCAGTTCTTCAGTTCCTCAGTTCTGCCGTAGCATCTCCGCCCCATAATCCTGCGTTACTGCATTTCTCCCCTCCCCTCTGTACACACCTCTTCATCTCCTTTCTCTAGCTGGAGGAGTCTGATCACACCCTTTGCTCTCTGGTTTTCCCCCATTCTCAAGCCATCTTTTAAAGCATAATTTGTTGGTACCCACTACCTCCTACTACCACAGCATCTCTCTACATCCTCTGTTCCTAGCTCTATCATCTCCCCTTCTTGCATCTGCTTTGTCACTCTGAAACCTCATCATGCTGCCTTGCTTGAAGGCCCTTCGTGCTCTAGTCTAGACCAGCCTTTGCACCCATCTTTCTTTTGCTTCTGACATTCAGAATCCTGCTTTTCTTCAGCTTTAGTCCTCTACTCCCAGCCCTGTTATATCTGTAGTATTTCTTTAATCTCCTTTCTTGCAACCTCCGGTCCATTTTTCAGTTCCATATTTCTGTAAGCTTTGTCTCACAGCCCACAACTCTGGTCTCCTACCACACTCTTCTCTTCTTTCATTATCTTTTCTTCATATTTACTGCCACTCCACTGCTTGACCACCTGCATTCCATAATGATGATCTCTTCTGGCGACTTCACAATAAATAGGGTGGAGGAGGTTGTAGTGATAGTGACACCAGTAAAGGCCTGGAAGTAGAGAGGAAGTCAGATTGAAAGGAAATATATCATAGATCTCTCCCCCCCCCACATGCTCCTTGCATTTCTTTATTCCTTTCTTGTTGACAAAAGTGGGGGGAGAATTACTGTTTGTTGGCAAGTTGGCCTGCTTCTCTGTGGTGTTTGTTTTAAACAAGATGAGTGTTGGGGTTTGATCTGTGGTACACAACATAAAAGAGGTGTCTGGCAGCTCTAATCTGGTGGTCTGTCAAAAGGCCCTTTTCCACCAATCTCCCTGCAGTGACTGAGTAAGAGAAAAATCATTGCTAGGAGGTGGCTCAGACCTTCAGAACAAGCTGCAGCAAAAATGGGAGGAGGACGTGATGGAAGACTTAGGGAGATCAGATTCCACATGTTGGGGGTTAGCACCTCATTGCTGGTAGAACCTCATTGCTGGCAGCTTAGGGAAGAAATTGCCCTTTTGAAAGATGGGGAGGAGGAGGAGTGATGCTAGTAATGCCAGCAAGGAATCTCATCTCATTAAGGTGCTTGTTTGTTCTGTATTGTTCAGAACACAGCTCTTACTGTAACAATTTAGCTTTGTGATTCTCTCTCCCCTTTTACCTTACTTCTGTGAAGAAGTTAAGGTGGGTCACACACCTATAGGAGAGGTTTTTGGAGTGGTGATGTGGGTGGGGGAAAGAGAAATTATGCACTCAGCCTCTGAGACTAGTCACATCCCATCTTATTTGCTTTAGTAGCATTGGCTGGGGGGAAAAATGTTCCGATACTACTGCAGTATGGCTTGATTGATGCAGGTCAAATATTTTTGCAGTGAGTTTCCTAACCATGAGTGTTGGAAGCTATACTAACAGTTTTCACTGTGCCTCTCCCTCTGTCCACCCAAAGGGCGGTGGGGGGGGGGGAGAATAGTAATGTATTTAGGTGCATTAACCTGTTTGCATATTCAATCCCCCCCCCGGAATTCTTTTACATCTTGCTACTGTGCATATGTCACATTTGTGGACTGCTCTAGCGGATGTGGAGGAGGGGGTGGAATGGTCCGAATTCTCAGATTTATAATTAAACAATTGTGCACCATTGAATTGCTTGGCGGTGTGGTTCAGGATTTTTCAGTAGCTGAATTATTATTATTATTATTATTATTCAGAGTGGTTTAGAATATCCCTGAATCAGATATTTTGAACAAAGAGAACATTTTTAACAAAAGCCTCTGCCACAGATACATTAGTTTGTCAGTAATGTTTTGTGTGTTCTTGTTTGGTTGGATTGTGTTTATGGAGGGCGAGTACAGCGAGCACAGCCATTGAGGAGAAAACTGGGTGGAGTAAGGCAGAAGCTGTGAAATGGCTAGATTACCCTTTTCATAGCATTCACACCACCCATTTTCTGCTTGTGTTTTTGCTGGAGTGGAAGGTATAGTAATTGCAGTAACAATGAAGTCTGTTCTTTAGGGAGGAGTCCAGTGGTAAAGAAATCAAGTGAATGTAGTAGTCTTTATTTATCTCACCACCCCCCTTCCGTAGATCTTGATTTGTCTAGCAGTAAAGTAGCCAGTCAATGTTGGAAAGCAAGGGTTTTTGTTGTTGTTTGATTATCTTTCTGATTGACACAGATTTTCACTTTTTTACTTCATTTGAGATATGATATATTTACACAAATAGTACATATCAAATTTCTACATTAGTGAATGGTGGCTTCATTTGTTCTTACATTTTGTGGTGGTTTTCTGTAGCAGAGTGTTACCTTTACACTCTGTCTTGTCTTGTCTCCTCTCCACAAGTATGATCAAATTGAGCACTGTTATCCTTTGACACATTTTTAAAGAGTACAGAAAAAATGTAGGACAAAAGGATATGGAAAACACTCTGATGGAATGGTAAACATGATGTTCCATCTTTCTTTACACTTACCTAATGAAGGATGGCAGTGTTCTCATTGATATTCAATCTTTGTCATGCCAAATCCAATTCTTAACAAGGGTGAATATACATAGATTGTATCGGACAAAGCACAATTTGATTCTTATCAATATGGGTGTGGATTAAATTGTACCATATACGGTATAAATTTTTAGCATTTCTTTTATGAGTGGCTACTGTTTCCTGCATTTCTTCAAACCAAATAGTTTGGTTGTTTGCTAGAGTGTCTATTGTATAAGGGGACTCAAACTCTAAATTGACTAAAACCATTGACCTTGAGATTTGGGTTGACCCTGAATACTCACACTTAACACAGGAAGAAAATGCATATATGCAAAGAAAAAAAAAGGGAATTAATAGGATTATAGGTCCTGTTCTGTCTCCTCCTCCCACTTTCAAGGCTTATTTATATATAGATATATAGTTACATAGATAGTCTTTTTAGCTTATTATATGCTTATATGATTTGCTTGTTGATTATATAATCTTCCTTTTGGCCTTGCTGAAGCGCAACCTAAAATGGAACACGTTTTAAATGTTTTGTAAAGTTTGTGGCAGATTTAATATACTTGCTTTTGGGTTAGAATGTCACACATTGCCTTTGAATATAATCCAGAAATTAAAAGGGTCTTAATTATTATATATAGTGGTACTCAGTGTTGAGGTGCTTTTATTTTGTGAATAGGTTAAAGTTGTCATTAGGAAAATCTGTTTTTGGTGTTTTTGGTGGTGGTGTTGTTTACTTTCAAACGGTACTACTATAAAACTTCTAAGGATGTTACTGTTCTAGCCTGTGGTATTTACATTTCAGGTGGCAAAAAGGTTTGACCCTTTCTATATTTTTCATTGCCTGTTTATGGGTGGACAGTTCATGTCTGACACATGGTGAATACAGAACAAAGATTGTGGCTGTCATTATATTACCATAAAATTTAACATGTTGTGAATATTGGGGTGAAATTCTGCATCCTGATGTGTGTGTGTGCTTATCATGTCTCTTAGAAGTATGGGAAACCTTCCCTAGTAAAAGGATGCATTGTCATGTTCTCAGCCTCTGTAAAAATCTTTCTGGTTTATGATGTTGTACTCTGCAATTTCCCATTCTTTCCCTTTTAAATTGTACCTTAAATTGTTTTGTAATATACCTACATTATGCTATGCATAATCTTTGTCAGTGCTGTAAGCTGAGTCATGGAATCAGCTGTGCAAATGGAATCATATCTGGGCAGAGGTCTCACTGTTCATTATTACATTTAGAATTGCAATCTAAGAATTCATAAAGTGAATTTATGGCTTCTTGGAGCCCAGATCCAAGTCCAGTCAGATTCTTAACTTTTTTGTATTGCTGTACTTAATTTTTTCTTGATTCCTGTTCATCCAAATCTTCATTTGGGACAGTTACTGTCTTAACTACATTCTTAGCTTCTGTACCATGTCTTAGGCATGATATGGTAGAGATGCCACTCAAGTCATCTCTCAGTAGAACTTATAAATATGCATCAGAGTGGATTTAGAACTTCACTTTTACTAAATACTATAAAAAAACTCCTTTGGATGATCTGTTGATTGTTCAGTGTGGTGTAATAAATAGTGTTGGACTTTGAATGGGAAATCCCAGGTTCAGATGCCTTCTCAGCTTTGAAGTTTATAAGCTAACCTTAGACCGAGAGAGAATCACTGGTTCAATGTACATCACAAGGTAGTTGTGAGAATAGAAGGGAGTAGGGACATTATGTATACCCTCTGAGCTTACTGGAAGAAGCTGGGATAACTTTTCAGAATATAAAATTTAAGAAATCATGAACAACTGAAATGTAGGCAAGATTACAAGTATTTAAACAAGGGTAAATTCAGGAGTAGGACTAACAGATTGTATCAAACTTAAGTTCTACTCAGAGTAAACCTATTGGAATTAATGGACCAAAGTTAGCTATATCCATTAATTACAGTGAGTCTGCTCTGACATTGTATATTATTATCAAACTGTGTGGCATAATGGAAAGTCAAAGATAGCAATAATATAGTGAATAGGATACACACGGCCTGTCGAGTTAACCTTATATGCTACCAGTCATAATTGGAACTCTGCTTCTGTCAACTGTAAAACAAGGGAAAGGATGCTTAGCTACTCTTGAGTACCACACTTGCCTTAGCACTACTTTTAATGGAAGATTAATAGTGTCTTTATTTGAACATGGGACAATGTGTCTTAAATAGGATAAACCTGGATTGAGACTATAAATTAGAGTTCTGGTTTTGGAAGTTGTGGGTTCAATTGCAATAATCTGGGCTGGGCAGTCGTTAATTGTTAATGTATGGTGTTTGCTAATTAAGGTGGGGTTTCAGATGGAACATTGTTTGGCTTATACGTCACCTGATGTAGTCTATCATGCACTTTAAGAGGTAAATTAAAGGATTGCTAGGAGTTTGACAGACTTGACTGCTGCTGCTACTCATTGACAGTGTACTCTCTTCAGTACAAATGCACAGCTAGGAATCAAATGTCTTCATTCAAGGCTACCCCATTAGCAAAGAAACATCTATGTCTATTAAAAATTGACATGCATCAGGACGATTTAAATCATTATTGTAAATCAAGTTTCCCATTTCTGATTTATTTTTTTTGAACAGCATGCCTGCAAACTAGTTGCTATAACAATTACCACATATTGGCTGATAACTAAATGAGTCATTATAGGATTACAATTTAAAACATTTGGCCTTGCAGCCCATATGTCTTTTGCACTGCAAAATTATACCTGCTTAACTAGAATTCGGCTTTGTCTGACTCTACATATATACGAGGATACTAAGCAAGATCACTTGCTTGAAGGCTCAGGATGCAGTCAAAGTGAGATTTACAGCTCAGTCTCAGAAGTAAGTGTTCAGAACTTTCCTGAAAAGGAACTGGTGGTAGTTACTCAAAAAGTATTTATCAATGAGATGAAAGTCTCAGTCCTGTTTAGCTGTTGTAAACACTCATAATTTGAGAACAGAATACATGGCAGAGTTGAGATACTTGGATGTCGTAAAATAGGAGTACAAGAAAATTAATGTGGGTCCCATCCTGATGAGACATGTGGTGGCATCTCCTGAGATGTGATACCTTTGACACCCTAGTCCCTAGGTCCCATAGAAAGCACACAGTAACTGAAATATGATGTATTACTTTTTATGTTTCTTATAATGCTTCAGTTCAAAAGTTTGATATGTCTGTATATGATTTTATTATGGAACATTTAAATTGCTCTTTGGTATGTCATGACTCAGATTTATGGTAAATGTAGACTTTAACCAGCTTTCCTTTTTAAACATTGGCTAAAGAGAAAAGAAAAGCCTTACTGGATCAGGCCAAAGGCCCATCTAGTTCAGCACCCTGTTTTCAGTGGCCAACTAGATACCCAAGGGAGGCCCACAAGCAGGAGCTGAATGTAGCAGTACTCTTCCCATTGATTCCAAGCCACTGGTATTCAGAGACATACTGCCTCCAACTCTGGAGGTAGAATACAGCACTGTGGGTAGTAGCCATTGCATAATTGTAGATTTAGTATAATTGAAATTTATAAAGTTTAATCCAAAATACATTTAGTTCCCCCCTCTTGTAAGAACTTAAAAAAATCATACAATTTAATTACTTCTGTCAATGATAGCTTCCCAAATAAATAGATCTGACAGCTTAACAGATACAAAATATATTTTTAGCCATTCTGTTCTAAGTTTTCTTACAGTCAACATTAGGAAGTTCATACAGTGTCAGTTTGAGTACTGTCAACTTCATTCCAAACACTATTTTAAAATTTCATCCATCCAAATTCCTGCAGTGCTTTTAGGTGGTTTAGTTATGCTTACAGTGTTAAGAATGTTGGTATGTTTGATAAATAAAAATTTGCAGTCTTAAGAGGTTGCTCTTGTAAAGTAATGTCTGATAACATATTAGGAGGACAATTTTAAATGTGCCTTTTAAGTTGAGGTATTAAATGAAACAATTGTTCTGACAATTTTGAAACATTGTGTGTGCTCAGCTTAACCAGCAATGAGTTGTTTAAGCTTAATGTGTCCAACAAGTTTTGGGATGGATCTTCTGGAACAAAAAGGTTTTCTCTGAGGGAGCCACTTACTGGTGCTTCAGGCATCTATGAAGCTATTGTTTCTGAGATGTCAAATTTCTCTTCCCATTCTTTTTTTGACACATCATGGAAATGTTAACCTTACTGTTTTAGATGATTTTAGCATTCTCTTCAGCATAATTTTCATAATGCTTTTCATAATTTTTGCTTCTGAAGTATTTCTTTAAAGTGTATCTTTGTTAGAGATTGGACACAGAAAATCAGAGCTCAGCTAGAGCTGAAATGGCACTTGAAGGGGTATCTGTGGACTTAAAGCAGATTAACAATTGGGGCTGTTTGAGAGCAATGGTTGTTTAGGGGCTAAAGGGTTGGGTTTAGGTGTGGGGAATGGGTTCAGGTTTGAATTCTGCTTTGCAGCTCACTGAGTGGGTTTAGGAAAGCTAGTCAAGAGTGTTTGAAGTTTAATGATAAGTTAATGACATGTCTGAACTGACAAGGCATCAGCTTGCAAACCACAACTTTAAACAAATGGTTTGAAGGGGACTTGCACACTGTGGTTTGGTGTGATGCTTGAATCAATAAACTATAGTTTAAAACAATGCTCTGCCTCTGGAGGCTACTTCCTTGTAGTGAACTTGCAAAGCAAAGAAGATAAAAAGCAACGCAGGCAAGCTGCTGTAAGCTACGTTTGTATGTCTGGTTAGCATAACAACCATCGTTACAATATTGTTTAAATTCAGCCATTGTCTATTTGCTTTATCTACCAACAATGCAGTCCTAAGGCATACAGCTCCAAGCTTCTTGGAGGAAGGACAATATAGAGATGTAACCAGTAAATGAAGATGAGAACACCTAAAGTGACCATAGGATTGTATCCAGTGCTAATCCTATTCAGAGTAGACCTGTTGAAAATAATGGCTGACTAATTTGGGTCCGTTAATTTAAATGTGTTTACTGTGTGTCTACTCTTAAGAAAATTTAGTTGGATACAACCCCAAGCATTTTATTCTTTGGAACATCTCTATGCCTGGATCAGAAGATGTTCATAGATTGTATTGTCCACTGGTACTAATCAGACTTTATCAGGAGATGTTTCTGATGAGAACACTCTATTTTGTAATCAGTGATTAATTGATGCAATCAAAATTTTCCCTACTTTAATTACTACTGACTTACAGTATCTGTCCTTTCTCTTTAATGCATATGTTTTAATCCATTTCCTTTTGGAAATGGATTCATAGTTATTGTCAGGTAACAAAAATAATGATTGATTTAAGATGGAATATACATCTTTTTGTTCATACTGTTTCAGTATGATCTACTTTATGTAATCCTGCAGCTGGTCAGAGGTGGACTGTGTTTACAGAGTTTTGTAGTTGTAGTATGGTTGTCTTGCCGAAAGACTTACCTCCTCCAAGCAGAACATTTTGCCCATGAGTGGCTTTCTCTTATCCCACTCAGTCACTGCATGTAATCCAGATAAGTAATCCATGGAGAACTGATGTGTACTGCACCGAGTTGCTAAGTGGCTTAAAATGTGATGATGTTTTTCTCCTTGACCATGAAAAATGAGAACTCATAACACCATGATGGTGTGTTCTCTTTGCAGCATGTTATGATTTGGATGAGATGGGCTAACTACATAGGAATGCGTATAAGGGAGAGTATTGCCTCTTTGTAAGTCCTACCATCCAATTCTGTTGCATTCTGTTTCATTGACTTTTAGACCTTGTTGCTGTTTATTGTTGTAACCAAGGGAAATCAAAGATATGGTCACCAATTTCTGTGCCAGATGCTTGGCTGGCCATTAGTGGCACAAGCTTTCTCTACATAACTCCCCTCCAACCCCATATGATTTACTGTATCTGATGTTGACGTTAAAAAACTAATCAGATATGAATCTGTTCAAGTTATTATCTGTTCCAGTAACTGAAGAGCCCATATAAATTGTAGGGAAGTGTGGTGATTAAGTGTGCCACTTTATTAATTACAATACAGCCTTCAACATTCCTCTTTCTACAATGTCTTGCTGGGCCAAAGCTTCAGTTTTCCAGAGCTTGGATCAAGCAATATAAACATTCCTTTTAATTATTAATAACTAATGAGGGCTGTTCTTAAGCACTATGTATATACTTGGATCAAATTACCAATTTCTCTAATAATAAATAAATTGGATGTACCCTTTTCAAAATGGTTATATTGTTTTGCCTTTCAAAGGTATATGGACAGCTGCAGTACTGGTGTAATGAGGCAAGTCAGGGAAGATGTGACTAATAAAGTAGCAGTAGAATTGTGAACAGGTAGTGCAGAACTTGGGTCATTAGGCATTCTCTCTTATCTTTCCTATAATAGGAAATGAAATATTGAAAAATCAGTTTTCTCTGAATAAACTTAAGAGTTTGAATCTTTTCATGTTACAAATTGCCTTCCATCTTCGAGTGACTTAATTTTTCTTACAGTGAACTGTAGTGCACATGCAAATTGCACTGAGGAATTTAAAATACCTTCCTTTTAATCTAATGGATATCTGCCTTGTTAATTACTTGCACTGTAATTCTTAAAGTGTATTAAAATATCAGGTGATTATCACTCAAGGAACTGTGCCACACACACACACGCTTATAGAAAAGGGTGAGAGAGGGTTTTTGTGTGTGGCATTTGGGTGTTTGTTTTGCTCATACAGGAAAACCAACAGCATAGCTGTTATTAGGGCCAGCAGTTCAGTATATGATCTGCAAAACAGATTAACCAATCAACTCCCTAGATTAGGTTTGCATATACCCTACCAAACTTTTATGATATTTTCTTTAAGCGTAATATTATATTTCAATATTATATTTAAAAACTGCAGAAGTAACTTCTGGAATTGTTTTCTGCATTAGAGTGAAATTCCGAGCATGTTAACTTAGAAGCAAGCCCTACACTGAGGTCCAGCGCTGAGGGCCTTCTGGCAGTTCCCTCGCTGCGAGAAGTGAGGTTACAGGAAACCAGGCAGAGGGCCTTTTCGGTAGTGGCACCTGCCCTGTGGAATGCCCTCCCAGCAGATGTCAAGGCAATAAACAACTATTTTACTTTTAAAAGACATCTGAAGGCGGCCCTGTTTAGGGATGCTTTTGATGTCTGATGCTGTATTGCTTTTAATATTCAGTTGGAAGCCGCCCAGAGTGGCGGGGTATAAAATTATTATTATTATTATTATTATTATTATTATTGCTACTACTGCGTCTAACATCCAATTAAGTTTACAGTGGTGCCCCACAAGACGAATGCCTTGGAAGACGAAAAACTCGCAAGACGAAAGGGTTTTGCGGTTTTTGAGGTGCTCGTAAGACGAATTTCCCTATGGGCTTGCTTCGCAAGACGGAACGTCTTGCGAGTTTGTTTCCTTTTGAAGCGGGAACTGGGCTGGCAGGGAGCGAGCAGGGGAGCGACCTACCTTTTCCAGAGGGATCCTCTTCTGGAGAGGGCACAGAGGAGGCAGGTGAGCTGGGATCCAGCGGATCTGGCTGGGTCTCTGTGCCGCCTCTGCCTCTGCCTCTCTCTCTCTCTCCCCCTCCCCACGTGGCTGCTCCATTTTGCTCTAACTGCGCGAAGGCAGGAGGAGGCGGGACAAAGGAGGAGGAGGAGGAGGCATCCACTGTGCTTGGGCGGCCGCGAAGGCGCCTTTGCGGGGGTGGGAAGAAGCCGGGAGCAGCTGCCGAGACTGTGGGGAGCCTGGCGGCGTGGCGCAAGGTAACGGGGGGAGCAAGGGAGAGTCCGCGCCGGGCGCTTCGTGCGTCCGCCCTCGGTTCCTGGGCTCAAACTTCTTTTGGCACCTCGTGGAGAGAGAGGGAGATGAGCGGGCTGGGGCTTTGATGTGGGACGCGGTTTGGCGGAGCGAAGACGCGGCAAGGCTTGGCGACAGAGGAACGGGGGCTGTTTTCGTGGGGAGGTGGGAGGGGGTGTCTTTGCCTCTTCCCGGCAACAGATCCTCCAGGCTGGGGAACTCCTCCTGCTGGGGAGCGACCCGCTTTGTGCTTTGCCCGCTATCCCATTATAATACAGTACCAGGGTGCATCCGTGCTTCGCAAGACGAAAAAATCCGCAAGACGAAGAAACTCGCAGAACGGATTAATTTCGTCTTGCGAGGCACCACTGTACTTCAGAATTGCAGCTTTCAAGATGTGGGATCAGGCCTTTACTAGGACATATGCAGATGGGATGGAGAATAAAAAAAATGTTCTTTTAAGTCAGAGGCAGTATGCCACTAACTATCAGTTGCAGAGGAACAGCAGACAAAAGTTACTTCCATCATGTCTTGCTTGTAGGCTGTGCAAATCACCTGGTTGGTCACTGTGGGAAACAGGAACTAGATGGACCTTTGATCTGATCTGGCAGAGCTCAGGTTCTTTAAAGAAATACGACTTTAATCAAACCATTTAGTCACCCTTTACATGAATTCAGAAGGGACTGTCCAGTGTTTTCCTTAAATGAAGCCACCAGTTTTCTCCAGGTCCAAATCATTGTGTTGGTGCTTGGTATTTGTGTCCTCATCAAAACTTTGAAGAACAGCAGCTAGCCAGGATGCTTAGTGCCATTTCCCTTTGGAAGATGAGAATATCTTGCTCCCCTCCCCATGTCTGAAAATACTTAGTTATGTATTTGCATTTTTATATCATGCTTATGAGAGGGACCCAGTTTTAATGTTAGTTTTTAAGCATCTGGAGTTTTTTTTTTTTTTTTAAAGCAATTTATTGGGTTTTACAATAAAAATAAACATATTAAACAATATAACCTTTGTCTTGACATAATTTCACATTTTCTTTGGACTTCCTCACATCTCCCGCTCCCACTTTCATCGTTATAACATTTTGTCAGCAATTTATCATCTTATTTAAATTCTTATATCACTTCTATATTTCATAACCTTATAATTTTCAAAGGGAATTAAATTTTCACAGTCTTACTTATTTTCATAGAAAACTTCTAAATTTAGTGGTGCTCAGTTATTTTGGTCTAGCATCTTATTTAGCATTCACTCAAATTGCAATATTTTTGTAAATAGTTCTTGAATTTCTTCCAATCCTCCTCAATCCTTTCTTCTCCCAGGTCACGGATTCTGCCGGTCATTTCAGCCAGTTCCATGTAGTCTATCAGTTGCATCTGCCATTCTTCCAGTGTGGGTAGATCTTGAGTTTTCCAATGTTTTGCAAGAAGTATCCTTGCTGCTGTTGTTGCATACATAAAAATGTCTGATCCTTCCTTGCCACCCCTTGGCCGACAATACCCAAAAGGAAAGCCTCTGGTTTCTTAGTGAAGGTATATTTAAATACCTTTTTCAATTCGTTATAAATCATCTCCCAGAACGCCTTCACTTTAGGGCAAGTCCACCAGAGGTGGAAGAACGTTCCCTCAGACTCTTTACATTTCCAACACTTATTATCAGACAGGTGGTAAATTTTTGCAAGTTTGACTGGGGTCATATACCATCTATAAATCATTTTCATTACATTTTCTTTCAGAGCGTTACATGCAGTAAACTTCAATCCATTACTCCACAACCTTTCCCAGTCCTCAAACATAATATTATACCCAATATCCTGTGCCCACCTTATCATAGCCGATTTAACCGTTTCATCTTGTGTATTCCATTCCAGCAGCAAGTTATACATCCTTGAAAGTACCTTAATCTTTGGTTCTAACAATTCTGTTTCTAGTTTCGATTTCTCCACCTGGAACCCTAATTTCTTATCATTTTTAAAAACTTCTTTAATCTGAGCGTAATGTAACCAATCTCGCACTTTATCTTTCATTTTCTCCAAACTCTGCAATTTCCAATTGTCTCCATCCTTTTCTAATATTTCCCAATATTTTGGCCATTTAGCCTCCATATTGGGTCTTTTCGGGCCTTAGCTTCCAAAGATGAAAGCCACCTTGGTGTTTTATTTTCCAGCAAGTCTTTATATTTTGTCCAGACATTAAACAGTGATTTTCTGACAATATGGTTCTTGAAGGCCTTATTTGCTTTAACTTTGTCATACCATAAATATGCATGCCATCCAAAAACATTGTTAAACCCTTCCAGATCTAACACATCAGTGTCTTCAAGAAGTAGCCAGTCTTTTAGCCAGCAGAACGCTGCGGCTTCATAATACAACTTTAAGTCCGGCAGGGCAAAGCCCCCTCTTTGTTTTGCATCAGTTAATATCTTAAACTTAATTCTGGGCTTTTTGCCCTGCCAGACAAACTTAGAAATGTCTCTCTGCCACTTCTGAAAGCACTCCGTTTTGTCCAAAACCTGAAGTGTCTGAAATAAAAACAACATCCTTGGCAATACATTCATCTTAATAGCAGCAATTCTGGAGTTTTTTGAGACCATATTTTACTGTGTTTTTCTTCATTTTTTGGGGGGTCAATATGCATTCAAAACTACTGTGCCAAAATACTACCCCCCGTCCTTATATTGTGAACAGGAACTTATGACAATTCTGTGTGTGTTTAAAAGGGGGGGGGAGTAAGATTACTTTTAAAAAAAATGGCAGCTTCATCATTGCTTAAAGAGATCAAGGCTTTAGTTTAGTTCCTAGTAGAATTGGGATCTAAAGCAACATTTACATTTATGTACATGAAATTGTATCCCGTGACTACATATACTGAATGCATTAATGGGATCATAATGGAAAAGCAGAAGGAGGTGCAGGTGCTTGAAAGTAAACTTTGTGAACATTTTTACAGAGAATTCTTGCTTAAAGGAGCAAAATCCCTTTACCTCATAAGTGCTAGTGAAACGGATAGATATTTAAAATTCATTTTATTTTGTAAAAAAGTGATGCATATAACAAATCCATGATGGGAGAGTTGCTTGTCTTGGTGGATAATTTTTTTTACAAAAGAAATATCCTGTACATTCTCCCTGAGCAATTGACAACTTGATAATCTGGTCCCATCTCAAGAGAACCTCAGAGAGAACAAATGTGTGGTACTGCTTTTGCAGAGTCAGGTAACAGTATGACCCTTCTTTTGTCCTCCAAGACTTGTAAAAATGGGTTGAAATAAAGGTGATACATAGTCTGACACTACACATATTTACTCTGAAGTAGCCTTTCTGAGTTCAGTGGCTCTTAACCCCAGGTTGTTATGTACAATATTGCTGTCATAGGGTTGTTGTTTTTAAATACCACCTTTAGTGGAAACCAAGGTGGAAATACTGTAGCCAATGAGGACTAATGGTACATTTGGGTATTGAGCAAGCTTTGTAATACTGGATTCTTTAGCAACACACAAACATATCAGTGTTGCAGACAACTAACCATTGTGAATTTGTATGTTACTTTATATTCTTGAAAATGTTTGCATAACTAACATTTCTTGTTTGGTCAAATATTTTGTTTGGTCCAGATTGAAAAGACCCCCAGTTTTGGAATAGAAATGTAATAGCCTTCTAGAAAGCTAAAAACTTGGGACAAATAGAAACTAACTTCTCAACTTTTCACGTGCTGTTTCTTCTACGTGATGTTCAACTGAGGCAGTCAAGAAGCAAGAGCTGAACAAGTTTCCAGAATGCACCACTGATCCAAATACCTGATGTTAGTCTCTGGTTTGAAAACATTTTTCCAGCACAGAATTTAACACACACACCAAATTAACATCTACTTTTTTGAATTTGAATTTCAATTGGAAAAGCTTTTTCTTTTTATCTAGCTTAATTTCTATAGGTGGACTTGAATTTTTAAATTGATAAGAATAATGTGTGGAAAGTGATCCCATGAGTTGGTTGATTATTTTCTGTTACCTTGTTCTAATTCCTAAAACATTTAACTCATTGCTTAAACTGTGCAAAATCTGCACATGAATTTTAAGTTCACTTCTTGTGTAGCACTGAGTGATAGTGGGATACTATATTAATTTTTAGTAGTACAGTGGTACCTCGGGTTACATACGCTTCAGGTTACAGACTCTGCTAACCCAGAAATAGTGCTTCAGGTTAAGAACTTTGCTTCAGGATGAGAACAGAAATTGTGCTCCGGCGGTGCGGCAGCAGCAGGAGGTCCCATTAGCTAAAGTGATGCTTCAGGTTAAGAACAGTTTCAGGTTAAGTACAGACCTCCGGAACGAATTAAGTACTTAACCCGAGGTACCACTGTACATCTCTGTATGTTACTCGTGAAAAATGTCTGCTGTTTGGTGGCATAACTGAAAACATAATATTCTGCCTCTTGCACTTGTAGTATCTCTCTGCATAATGCCGGTGCCATGAAGACAGAAAATAAGATTTAAAAATGTACACAGGAAGCTGCCTTTAAAGAACCGATCCTAGTTAGGAACTTTGGAAGGAGACTGAGAACAAAACACATGGGAAGAAAAACGGCCAGATCAAAAGCATTTCAGCCATCTTGACACTTTAGTACCCAGTCAGGCCTTCCTTACAACAGACTGAGCAGTATTGACTTTATCCCAATAAGTTGCTTTTTGAGCAAAACATTCAAGCAGGCTATAGAATTACTACCAGGTGCTCTTTATAGCTTTTCCATTGTGCTTGAAACTTTAGTAGAGTGGGCTAGAGATTTACTTATTAAAGGACTTAGTCTGGGTCCCATGCTGGCTCTGGGACCAGTACAGCAATATACCCCTTTCAGCAACCCTGCCAACTACTCTGATGGATCTCTGGAAAACTGAAGCTTTGGCCCAGCAAGACATTGTTTTTCTTCATTTTTTTTGGGGGGGGTCAATGGATCTTGAATAATAGAAACTGAGTTGGAAGGGACACTCGGGATCATCTAGTCCAACCCTTGGCAATGCCAGAATAGGCAGCTGTCCTTTACAAGGATAAAACCTGCAACCTTGGCATTATCAGCACCACGCGCTAACCAACTGAGTTATCTAGTTGCCAAGATAGAGGTTCCCAAACTGGTCTGTGGACCACCAATGGTCTGCGATCTTCATTCAGGTTCTCCACAGTGTGCCTGTGGATTTCCAGTTGAAGCTGGGAGACAGCAAATCCATCCCATTAAGTATTCATATGGATATTTAATTGTACTGAATTGCTTTTTAAATTTCTTCTATTGTATTTTACTATACTAGAATTTGAATTCTATGGAATGCAATAAAATACAGTATCTAATACTAAATAAATCATACAGACTCTAGCACAGCTCATTACAATTGCTAAAACAGGCAAAAAAAACAATTAGCAAGTGGTTTGTGGAGAAAAGAAGTTTGTAAACCACTGCTCTCAGTGGTGTTTTCAGGGCAGGACTTTAAGACCAAAGTTCCGGGCCCTTTTCAACAGAATAAGAAAGAGGGACCCCAAGCACCTAAACAATCTAGTATTAGGTCGAAAGCTTAACAAACTGGCAGGAAAGGCCATCTCACTCCCCAAGGTAAATATTAATCCCTATAGTCCTCTCTGACGTGAATTTTATAAACATACTTTTTATGTGTTCTGAGCAGGCAAGGCAGATAAAATGTTCCTGCTACACTTGGACATTTGTTTTCAACTTTCCCGTTGTTTTATGGTAGTGGTCAGCAATCAAACCTTTGACCGCATTGTTGGCACTCTTTGCTGTACTTTTATCTATATGAAAGATTAAGTTAGCCGTGTATTAATATCAAAAGTGAAAGATGAAACAGCTATAACTGAAATGAAGATAGCCAGAAGTAGGTGGATGTGTTCTTGTGACTGCTTTTCTTTTTCTTTTTCTAAAAGAGATATACAAGAGTAAGAAATAGTAGCACAAAGGCTGGATGAACACTTTTCTTACTGAACTCCTTAACATAGAATTGTTCTGGTATATCTAATTAAGCTGGACAGGTTTAAGAGACATCATGTAGCTTAAAAAAGCACTAAGAAATACATGGTTGGATTAAAAAAATGTTTCTGTTTTAGACACCTCAGAAAAGCACTCGCCACAATAATACTAATTGGGGAGGACCAGGTGAATTTCCAAGTGGCTCTCCATGGCTGGTGCTGTAGGGGTTGAGTGGAGAGCAAGTAAAACCAAAGGCGATACAAATCAGTCTTTTTATTGGATAATTTTTTATGACACACATATGCACAGGCCAGTATTATGAGCTGGAATAAAACCTGCGTAAGACAAAACAAGCTTATTAAAAAAACGTAACAAGAACCTGTTGGATCAGGCCAATGTCCCATCTAGTCCAGCATCCTGTTCTCACAGTGGCCAACCAATTTCCTATGGGAAGCCTGCAAGCAGGACCTGAGCGCAACAGTACTCTGCCCACCTAAATGTCATCTGGTGTTAGCGTTCTTTGTGTTAGGGTTTTTTTATATATAGAAATACAGTGTGTGTGCATGAGCGCTGTTAAGTAGATGGGAGCAGTAATGTGCAGAGGCTTTATATATAGATTGCCCACTCATATGGGGAAATGGGTTGTGTGTCTTTGATTTTGTTGCTGGAATAGACACTTAAATAGATCTGTTTGTGTATATTCAAGGCTCAAATTGGTTTTGCTCACAAAACACAAAAGGCAGCTTGACTCATGCTGATGTTTGGTAAATGCTGTTAGACTACACTGCTTTCTTTTAAACAGTTTACTCTTGAATTTATCCTAGCATGGGCACATGAATATTGGTTGCTTCAAATCTTGATCTTTTGACCCCTACTCTAGCCTACCACTTAAAATACCATGTCTGCTCTTGCAACAGAATGTATGTATTTCTGCTGGCGAGAGTTCAGCTGATGAAAGATGTCACTGGTAACATAAACTGCTTTACACACCTCATGAAACCATGAAAGTTCTTTATATGATTTTAGAGCTGGTATGAGCAGAGATGTTGAGCCTTTAACAACTGTTGGTTAAGACCTTTTAAACATGGAAAAACAGTTTTGGGCCCTTCACCCCATCTACAAAAAAGGATACAAATTTGTCAACTGTTTTTTGTTTAGCCAAGCCTATCCAGATATGCCAGTGTGCATTTTCTTATGTAATTTTAGCCTCTATTTTTAATGCTTGATTTTATTTATTTATTTAAGAAACTTGTTTTAACATTGATGTTTATTAGGTATCCCGATGTATATATTTTTTATAAACAGCTTAGAGGCTTTATTTACAATTAAGTAGCAAACAAATAATGTTGCTAAAATTATGTCACAAAGCATATGTAAGTGTGTGCCATCTCTTGCTAACATAGCAGAGGATGCAATCAACATACAGTGCACTGCACCCTTAAAATCCTCTTGACTGGTACTTGGCTGTATTATGATGAAAATATTTATAGGATACATTAGCTGTGTTTGGATCTTCTTATGGAAGGTGGTATGAAAATTGGTAATAACATCCTAGCTATTCCAACAGGAATACAACATTTCCCAGGAAAAATTGTAAGGTGGGCACTTACTGGCCAAGCCAAGGTTTCATTGAGTAGGTTTTTAGAAATTTTATTTGATCTTGCTGTTTCCGTATTTATATTTTAGCTTGGATGTGTTGCAACTACTCCAGGCCTTTGGGACAGCGTAGAATAAAAACCTAAAACAAGCTTGGGTATGAATGCTTTTTGACATTTTGAAATTTTTTTTGATTGGTTGCATTTATATTGCACTTCTCCCATAGGGGCAAGTGGCTGATACAGAATTTTTTTTCTAGTTGAAAATCTAACATCTAATTATTTTCCTCCGCTTCCTGTTGTATGTGATACTCAGGTCACAAATTAAGGCTTAGCTCTGTTCATCGATTGTTTCGGGAAGTTTTTAATGTCTGTTCTAATCCTGAAGCAAAGTTCTTAACCCGAGGTACTATTTCTGGGTTAGTGGAGTCTGTAACCTGAAGCATATGTAACCTGAGGTACCACTGTATTAGTGCTGAGAAGCATTGCATTCTTGCATGGAAGCAGCTTTGGTGTCTGGATTTTTGGTGATGAATGCTTAAAAGATTTCTAACTTTCCCCACACAGTAACTTTGTAAGTATGTGAGTATTTGTTTTAGTATGTAGTGGTTATAATGTTGACAACCATGAATCTAGTCCTCCATAAAAGTTTTCAAAAATTAAGTCACAAAAGGCGTACTAGCCTGCTTGCTTGTCCTTTAAGACACACAGGCAGTCTGCAGCATTCTTATCTTGTTTAGAGCCACCATGGTTTAGCACTATTATGATCAGGTATAGTCATCCTAGGCTATTGGGGGCTCCTTCTGTGCAGCACTTTCTATCCAAACCAACCAACTGCAGTTAGCTATGTTTAGTCTCAAAACAAGCCAATTTCAAATCACAGGGTATGAAGCTGGTTTTCTGAAAGTAACCCTAGTTAATGTTAACCACAGTTCCTGGTTTAGATGAAATTATAAGCTACACTTAACTAAAAGCAGAAGCAAAACTTGCTGAACTCCTGCAATGCTGCTCATGAAAATTGAAGGGGAGCATGTGTACCTGGGAGGCCAATTTTTGTTCCTCTGGCATTAAGCCCCTGGTTTAGCTTTGTGTCCGAATGTGGTTACTGTGTCAGGGAGTTCTATGGAAGTGGCAACTCTGGTGAAGCTGCACTGTCCATAAGAGTTCTATCTAACCCTAGTTTGGTTGAACTTAAAAGGCAATCTACCTACTGAATGGTGCACTTGCTATGTGTGGATAGCCATCCATGTGGAGTAAATGCACTTTAACCAGATCAAAAGGTCAAGGTTCTTAGTCTCTCTTGGTATTAGCATATAAATAGCAGCTAATGCACCATGGTAATTCTATTTAGACACAACTGTGTGTTTCTATAATTATTAGGAAGTGCATTTGCTTTAAAGGGGAATGTTCATGTTAGAACCATCTTTGGTTCAATGCGATTTGATTCCATATAGGTTGCACATCTTCCACAGTAAGCTCTGTGTGAAGAATTTAAACAGCAATCAAATTCAGGTGAAGAAAGCCAATAAGCAATGAGTAATTTTAAACAAGTAAATTTTGTACTTTAGAAGCGCAGTGTGATGTCACAGGAAAAAACTGATCTCTCGCTACTTCCCCACTCTGCCTACTTGCTTGGAGTGAATTCCATGCACTTTGCTGTATGGAACCAGTGGTGACCAGGGAAGTAGTAAAATACAATACACTCTAGTTGTCGTGCATTAGGGTTGCCATACGTCTGAGATTTCCCAGACATGTCTGTATTTTGGGGGCCAGCACCCCTATCCGGGCAGATTTTTGCATTTTGGATTAAATGCCCGGGTTTGGTTTTTTAATTTTTTTTTTTTGTGGGGCACGTGCATGCACAGAAGGCACTTTGTCCCAGAACAGGAAGTGGGGTGGTCTGGAGTGGCCTTCCCAGGCTTTTCCTGGGCAGCTCAGCCTCCCATCATGAGCAGGAGGCCAAAGACAGCAAAGGTAAGAGAGGGGAAGGAAGAGGGAGCAGGCCAGCGAGGAAGGGGTCAGAGGCAGCGAGGGGGTGAGCGAGGGAGATGCGGGATGGTGGGGTATGTGTGTCTGGGTTTTTGATCCTCGGAATATGGCAGCCCTATCACACATGGCATGCTGCTGTATTGTCCAACATTATTTTTTCCTCTGCCTCTGTTCATTTGATGGAAATTACACTCTTGGGAATACAGGAAGCTGCCTTACACTATTTCAGACCTTTGGTCCTTCTAGTTCATTACTGTCTACACTAACTGGCAGTGGGTCTTCAGGGTGTTTCGGACCAGCAGTCTCTACCAGCCCTTTTGGGAGATCCTGGGAATTCAACCTAGGATGTTCTGTGCACAGAGCATGTGCTCTACCATGGATCTGCAGCCCTTTGTACATTATATTCTATCCTTTTTATTTTGAAAATCTAAACCTAAGCTGGGGAAAAAGCAAATGTCAGGTATCAAAATCAAACTTCAGACTAAATTTCTTCAAAATCAAAGCTACTTATATTGGATTTCTAGGTGCCTGCATGCTAGGCTAGAAAAAAAAGATTCTATCTTCCATTTAAAAAATTTGATACAGGCCTTTTGGATCTGGAAATAATTTTCAGCTCTCATTTTAGATAAGTAGCTATCTGTTAAGAAAAGACTCGAGTCCATGAACTCCCATGCTTTCAACACCAACAGTGATGTTTTGTACTCTGTATACAATCAGATAATACTAAAAGAAGCAGGATAGTTATTTGTAATTTCTGAGAATTTATTTGATATCTGTAGAAAGCTGATCTCTGTTCTGAGTGTGCTTTAGCCTTGCAGCAAGAAATGGGTCCTGATGGTAACGTTGGAGTGGACCTAGGCAGAGAGGCAGTGGCTCTGTTCTCAGTGGCTTCCCAGTGAGTTGTGGAATGGATAACAATGTGGGCCACAGCTGGGAGGAAACAAAAACTATCTGATTTGTATTATTGTCTCTTTCTTTATAAAGGGTAGCAAACTTTCTTTCACCTAGGAAAGCCATTTTTTGTTGCGCTTTGTACGTACTTGTGCAGCTATCCTGAGGAATGATCCTATTTGAAGAGGACAAGGAAACATGCATGCACTAAGTGCCATTTAACTCACCATTTAACTCACTCGTGTTGTTTTCCCCCCAACCACTTTACTTAGAGGCAGAAGAGGATATTTCATTTAGGTATACTGTTGTAGGGCGATTACAACTTGATTTTGATGGATCCTCTATCTTAACCATGGTGATAATGAAATATGGAAGGTTGTGACAGGTCTTTGAGTGCAAGGTTCTTTGCTTGGGCCTCTGACAGAGAGAAAGGAGTTAAAACAGCTGATTTTGGGGGTCCTCCCTGGCTAGGCCAAATCTAGCATGGGTTGGATTCTGTGACTTACAATAACCTCTCCAGCTCTATGTTTAGAATGAAGGTTGAAATAGATTTGCTTCAAGGTTAAGAAGCACCTTGCAAAAAGATTAAAGAATATCATTGGATGGTGGTCTTACTCTGCTTGGCATGGAGTGCAGAATATCTGGTAGGATCAAAAAAGCTGCTTAAGCTCATAAAATTGATTTGCATCTTTTTAAAACGGCTGACTCTTCATTTTGAAAGCCTCCTTAATTTCAAATGCAGTTTCTTATTCAGCAAGAGTGGCTGTTGTTCAAGACAATGTAAATCCCTTTGGAGTCAAGTAATATTGGATTCGGTTTGAGATTGCTAGTATCCCAACAAAATATTGATTTGCTGCCATTAGTATTCCAACCTCCAGCTTATAAGCATTCTTCTAGTCCTCCTCATGTAGAAAAACAAGAAATTTAGGATGATCAGATGGAATTCAGTAGGAGTCATGCATTAGTTCTTCTTAAGTGTAGACTGGTTTAATGTGCATAAATTATTGCAGACGTTCTTTCTGCTTCTGTTTCAGAATTATGATGCAGACTTCCAGATTTGCTTGTTTGTGCTTTTGGGGGAAATACTTACTAATCACAGCATTTATACCCCTTTCTTGAGAAAGAATGGCTTAAGAGTAAGTAATAAAAACAACACAGTCCCTACCTTCAGGCTTAGAATCTGAAAAGATGTGACACAAAAGAATAAAGTGATGGAGAGGGAAGAGAAAAATGACATCAGGCTCCTGATAAAAAGTTCTTACAATGACCAGCTTGAAGGGAAACGAGCTGCTTATAGTCAAAAACAAATTAGGTCTTAATGAGTCACACCATATTGGAAGTGACTGTAATGCAGGCAGAAGTTGTTGACTTTACAACCACCTTCCCTGACAGATGTTGCCTGGGGCTGATAGGAGTTGCAGTCTAAAACATCTGAAGGGCATTGTGTTGGGAAAGGCTCCCTTACAGGGTGGGGCCTGTTCAGCTTAGCTGCATAGGCCAGAACTTATTCCTCCCACTGCTGCAGGTAGGTTCTCAGGGGCCCAGTTGATACCATCATCCTCACAGCAGATAGTTGCTGTTCTTATAGGCAGTTGGTTCCAAAATCCTGGGGAGGGACCACCTGACCTGGCCCAGGTAGTGAAAGCAATGTGTGGATATGGTAGATCCTTCTGGCGGTTCTTTTAAATCAGGGAGGCTACAAATGGTATCTGGTAGGAGTTTGTTTTTAATGCACTTTGACCTCTTTTCCTGGATCTAATTTATTTCGTTTGCCTTTGTAGCTTTGGTCGCTACTAGTGACTTGTGGCATGCAGAACTTCTTGTCAGAGTACATACATAACAACCAGGCAGTGCTTCTGGCACTGTGCAGGATGACGACACTGCTGTTTACACAGCAGCAACACCTGCAGTACTTGGATTCCTTCTAAGATCATAGAGGCAGCTCTTTGTCGGAATGGCACATCTGTCCTCGCTGACAACTGCAGCAGCGGAATGATGCCAGTTGAGAGAAGAGGCACTGTGTGTGTGTGTCTGTGAGGCCACAACAACAAATAATATTCTGTCTGACTGACTCCTAAAATGATAGCAAATTGTTATCATAGGTGAAAGAGTCCATCCCATCCCATGCAAGCTCTGCTGAGAATCTTTATATGTTCATGACTTCTCATATTTGGGGAATAAAAGAAGAGTCTCCAAAGTAGTGCTAATGAGAACTCTAATGAAGTTAGCATCTGTAAAAGAATGCTAAAATTCTTGAGGAGCTGAATTGCTTTCTGTGTGCAAAATTCCAGGAAAAAACTCAAGTGTTTCATGTTTACCAACTCTAGTTTGACACCCAAGTTTTATGAAAAACTATGTAGATACAGTAAGTGTGCAACTTACTGGCATTTAACTTGTGCGCATTCAGCTTCATGTGCTTGGTAGTTTAAAAAGGGGGGGCAGGTGCCTGCGGAAAAAAGACTTTGGCAATCCCACATGCCATTGAACCCAATGTGTTTTGACTACGGTATATGTAATTTTGGCTTTAGGCGAGATCCTGGAATGTAAGCCCCGCGTAAGTTGTGGGCTTACTTTACAAGCTGACTATATGCTTAAAACAGGACACATGAAGTATCTCAAGCTCATATTGAGCAGCTCTTCCTTCCTCATTGATCATTTTAAAAATAGCATTTAGGCAGAGCTTTAGGTGGGTCAGTATTATCCTAATGCATATGGGGTAAGTAAGGCCATCTAGTGAGCTCATGGCAAAGTTAACACTTGGTGTAGATACTTAAAGCTGTGTTTTCTTTTAAAAAAATCATTTTGTTGTGCTGTTGTTTGAATATTACTATGCATTAAACCAATGGTTTTTTTCTGGGGGGTACACGGGGGTATGCATACCCCTAAACATTTTGTCAATCTAAGTTTGGCCTCATTGAGGGGCAGGGCAGTATTTCAAAATGAGTAGGAAAAAGAGAGTATCCCTAAACATTACTTTTTTAAAGCAAAAAAGCACTGCATCTCCCCAAAATGCTACCTTGATACCACCAAGGAAAGTTGGTATGGACTAGTTTCATTGAGGTGTCTAGTAAACCTGTGTCTGAGTTGTACCACTTCAGTCTGGTGTTTTAAACTCTTTGCTGCACTTTATCACCTGAAAATAATTGATGATCACAAATCTCCCTTTAAAAGTTTCATTGATAGTTGTTTTTGTAGGACTGACCTTGGAGAGGTTCTATGGATTGAGTATGTGGCAGTTTGGCCAAGGTAACCCTGCCATTCTGGTGTCATCAAGGCTTCAGATTTCATAAGAGAGACAGTGACAGCATACAAAAATAATGGAAAAATAAATGCCTTTTAATAGAATCGTAGAGTTGAAAGGAACCACAAGGGTAATCTAGTCCAACCCCCTGCAATGCAGGAATCTTTTTTTACCCACAGAGGGTTGAATCCATGGCCCTGAGATTGAGTCTTATGCTCTATCGACTGAGCTGTCCTGTCTGTACCCCATAAAGAAGTGGAGAAATCATAGCCGTTACCTCTGAGTACAGAAAGAAATGACTTGAGTTCTTGGGTCACTATGGTACTCTGTAACCTGCCTGTTAATCTTTTGCATGTTGAACATAGTAATAATGTTATTGGACTATTGGCTGTAGTTCACTGGGTTTTGGCTGATGAGTCATGACTTGAAACTTGCTCCGTAATTTGTATTGTATTACTGGTGTCAATACAATTTTCAGTTTTAAAAATACTTTAAGAGGAAGAGAGAATATTTTTTATGCTATAGGACTGACTGTTTTTACAGTTGTTTCTTCTTCTTGGAGACCCCTGCCTGGAACTGGTGTTCAGTGGGAAGGGAGCTAAGGGCCTCTAGCAAACTAATTTGCACCTCATCAAGTGATTAAACCAGTACAAAGCCAATATATAGTTTGGCATGTGTCCACAAACTGAGAGAAAGAAAGAGGATGAGGAGCAAGGTGGGCACCTGTAGTAAAAATAAAACAAAATAGTGAATTTCATATGGCAGGATGGAGCTAAAGGTTGGTCCCCATTCTAAAGGCCGACCCTAGTGGAATTACAAAAGTATTTATTACGTTTTTTGCACTCTGCATAGTTGTTGCTTTTCTCTTTGTTATGATGGATGACAAAATTATATGCAACCCTTAATTTTCCCAGCTTCTACTAACAAGACTTACTTTTTTGCCCAGGTATAGGATCAGCCCCTGTTTTTTCTGTGTTAGATGCTTTTATGTTTTATTAACTATGTTTTATTAGCTGTGTGTTAGATGCTTTTATGTTTTTATTAGGTATAGGCTGCAATTGTCTTTTAATAGTATATTGTACACTGCTTAAGAGTTTTTTAAAAAAACTTATTAAGCAGTTTCTAAATCTTTTCAACAAATAAATAAAAATAACATTTGTCTATTGAGTAGTCAGTACTTCAGTATTGCAGAAGTTGTTCATAGCAATAATTGCACAAATTCTTGCATTTTCTAGATGGAATGAATCTTCCTTGTTGAATGCATCCTGTCTGCTTGGTAGAGTTTACTTGTGGAGACACATTGTCCTTTGGGTTGAAGCCACTTTGTGGCAGACTGAATTGTGGATCCCAGAATCCCAAGCTGCTTGACGAGGAGGAGACAGCTGAATCACGTTAACTTGACATCACAGCCACAATGGTGCTGTCACAGAGGCAACGAGATGAACTGTAAGTAGCTCGAGAATATTAATCTTACCTTGCTTTCAGTTGGCTGTTATGGATCAGATGCAATCATGTTTTCTTAACCAATTTTAAAGCTTTCTGCAGGCATCTTAATCAGAATGCACTAGACATTCGTTTTTAAAAAATAATTAAAAAAATAGATCTGGCCGCAAAGCAAGAATGAAGAAATGGGTTTAGGAATTTTGTGGGATCCTCCAAATTCTGGAGCTAAGCAGTGTGCTGGCCATGATGTTAATTTGTTTTTTGGGAGATGGGTGGGAATGGGATGGAATTTGTATTCTGGGGAAAAAAAGTCTTCCTTTTTTTCCTTGGCAGGCTTTGTAAGCACATGTCTGATATGCTTCTGTTAACTTTGAAGCTGTGGTTATGGGCTGTTCCACAGTTGATGCCATGGGATATCAGGAGTGGGGCAGGTGGGAATGGCTTGGGAAAAACTGCCTTGCAGGCCAAATTGGGACCCAGCTACCCCACATTCTGGAGGTTCCTTACTAATGCTACAGAAGGTCCTTACAAGAAATCGGTGGCAAGCCCAGTTCTTTTCAGGTTTATTTTTACTGCTCAGAGGGCTGTCTTTGCCAAGTCTTCAATCTGGACTGAGTATTTTGTTCCTCCTGCTGCTGTCGATGCTGTTAATATGTATTAGGATGAAGTTTTTGTTTTATTGTAGACCATCCTTATTGCCCTTGATTGGTTGGACATACATTCTTTATAAAAAGAAACACAGACCTGTCAGAAACCTATACAGTTAAGCCTGAGTAGATTCCTGACTCCCTGCTTTTCTTCCCTATCTGTCATTTGCCCCAGGTTTTTTATATTGTGAGATTGTGGTCTGGAACATGAGTGTTTTGCTAGTACAATATCTAATATGTTTGTATTTCTAAATATTTTCACCCCACACTTCAGCTATAGTGATAGGACTGTTTACAAACTTAATTGTTTTATTCTAACTCAGGCATAGGCAAACTTGGCCCTCCAGATGTTTTGGGACTACAACTCCCATCAAACCTAGCTAACAGAACCAGTGGTCAGGGATGATGGGAGTTGTAGTCCCAAAACATCTGGAGGGCCAAGTTTGCCTATGCCTGTTCTAACTTGAATACCAAATTTATCTTAAAAGCTTCAAAGTTATAAATGCAGGATTAAAATGACATCTAAAATGCACAGGAAAGTAAGAAGGTCTTTCTTTACTTGCTGCTGAAAGGACAGTAAGAAAGGTGCCAGGTGGAACTTCTGTGGAGAGTGTTCCACAACAGGGGTGCCGCCACTGGAAAGACCTTGGATGGGGAAAGCACCTGTTAGATAATATATGGAGGGAGATGTTTCTTAACGTTCCCAGTCCTGACCTGCAAAGGGCTTTCCAGGTCAAAACCAGCTCTTCTCAGTTGGGCCTGAAAACTGGGTAGGAACTGTTGCAGTTTTCAAAGTATGGCTATAATATACCCAGTCTCAGTCCCAGTTCCACTCTGCAGAATATGGTTTCTATATTGCTAACAAAAGTTTGTGAATGGAAAAGAATAAATAATTGTAATGCTCTCTTGAGGGAGGGTTTATTTGCCATAAATGTACATCTATTGCAGTCGCTGGTGCACATTTTTCTGTATTTTGGAGGTTTGGGGCAGAGTTGGCTTGCATATTCCAAGGAGAGCATTTAGTGAGTAGAATGTGTTTAAGTTCTATTAACTGGATAAGCAAGATAAGGATTCACTGAGGCTGAGAGCACTTGCTCACAAAGGGCACTGCTTTTCTCTTTCTGCATGAGTTGGGCGGTAGACAAACTTATTTGATACTCCTGTTAAGATACTTACGGCATTCCAAGAACTTAACACTGTATGTTAAGCAAACCTGTAATGCTGGCAAGGTGATCTTTCAGCAGTATTTGAACAGTTAACTGGTCAGTTAATTGCTAACTGATCTGCTGACAAATATTGTCCTGCTTCAGCCAGCCAAGTAAATGCCAGGTCCCTTTCATTTAGGCCACAGTCTACCTTGACTGTCAGAGCACCATCTGTTAGAACAGGGGTGTCTCTTTTGTCCTCATCACTGCAGGGGTCAATATCTGATGCTTGCACTGACATGCATGCTAATCTCTGGAGCATGTGCCAGCATTGTGATGTCTGCTGCTGTTAAATTGACTTCTTGCTTTGCTCATTCTTGGTCACATGGTAGCTCAAAAACAACTGCAAATGGTTGGAATAAAGACTGTGTGTTCTGAAGTTTTAACTGCATAACATCTGCAAATAGGATGACAAATTATGTGACAAATGCTGAATTTATATCTCCACGATTGATTTTATTGATTAAAAACATCGTCTAGTAATGGTTCTGCTGGCAGTCATGAGGAGGAGCAGAAAGCTATGCAGAGCCTGAAGCCTTGTACCCACACTTTCAACACTATCTCTGCAAGATTTTTTAAAAAAAGAGAAACAAAGTTCTGTGCCTTCCACAAATTAGTGTATTTTTATACCCACACCCACACACCTGTTTACAAGGCAAGGTGACTCCTAGCCTGCACAGTGCCTCTGATGACTACAGCATTTTAACGAAGGTGTGGTTGAATAGCCTGCCCACACTTTTGCTCGTAACAGAAACTAAAATTGTTTTCAGGAGTTGAACTGGAGTCATGATCTACGCATGCAGGAGAATGAGGTGGGAGGAAATGCCACTTCTCATTGCTCTCCTGTGTGCTAAGTGTCTTCCAGGTAAAAGTTACCTGGGGTACCAGGGTACCAGGTACCAGGGATACCCTGTGGTATTAGTGTTTTGATTTCAGAGCATTTTCTAATACAGCGAAGCATTCAGAAATTGATCTGGCCGCAATCTGAAATGAAAATAGTCCATTCTGCCACTTCATTTTTGCTGCATTTAAAGACCAGGCATAACAATTCGTTGCTGCATCTCTTTGGGCTGTGTTATGCTATCACAGTGTGTAAGTGCACATGCTCCATAACTGCAAAACCCCTTACACTGCTCTTCCTGGGATTGGTGATGCTGTGTGTCAAGATTAACTTTTGTTTCCTGGTCTTTCATTTTAAGAAATAGTGATTGCCTCCAAGCCTTGCAGAATTTAGTCAACCCTGCTGTGAGCAGATACAGATATAAGGTGGGATTTATTAGACCAATTCAGCCATGAGCCCACCTTAGGCAAGCAGCTCCCCCATAGGCTCTTATTCCCCTTCCTGCAATTTGGGATGAGATATAACCAACCTATAGAATAGTCCAGCATTTTAAGGAATACTTGAAAATGTCTGCAAAGTACTTCCAACATTTGGTTTTGTTCCCTGTAAATCAGTGATGATCAAACTTGGCCCTGCAGCTGTTTTGGGACCATAATTACCATCATCCCTGACCACTGGTCCTGTTTGGCCAGCACTGCTGTAAATGAATATTATTATTCTAGCCCATGTCTGCCAACACTTGCAATGAAAATGCCCCTGTAGACCAGCAACACCTGTGTGCAGCTTGGTGATATAGCCAAAACAAGGACAATGGTTCTGGCACCCACTTAATCATCAAAACCAACCCTGTGAGGTGAGGTAAGCTAAGAGGCAGTGACTGGTCCCCAAGGTCGCCCAGTGAACTTTGTGTGGCCAAGTGGGTATTTGAACCCTGATCTCCCAAATCCTAATTTGATACTCTAACCCACTACACCACACTGGCTCTCAGAGTTAACATGCTGGCTTGTTAGCCATTTATATGTTTGAGAGATTCAGTTTGTTCTTGTTCCATCTGGTATGGGTGGGGCTGCCTCAAATTAGCAGGTTTGATGTTGCAGAGCAACAACAAATACAAGGAACTTGTGCATCCTGTTACTGCGTAGCAAGGGTGCATCTGAAGATGTCAGGCCAGTGCAGTGCAGGTTTTGCTGGCATCCTTGTGTGCATGTTACTTGCATGACAGGAGGACAGAGCTGTGAAGATGGCATTAGATTAATGTTCCTCTAACTTGTATTTGATAAGTAAGTTGGTGGGGGTTTTTTTGCAAGTCTGTTGGCACCCTGCTATGAACCTCGTCCAGCGGTCAGCAGACTTTTTCAGCAGGGGGCCGGTCCACTGTCCTTCAGACGTTGTGGGGGGCTGGACTATATTTCGAAGAGAAAAAAAAAGGAATGAATTCCTATGCCCCACAAATAACCCAGAGATGCATTTTAAATAAAAGCACACATTCTACTCATGTAAAAACACCAGGCAGGCCCCACAAATAACCCAGAGATGCATTTTAAATAATAGGGCGCATTCTACTTGTGTAAAAACACGATTCCCGGACCATCCGCGGGACGGATTTAGAAGGCGATTGGGGCAGATCTGGCCCCCGGGCCTTAGTTTGCCTACCCATGACCTAGTCATTATAAAAAGCAATAGTAAATGAGTAGTAGAAAGGCCAATACTCGTGTTGTTTTAAACCAGAGGTTGCTAACCTGTGGGCTTCTGGATGTTGTTGGACTCCCAACCTCCAGCAAGATATTGGGAGTTGGAGTCCAGCAGCATATGAAGAGCCACAGTTTTCTTTCACGTGCTTTAAACCACAGCTTAGATTAGACTTATGCATCCTGTTAGTGCAGATCTGAAACTGCCAAGCCAATGCAATGCAGTTCTTAAACTCTGAGTTGAAGTGAACGAGTAGTGTTCTGGTGGTGCATGTTGTTCAATAGTCCCAATGCTGCTGTTGCTGCTTCCCTGTTCTTTTCTTCAGTGCACCAGGGAGCAAACAAACCAGAGGCTGGCTTGATGTTAAAGTGTGAGTTAGCACTCAGGGATTTTTCTCTCCTAACCATAATGTTAAACCAAGGTTTGTTCTTGGCTTGCTGTCATGGCTTGTTAGTTGTGCTGGTTCATGTCTAATGTCTCTGTGTTTTATTTCCTCCCTAGAAAACTGAAGAAAGGAGCGAAGCATGATTTGCTTGTCCATCTTTAAGCATAGTTTAAAATAAACTAAGGTTTAATGTGATTGTTAATTGGGACACACACACACACACCCATCACAGGGAAAGCCCAAAATTTTCAGTCCCTGCGAATGAGTTATATTTGTTCCACTGTATAATTAAACTAAGTGCCTTCATATATGGAGATTGCATGAGCAATCTCCCATTGACATTTAGAGATGCAGATGCTTCATGATCTCTGCTCCATCCAACAAGGAGCAGATTCTGGGCCAGGAGGCACTTCCTTCCAACAGTTATTGTACTGAGACCTCTGTAGTAAATAGTCTTAGGTTCCAGGTGGCCTTATCTCTAGTGATGCATGTTAGCTTTGTTTAATTTCTTGCAGGCCAATTTGAAGAGAGGTTCAATTGAACCACTCTCATCTTAGCTCCCTGCTTGTCCATTGTTCTTAAAACACCAGAGAAGAGAGTTTAAGCCAGCTTTGCAACTCTGCTAAAAGCTCTCTGAAGTGAAAAGGTTTTCAGTCTGCCTTCAAGAGGCTGAAAGAAATTGCCAAGGGAAATTTTTGGGGTAGGAAGTTCATAACTGCCATATCACTACCAAGAAGTGACTAGATCAGCCCTCAGCATCTTGGTGCCATTTGGGTGTTTCAGACTCCCAGCAATCATTAGCCCCTGGCTGGAATGGCCAATGGCCACAGGTGATGAGTTGTAGTCAACAAAACGTTTGGAAGGGACCAAGTGGGTGAATGCTGGTCTAGATCATATGACTACGCACAGTACCTCAGAAAGCAGGGACATTTGCAAAGGAGACTCTGGATGGTCCTAATGTATAGAGGAGTGTCTTGTAACTAGTTTTTTATTATATGAAGTTGCTGGAAGCAGTCATTGAAGGATTTGGTTTTTAAGATGTTGCTTTCTATGTTGTAATTTTGATTCACTGATTTTTTAAATTAAATTCCTACTTGTTTTAATTTTTTTGCACCGTTCTGTGAATGTAGGGGTGTGTGACACACACAAAAGTAAAGGCACAGCGTCCAAGTCTGCAAACACCCTTCTAATTGAAATGTGAAATCGACTTAAAAAGCAACACATTTTGGGAAGCAGCAGGGGAATGGCATGGCTATGAAATTTGAGAAGCAGTTTTAATTACGTTTGGGTGGCTCAGCAATTTTTCTATCATTTTTAGGTCCAAAGAGCCTATGTCTAATCACAGTAGATCAGATAAGGAAGAACAAACTCTTGGTCTGGTAATCCAGCACCCTTTGTTCTCCTAATTATTTCGGATGATCAAAACTATCTGATCCAACTGCAAACACCTAGTGGGGTGTGGGCCATTGGTCACGTTCTGGGGCCAGAATTTGGTCTGAGCATCTTGGGTGCTCTTCCTTGAAGAATTGAAGGGCTCCAGCCTGCTTTGTTGAGCATTCTCAGCATTCTTCTCTTGGGGCTCGGGGGACTGCACCAGGCTCTCCTCCTTCTGACCCCTCGCCACACAATCCTCAATGCTCTCCAACTTCCAGAAGATCAATGCCAGAGACCTTCCAGTGAGAAGGCTTTGCTCACCAATCAAGCTTAACAGTTCTCCAGTAAATAACTCCTCTGTTGCTCCAGGCAGATTAGTTAGCTTTTGAGATGTTATTTGAATGGCGGTATGGGCTATTACTTTGAGCTGCTTGGGTTGGTCTAATCATTGTGGGCTTTCCTGCAGGTCTGTTTTTCTTTGAACCCTTTGATCTAAGGCCTTTTAGCTGTTTGGGAGGATCTTCCCAGTCACTGTCTAACTGCTGAGAATTGGAACTATCTAGGGATTGTCACCACCATGGAGATTATCTCCCTCCTCTGTTTGGACTTCCAAACTTGTTCCTAGCCCATCAGTAGCCCCCTTTGCTATTTCGGGAGTTATCCATTCCGAGAAGTCAGTCAAACTTAGTTGTTTAGATTTGGATCTGGTCAAGTGGCTTGGCACGGAACTGCTTTTTCTTGGGCATCAGGGCAGGATCAAGACCCCCGGAACAATCCCAAACAATCCTCGTTACTTACGATTTGTTCAGTTTCCAAACTGGGGATGGGAAATTTTAGCCAGTAGACAAAACTGCAAGTCAGTCACAGAGGCAGGTTTCATCGGGCGTTCATTGTTGTGGTAAATCAGGTTGAGCGGTAAAACAATAAAACAATAAACTAAAAACAAGGAGAGGCGATGAGACAGCCAGTAAGAGGTTAAAAATGTGAGATTAGAATCAGGAAGTAGCTAAAAACTACTTAAAAGCTTTATTGAAGGCAGGAGCTTTGCCTAGGCTGCTGTCTCGGCTGCCATCTTGGAAAAGTCAGGACCATGCCATTTTTACTTTCGCGAATGAGTGGCTCCCGTCTCCATTACCGAAGTTACAAGTTTAATTGATCAGATGAAAGCAAGAAAGGCTGCCAGCCCTGATGCTATTCCATCTGAATTGATCAAAGCCAAGTCAGAGTGGTGGGCTCTGATACTAGCGGATCTATTCACTGTGATAGATAGATCTGGTATCATGCCTAACTCATGGCAGCAATCTATAATTATCCCAATTTTTTAAAAGGGTGACAAAAAGCTGCCATCCAACTATTGACCAATAAGTCTATTGTCAAACATTGGGAAATTGTGCGCTAAACATCTGCTAAATAAACTAACTAGTTGGCTTGATGAAAATAACATCATAGGTCCAAGAGCAGGCAGGGCTTAGGCCAGGGAAATCCACTTTACGCAACTGCATGCTGTTATCTCAATTAGCCGCTAAGTATACGCGGCTTCATAAAGAATGTCTTTATGTGGCCTTCCTAGATATCAAGGCTGCTTTTGACACTGTTGACGGGGCTGTTATGGACCAAATTGGAGACAATGGGCCTAGAACCTAGATTACTATACTTGATCAAAAAGCTTTATACAAAGAACACCTGTCATATAAGAACAACACCAGGGAATGTAATGATAGATCCCATCATTATAAACCGAGGAGTAAAGCAGGGCTGTGTACTCGCTCCCTCTCTTTTTAATCTTTTTCTTAATGACCTCACTTCTTCACTAAAACAGGTGGATGCCCATAACCCAAAACTCAACGCATCAAGCATCCCTATTCTCCTATACGCAGATGACTTGATTTTGCTTTCATGGACAAGAATTGGCCTAAAACGATTGTTAAATTCCTGTATTGACTATTTGTCCAGAATGAAATTGTGCATGAACTTTGATAAAACCAAAATAATGGTTTTTGGGAATTCACGCAAGAGCTATAGCTGGGTACTTGGTGGAAAACCCATCTGGCAGGTATTTGAATTTAACTATCTGGGAATTACATTCCATCATAGGCTTCTATGGTCCTCGCACCGTGCAACAGCGGTGAATGCCAGTAAGATGTCTATGCAGGCCATAATGCGATTTTTCATAACAAGAGGTAATTCGCGTATCCCCTCTGCCCTCAAGGTCCTCAACGCCAAAATAATAGCTCAGTTGCTCTATGGAATTCCAGTCTGGCTGCCAGGGTTTACCCAGCTGGTAGAACAAGTGCAGGCAGCTTTCCTTTTTAAGATTTTTGCTGTCCCACGTTGTGTACCCTATGCAGCCTTGTGTCTAGAGGGAGGTCAACGCAAGGTAGAGACAGTTGCCTGGGTGAGATTTCTTCTATGTTGGTTAAACATCTACCCCGCATTAGATAAAGATCCCTTCCTCAGTGGTCTTGTCAGATCCCTTTCTTTCCCCAGGGCTACAACAGTTTAACATAAAGATACAGCAACTTGGACTGTCAATGGAACTTTTGCGATTGATGCCTCCACCATCTGCCAAGTCTATAATAAAAACTAGGTTGTGGGACATTGAATGCCAGGAACTAACAGCAGCAGCAGCAGAGAAAACATGTTCCCCTCTTTACTATCAGCTTTCTTGGGCACATGAAACTAATTATAATTATCTTGAATTTCTGCTTATCCCTCAAGAAAGAAGGGCATTTTCGATGGCCAGGTTTAATTCAAACCCATCATACCTCCTTTGTGGTAGGTTCTCAGGAATGGTGGAAGAAGAAAGAATTTGCCCATGTGAAGATCACCTGATGGAAACTCTTACTCACATGGTTCTTAAATGTAAACTATATGCTGATCTCCGCCAGCAGTTTCTAGATCAACTCTGCATCCCCAAATGGAAACCAGAGTTGGAGGTCATACATTTTCTATTACTGGGGAATGATCAGGAGCTCACCAAATTAGTGGCTAAATATCTTTATTTGGTTTTTTGTCGCAGAAACACATTGCAGACGCCTGATCTCCCTGGAGACCTAGAGATGTAATGTTAGATTTTTTTGCCTCTTTTCATTTCACAAATGAAGGGGAGGTGGTAATTCTGTATTGATTTACTATGGATGTTTGTATGTGATGCCAATAAAAGGTTTGATGATGAGACAAAAAAAGAAAAGATATAAAAGATATGGGAGGGAATGTTGCTTCAGATATGGGAGGGAATGTTGCTTAAGTAAGACTTTAAGGGTCAAAACCAGCACTTAAAATTGAAGATGGAAACAGGTAACCAATATAGATCTCTTAGGGTGTTGTGTGGTCCTTGTAGAGTTGTACCAGTTACAAATACAGATGCTGGCATTTTTGACCTGTTGAAGCTTTTGAATTCTCTTCAAATGCAGATTTGCACAGAGTGCATTAGAGTGATAGGGCAGGTATCTCTTACCAAGGCAAGGGTACAGCTGGCGCACTTTGTGAAGAAGAAGGCACTCTGGGCCACAGCCACCTCTTAGGAATCCTAGAGAAGCCCCATTCTGTGGATCAGCAGTTCAAGGATGCATATGACACTGTCCAGGTCCTGTTCACTAATTACTTGATCAAAAAATCCTACACTCCCCACCACTTCTGTCACACCTGGGTTGAGTTTCAGTTTATTGTTTCTCAGCCAGCTCATTACTGGTTCCAAGCAATGATTCAGGGTTTCCACTGCCGCAGTGGGATTTAAGAAAAAGGAGAAGCATAATTGAATTTCATCAGCACACTGATGATGGTAAACTCCAGATCCTTGGACAACCACCTCCAGTTAGCAACATCTAGATATTTGAGTAATAGGAAAAGCCCCTGGGATTATTTGCATTGGTCAGAAGAGGATGTTCTATCTCCCCTGGCACAACAGTAGAAAACTCACCTAACCACAAGGGAACCGCAGCAAATTTCCCCATTCCTATTAGGTGGTCCAGAATTATACCATGGTCTCTAAAGCATCTGAGAAGTTAAGGCAAAACAACAAGAATGCTTTTCCCAATAAGTCTCCTGGCAGTAGATAACTATTATCCTACAGCACGTGAAGAACCTTTTTTTATACTACAGTGAGTATGGAGGGAAGTTATAAGGACCACCAGAAAGTTCAGTAAACCATTGTGCACAATATCCAAAAGAGAACTAGCCATTAGTTCAAAGAAAAAGGGAAGGAGGTATTCTTTTACTTGTTCTTTTTCTTGTTGCAGTCAAGCATGTTTGGGTACATAGCTGTGTGGATGGGAGGGGGAGAGAAATTTCTACAGAATTAATTATAAAAAGAATATTAATTAAAGACCTAAATCTCACTTCATTTAGAAATCGAGCGATAGCAGATTACCTTCGTTCTAATGGCTATGAAGAGGCATACTCTGTTTTTAAAAAGGAAGCAGAGCTTGATGTGGTGAGTACAGACTTCGTATTCCTTGTGTGATGCTCCCAATTAACCTTTCTGTCATATATGCAGTAACTTTCCAAAAAGAGGTAATGGAATGGAATGCTCACAAATCTCTGCAATTAACCTGAATGGTTACTTAAGCTTCTACTATCAGTGACTGTTAAGTTAACCAAGTTTGTGGAATTGTTAATTTTCCACGTATCTTTACTTGAGGTCTGTACATTGAGAATGCAAGGTAAATGGACCAAGATATTCAGTACTAGCCACAATGGCCATGTTCCACCTACACTATCAGACACTGTTGCCTCTGAATTCCAGTTGCTGGGAATCACAGGTGGGCAGAGTGCTGTTGCGCTCAGGTCCTGCTTGCATGCTTTCCACAGGCATCTGGTTGGTCACTGAGAATAGGATGCAGGACTAGGTGGGACATTGCCTGAACAAACAAGCTCTTACAATGTTCACATGTCTATAAATCTTTGCACCATGTCACATTGTCCTTGAAACTAAAAAGCATGAAGGATATCTATCCTATCACATTAACTTCACATGGCCCACCTCATTAAAAGAAAACCCATTCCTTAATAATAATAATAATAATAATAATAATAATAATAAATTTTATTTATATCCCGCCCTCCCCAGCCGAAGCCGGGCTCAGGGCGGCTAACAACAATAAAACAGTACAAAAGTACAGCACAAACAACACTCTAAAATCATTCATTATAAAATTAATTAATTCAAGCCACTGGCAACCATTGGGCCAGAGCTCCGCAAAGATTGCCGAGGGAGGGAGTCAGGCTGTGCCCTGGCCAAAGGCCTGGTGGAACAGCTCTGTCTTGCAGGCCCTGCGGAAAGATGTCAAGTCCCGCAGGGCCCTGGTCTCTTGTGACAGAGTGTTCCACCAGATCGGAGCCGCGGCCGAAAAAGCCCTGGTTCTAGTTGAGGCCAGCCTAACTTCTCTGTGGCCTGGGACCTTCAAGATGTTTTTATTTGAAGACCGTAAGTTTCTCTGTGGGGCATACCAGGAGAGGCGGTCCCGTAGGTATGAGGGTCCTAGGCCGTATAGGGCTTTAAAGGTTAAAACCAGCACCTTAAACCTGATCCTGTACTCCACCGGGAGCCAGTGCAGCTGGTATAGCACTGGGTGAATGTGATCTTGCAGCGAAGACCCCGTAAGGAGTCTCGCTGCAGCATTCTGCACCCGCTGGAGTTTCTGGGTCAGTCTCAAGGGCAGCCCCATGTAGAGCGAGTTACAGTAATCCAGTCTGGAGGTGACCGTCGCGTGGATCACAGTGGCTAGGTCAGGGCGAGAGAGGTAAGGAGCCAACTGCTTAGCTTGGCGGAGATGGAAAAATGCCGCCTTTGTTGTAGCTGCAATCTGCACCTCCATGGAAAGGGAGGTGTCGAAGATTACATCCAAACTCTTAACGGACGGTGCTGGCACTAATTGCGCCCCCGCAAGAGATGGGAGTTGCCCCCCCCAATCCCATATCGTCCCGTCCCAGCCACAGGACCTCTGTCTTCAAAGGATTTAGCTTCAACCGGCTCCCACGTAACCATCCAGCCACAGCTTCCAAACATCTGGTCAGTGTGTCTGGGGCCGAGTCAGGATGGCCATCCATCAACAGATAGAGTTGGGTGTCATCAGCATACTGATGGCAACCCAGCCCAAAACTCCAGACAAGCTGGGCGAGGGCGCATAAAGATGTTGAAAAGCATCGGGGGAGTATCGCACCCTGAGGTACTCCACACACCAAGGAGTGGGGCGATGACAATTCCCCCCCAAGCGCCACCCTCTGTCCCCGACCAGAGAGAAACGAGCGCAGCCATTGAAGGACTGTGCCCTGGATCCCCACGTCGGCAAGGCGGTGGTCCAGGAGTTCGTGATCGACCATGTCGAAAGCTGCTGACAGATCTAGAAGAATCGGCAGCCCCGACCCACCTCGATCCAGCTGTCTACGAAGATCATCTGTTAGGGCAATCAGAGCCATCTCGGTCCCATGACCAGCGCGGAAGCCGGACTGAAATGGATCCAGAGCCAATGTTTCATCCAGAAATCCACCAAGCTGTTCAGCAACCGCTCTCTCAATCACCTTACCCAGGAACGGAAGATTCGAAACCGGGCGGTAATTGGATAGATCTAAAGGATCTAATGATGTGTTCTTTAAGAGTGGGCGCACCACTGCCTCCTTCAGTTCCCCTGGGAATGTCCCCGTGCCAAGGGACAAATTGATGATATCCCCCAGGAGGGCCCGCACCTCGTCTGGACACGCTCTAATCAGCCAAAACGGGCACGGGTCGAGAGGACAGGTGGTGGGCTTTCCAGCTCGGAGGAGTCTGTCCACATCGGCTGGGGCTATCTGGTTGAAGTGGTCCAATACTGGACCCGAGGACAGTATTGTTCTAGAGAGGACTTGGTTGATCACCTTTAATGGGGAATTCCTCTGGAATAGTTCTAGCTATGCGTAACGTATACAATACATTTTGAAATCAACATGTTTTACACTTGCAGCAAAAACTAAAGGATCCAACTATTTACTTAAAACTCAGATTTGGGAGAGGTTAAAATGGGTAAAACCTCAGCGCCTAGGACTTGCCGCTCACATGGTCGGCGGTTCGAATCCCCGCGGCGGGGTGAGCTCCCGTCGTTCGGTCGCAGCTCCTGCCCACCTAGCAGTTCGAAAGCACCCTTAAGTGCAAGTAGATAAATAGGTACCGCTTTCTAGCGGGATGGTAAACGGCGTTCCGTGTGCTGCTCTGGTGCCGGTTCACCGGAGCAGCTTCGTCACGCTGGCCACGTGACCTGGAAGTGTCTGCGGACAGCGCTGGCTCCCGGCCTCTAGAGTGAGATGAGCGCACAACCCTAGAGTCTGTCAAGACTGGCCCGTATGAGCAGGGGTACCTTTACCTTTACCTTAAAATGGGTACTATAAATTTCTTCAGTGGCAACTCTAGCCATATTTCATCACATACCAGCCAAAATATCACATAGACATAGAAACCTTACCAAAGGACTGTGGAAAATGCAAGAGCAGTCCCATATAGGAATGCTCTTTCTAACAGAAGTTTTTATAACATCTGCAGTTCTTGTTTTCAGATTATTTAGGATTTCTAAACAATTCCATCTTGGTATAATATTTAGGTGCGCTTTTAAGCACATTTCTTGTGAGACAGTGTTGTTTAGCACTTACTTGATTCTGCTTCTTGCAAAGCCTTGCCTGGACTGCCATGGCCTTGCTAGTAATGTGTCATTTGCCACCAGTTTATCCTCACCTCATCTGTACTTTCCTGTCTTCCTCTTCCATGTTTTATCCTGCTGACCTTATTTGAATAATACAGGCTTTTGGTAGAAACAGCAGTGCTGCTTCTGTGTTCCATGCTCCCTACAACAACAAGCATGCAGTTTATACTACTTAAATGTTAAGTGGTGGAGTTTAGGCTTTCTTTGTAACGGAAGTGTATGTCTACCAGCCTTAAGGTATTTGACCCAACTCTTTTTGAAATAATTGAAACTCCTAATTCAGCTCTTACTTTGTAGGTTTTGAAGGAGGAATAGCTATCTTGGTGTGATCTATAAATACTGTGCTATTTCTTCAGATCATATAAGCGACTCTGACTCTGAACCATTTAAATATATGCTAATCTCCTAAGTACCCTTCAGGCCTACCAATCATGCTGTAAAAGCGCAGAATTTTGTCTGCCTTAACCAAAGTACCCACTTGAGGCCCTACATTTCATTTCCCCAAATCTCATTCAAATAAAGTCCTGGTTGTAATCTCATTGTACGCATAATTGAAAATGGGGCTTGATGAAAGGAGTGCTGGCATACCCATCAACCTCATTAAAAACTCTTTCCCCCAAAAGGTAAGAAGGAGGACCTGGATATGCTAAGCAGCCTTGTTATACAGCAGTCATTAGGGAGATGTGTTTCACTTCCTTATGAGAGAGCTGTGTAGTGAAGCTGTGGGAGTATGAATTAGGCAGAACTCTTAATGAACTAAAAGACCCCAAAACCCAAGCACCAGTGAATTGGAATCTTATCCGTGCAACTGCTGCAGGGGCTACATTTGGCTCCAGCACAAATTAGTTCCACAAATAACCCCAAATTCCCCCAAGCACAGAGGGTGGTAATGCCTCCACTGAGACCTCTTAACCAAGAAGATAATCCAATTACCAGTTCTGACGTTCTGCTATTCTCCTGCCTTTTACAATCTCCAGTATTGCTGGACTCTCTGAGACCCCAGAACTTCAACATTGCATATAGCATCTGTTTGCACTTCCTTTGATTTTTGCGATTAACCTCTTCCCTTAATTTATAGGGCACACAGCTTGTTTAAGTATAATAATAATAATAATAATAATAATAATAATTTTTGTAATTGTGGGGGAGCTGCAGCACTTTAACCAGAGCCACTCCCTTTGACATTCATTTCTAAGCTGGGCTGTGGTTTCTGGCCATGCCTTTGTTGAACACCCTGACTCCACAGATAATCAGAATGGTGGCAGACCAGAGAGGAGGGTGTGATTTTTTGGTTTTCATAAACTCTGAGAACTTCCTGTAAGCAATAAGTTATTTCCCTGAAGAAATAATGTAAGGAGGAAAACTTGCTCAGGATGCTTCACCGGATAGTTCAGTGCTTGTGTCTGCTTTGTGCTCTTGGTTGATGTTGGATCATGCATATCCTGAGGATTGTGCCTCTTAACACAAACCTGTTCATCAAGGTCATCCACTGATGATTACAGCAGTGGCTTCCTGGCAGAGTAATTGACAGAATGTGTGTGAGCATGGCACTGGCTGCCACAAGACGGACCCAAGCTTAGGGGATCAGACAAATTCATGGAGGAAGATGAGCTTATTAGGCACAATAACAAAACAGAACCTGTACATTTACTGGCACTGTGCCACAGAATACTGATTGCTGGGAAGCAACAAAACATGGAGGATTATTGCTTTCATTCTCTGCTTGTTCCTTCCCAAAGACATCTGCTTGGCCACTTGTGGGACGATGAAGTTAGACGGTTCTGGAAAATGTGTATCAACCCATCATTCCCATTAAACCACCACACTTACGAAGGTGGCAGTTTGTTGCAGCCACATTAAACAATTCACATGGTCCAAAGGGGGGGGGAGACCCCCCCCAAAGCACAGAAGCACTTGTGAAAGCAGATGGGAGGAGCTTTCCCCCCTAAATAGCTAGTTCCTTTGGCTTTTAATCTGGATGTGTTTTATCTCTGGCTTCATACATGTTTGCATCCAGCTATATGCAAAGGTTTGTAGGGTTTCTTGATGATCCCCACAACTCCATGCCTTCAATTTCTAAGAAAATGCTATTCATATATATATATATATATATATATATATATATATATATATATCTGGCAAAATATTGCTCTGTTTGATGTTCTTAATTTTGGGAGAAAATGCTGCTAAGCAGGACTGATGGCATTGCAGGGGGGTTGGGCTAGATGACCATGAGGGTCCATTCCAGTCCTACAATTTATGTGTTCACAACAATTCTCTTGATCTTCAGAATGAAGAGTTAGATAAGAAGTATGCTGGACTCTTGGAAAAGAAATGGACATCAGTTATAAGATTACAAAAGAAGGTAAGTACAAGCCTCAGTCGGTATATTGCTGGCAACACTGCTGCAGTGCTTTTAAAAGAAGTATGCAAAACAACCTATCCGGTTGGAAGTCCGTACTATGATAACTGGTTTTATAATTTTTGACCTGACAATGTATTGCAAATCATTATTTATGTCTGTGTGTGCTCTGCAAGAATCACAATGTGTGAAAAACCGTGAAGTCAGCCAATGCCTCCGCTTAGCTCCATTCTTATTTCAGACATTGTGATATATCAGTATATCATGATGTTTAGCTGGTGATATATCACAAAGTTGAACACCAGATATCACCCAGCTCTAGTCTCCTAATTCCTCTAAATGTGCCCACTGGTCTCAAGGCTATGAGGTATGTAGGAGATAGGATCCAGCTGAAGCCTTGGCAGGTTTTTGCTTTAAACAAACACAAGCAGCATTGTTAAAGGTAATCGTACCAAGGATATTTGATGCAAAACGCAGGAAAGAGAAAAATTCTGGCTGATAAGGAAGGAATGACAGAGCAGTAGACTTGCACTCATATCTAAGGGAACAAAGTTCAGGTAAAGTAAAAATGACGACAAACACATTTTCTCAAAGCTAAAATGAGCTAAGGATTGGATTGATTTCAAGATAACCAGGCAGATATTTTCCTGTGGCTCTCAGGTTTTGTTTGGTTCCTTTTAGCTGTTACAGCTTGTACTTGGAGATAATTTGAGAGCTGTGTGGCACAGTTTCAGGGCTGCTGTAGATTTGGTGATGGGTCAATGTGTGTTGGTCCTTCAGGACTTGCAAGGTCTTATTTCAGACATTGTGATATATCAGTATATCATGATGTTTAGCTGGTGATATATCACAAAGTTGAACACCAGGTATCACCTTTTGTTTGTCTTACACTTTTGTTTGTTCTCTCCACTCCCCTCTCCCTGCCCTCTCTCCAAAACCATTTAGGTTATGGAATTGGAATCCAAACTAAATGAAGCTAAGGAAGAATTCACTTCAGGTGGGCCACTTGGTCAGAAGCGAGACCCTAAAGAATGGATCCCTCGTCCTCCAGAAAAGTATGCGTTGAGTGGACACAGGAGTCCTGTCACAAGAGTAATTTTCCATCCAGTTTTCAGTGTTATGGTTTCTGCTTCAGAGGATGCCACAATAAAGGTAAGACTCTTCATAAACCCGGTCTGTCTTGCAGCTCTCCAGAAGTGTGCACCTCAAGGGGTTGCTGCAGGCTATTGACACAGGAGGTGTGAGCTGATCAGAATTGGGATATGGCTCCCATTGTGCTTTTTGGACTGTGTTGGCCCAAGTAATTTCTTTTTTGCAAAATGGCATTCTGTGTTTGTGGTCACCCATAGAAATGTAGAAGCTTCAGTTAATACGCAGCTTGGTGGTTTGCCTCCTGAAGCTGGCATAGGTTGATGTACTATTCTCACTCACTCTGCGAAGCCTGTGTTTGTTTGCTGCAGGCACATTCCTGGGCACAATATAATGTACAATCTTAAACAGCTTAGGATTCTTCACGTATGCCACTTATTGTACTGTAGTACTGTAGCCCTTAGTAAGAACACCAAGAACACATGATGACTATGTTGATTGTAGTTTCCAGTCTTTGGGACTCATTCATGCAGAAGCTTGCTGTAGCCTGAATCTCACTATAGCTTGATTCTCAGTGAGGTGGTCAACCTGTTATCTTGGCTCTGAGGCTCCACTTTGGGACATAACTATTGCTCTTCTATACACAACACGGATTCCCCCCACAAAGGGCTAGGCTTCCCCCTGACATGCTAGCTTTCTGTATGCAGGGATAATGGTGGTGATTATTGTATGGAGGGGCATTCAATCCCTGTGAACTGGTAGAACACAGGTTGGCCACCTTGGTGAGTACTGGGCCCATATTTTGTTGGTGGAAGAATTTTTGCTTAGAATAAGGGTCCTCATACTTTCTACCCGGGGCCGACTTGGGATGGCTAAAAAACTCAGGCCAGTCAAAATTGGGGTGCCAGGGGCAGAAACAGTTATAAAAGTGTGGCAGATGGAAGCAGAATTTGGCACAATCAGCTGGCAAATACTTGCATAGCTTTCTTCTGATATTAATGCATCGTTGGAAGTAGCTAAATACTTTGCCACAGCATTTTCCTTGTGGCAGGTTGAGTTCTATAGCTCAACTTTCCTCAAGCTAAGTGCAGACATTTGTTCTTGGAGGCATTGTGATTCAGCCTCCCTATTTCAGGCAGTGTTTCCTGATCTAGTGTCTTTAATTGGAGACAGCTTTTCTTCTATATTTTTTTGTTCCCACCCCCACATGCCTCTCATAAGTATTTTAGCCCAGCTCCTGTAATGTCTTTCCCCATTCTCCTTTTCCACTCAACTTGTACCTTATCATAGTTTCTTTCATCCCTGCTTCGATGTCCTTTTACATTCATCTCTGGTCCTTTCCCCTCAGAGGACTCTTCCCCCATTCCCTGAACTTCTCTGTCTCTTAGCCACCTTTACTCTGCATATAAGGAGTTGCTGGGGCTGGCATTGGTACAGTCAAATATCTTTGGCACAGTTAGTGGGGAGAGGCTGGCAAGCAAGGAGGCACTGGCCAGACTGGTAGTGAGTATATTAATACTTAAGGGCTGTGTTGTATAATATATTGTTTTAATACATCACCTGAAGCAATTGGGTTTTTCATACATGACCCATGAAAAACAAAAACAAACCCCAGCACACCTTTTGCTCTGGAGTCACAAGAGACTTAGTGAATAGTGGAGGATGGAGTAATCACAAGACAGATCCTTAAATGGCTTGGCCCTTTAGGCCTCAGATACTTTAAAGCAGTGGTTCCCAATTAGCTAAGTACTGCAGATCCCCTGTTTTTCAAAAGCCAGGCCCCTACTTTTGAAAATTTTGGTATCTCTATGGTAGTTTTTGTTACATGAATGTCTGCAGAACACCAATTGGGAATACTGCTTTAAAGACTGACTCGTTCCCTACAGACCCCCTTGGCTGCTAAGATTGGCAGAGGAAGCCCTCTTGGTAGTTCCACATCCCTCAGAAAGGGGGGCATGGCCCAACAGAGGGCATTTTCTTTGGCAGGCCCTAAGTTGTGGAAGTCACTACTGAGAAAGATGTGTCTGGCATTTTCATTATATAGTTTGTGGCAAATGCTGAAGATACACCTCTGGCTTTTGACACTTGAGAATGTATATTTTTAGGACCCACTTTATTTCTGTAGTTTTAAGTTGTTTAAACTGTTTTTAATAACTCTGTTTTAATTGTTGTGACCAGTGCTGGGAGCTTGGGGTGAAGGCAAATGGAATAATATTTTAAAAACTTGTGTCCTGCCCTGCATCCATTGACCCATTTGGGTGACTGGTTTCTCCCATTTTTTGTTCTGGCTTTATTCTTAGTTGCCAATGTATGCAAGGCAGATATTCAAGAATTTGAAATAAAGTATTCTACCTTGGTATGTCTGAATATTGCTTTTGTCTCATAGAAAGCAGGAGTTTTATGTGTCTACACAAATAAAACATGTGCATCATCCCATAGAAAGGGAGTCTGCTCTTGTTTAAGGCAACAGGAAGAGCAGCAAAATGTGCTGTCTTCTGGCTTATTGATTTATCTTGGAAATGGGTTGGGTGGAGAGAGAAGGAGAGGTGCTTCTTATTGTCTAATTCATTTGAAAAGTCAGTATACCCTTTGAAAATGTTATTGGTTCTTCCCTTGCTCCATCTCTTTCTTCCATTTTGAATTAATGTTGAACAGAGTGCCAGACAGCTGCTTTGAATGCAAATGAGAGCCTGGAAGAAATATATATATTTTGTGAGGGCAGATGTTCACCAATTTCTTTATCTGCTTCCTAGGTATGGGATTATGAGACAGGTGATTTTGAACGAACCCTGAAGGGCCACACAGACTCAGTGCAGGATATTTCCTTCGACCACAGCGGCAAGTTATTGGCCTCCTGCTCTGCAGATATGACAATTAAGCTATGGGATTTCCAGGGCTTTGAGTGCATCAGAACCATGCATGGTAAGGAATTGAGGAATCCCACACTTGGATTGTGAGTTAAAATCAAACCAGTCCAGACTTGCCCTTTTCTTGAAACTGAAATTAGGAAGGGGATGCAGAACTCTTAACCCAGGGTTTGGGAGGGATGCTGCAAGATAGCGCAAGATAGTGATTTTCAAGGGGTTTCTCAGCTGATTGTTGGGTCTTGAGAAATCCCTTTCAGCGTGCTTTGCAGATGCTGCTAATCAGCTGATTGATGGTGCCCGCCCCACACCTGGTGGTGTATAGGGCAGATAGGCATGGCTTTGGCTTTGCAGGTCAAATGGGGGAGGGCTGGAGGTTTCCCACCCCTGCCTTACACATATGATGTGGTAAACTCATGGCTGAACTATACCACTTCAGTCAGCAGACATGTGGAGGGGAGGGCATCACACGATTGAATGCTCTCCTCTCAGTAAAAATTATTGCACATGTAAAGCTAGTTGTTGGAAAGAATGATTTTAGCTTAGCTGTCTCTCTGACTCTCCAGCAGAGAATTGTTCTGTATGAAAGAAGATAATCATGGGGGCTGTCACTTGCAATCTGAAATTGGTATAGTCAAAACACAGACCCACCATGTTCGCATTTTGAGTTATTAGATAAAAAGATGGTTGTTACCTGGTCAGTATCCTGGGTATATTTTGCAGTCTGTGCTTGAAATGTTAACAGGCTTGTGTTCCCTATTGCTAGTTTGACGAAGTGGGAGCTGTAAGGCTTTAATATGGGCCCATTTCCTTAGCTTGCTGGGAAATGAGACGAGGCAATCTTGCTCTACTGTATAGTATGGTTAGAGCTGAAGTTCCCATGGGAAGCATCACATTTTGGTTCATTCTGTTGCCAGCTATATAAGAATCTTGGATATTTCCCAAGGAGGGCATAATTTTTGCTCCATAGTTGAAACCTGCCTGCCTTCTGTGTTCAGACCATAGCTTGCTTGTTTGAAGCATTGTTAACTGCTCAAAACAATGGGAAGGACTCAACATTTGAAATGGGAAAATATGACTTGAAAGGGATTGGGTGAATTAGGATAGGCTAGAGTTTTGCAAATGTGAATTTTGCTTCATGCGCAACCCCCCCTCCCCCGCTCTGTTCAGCTTTCTGGAGGCAGCTGCCTGCCTTTCTTACCAGGCAAAAATAGCAGAAGCAGCGGTTCTGGCCATTTCTTGTTGCTGCCTAGGAGTGTCCTTAAAGAGCCTGTATAAGCAGAATGTGCCTCTATAACTGCATTTACGGCCTGTGGAAAGGAGTACTGTGTCACTGGACCCAGCATGGGAGAAGATGGTTGCTGTTTCCCAGAGAAGCATTGGCAAGAGAGCACATCTTCACAAGCTCCCCTCCCATTCCAGTTCTCTAGAATCTGAGAGAAGCTTCTTACATCACACTGAGCTTTGGAGCAATACAAATCAAGCCTCGCTGTGAAAGAGCTGCTTGCCCCCAAAGCCAACAGGATAAATAGATTTCCCCGCGTCACTTGCCCCTTGTCTGCTTTGCATGCTTGGAAAACTTGGGGGAGGGGTTTCTTCATGCAATGATGGAGCAAGGAAATCCTCTAAAGAAGAGTGTTGCTGTTTCCAGCTTCTCCTAAGATTTTGTAGTACAAAGATGAAAGCTGTGTGATACCCTCCCTAGGTCTTCTGGCATGCATGCAAGATTTGGGCAAGGGGGCAATGGTGTTTCCACCTTTGCACCTTTTTGCCTGTCCCTTTCAAACTTTTGTTACCAGCTCAATTATATATTTTTGAGATGTGGCAACCAGAGTGTTCTCAGTATTTCATATATGACCATCTGATGCCTGTTTGCCTGGAACACACGGTACTGCACACTCCTTCATTGCTGCTGCAGCATCACTTTCTCTTTTGCCGGCAAAAGTGCTGAACATCTAATGCACCTGCCTTGCCTGACTTTGAAACTGGGAAATGCAGCCATGATAATTTCATGTTGCTCATTACAGCCTGCCAGTGTGGTGTGTGTGTGTGTGTGTTTTGGGTGTGGGCTAAGCGCCCTGGTTTCTTGCTCAAGTTCATTTAAGAAGAACTTAGATTCACAAGATTCTTTTTTGGAAACCATGCAGCGCACTTCTTATAGCCAGACAACCACTGTAGACATCCTGTATTTCTCTCAGTTGGGTCCCTGGTTTGCATATTGAGGGTTACCATACAGGATTATTGTTGCTTGTGTGAATCGAGTACTCTTCACACACATTGTGAGCTAACACAGTCACAGCAGAAGCCTGATGTGAGCGTCTTTGTTGTGTTGTTTTCTTCTAGGTCATGATCATAATGTTTCTTCAGTAGCCATCATGCCCAATGGGGATCATATAGTCTCTGCCTCGAGGGATAAAACCATCAAAATGTGGGAAGTTCAAACAGGGTAAGATCTTGCAGATGTGTTCATGTGATGGGAGAAACAGTGCCTGGTTGCTTTTTGAAGATTCTCCCTAATGCATGGGGATGGGGAACCTCATGGGCTCTTGTTGTACTTCATCTCCCATCAGCCCCAGCCAGAATGGCCAGCAGTTGGGAATTGTAGTCCACAACATCTGGAAGGCTAGTGACTAGTGGGATAGGGCCCACGAATGGATGAACAGCCTGATGTAGGCAAGGCTCGGTGCAGTTGCTCTTAAAACATGCAGAAAGGTGGAGAAGACGGCAAGCAAAGGAATATCTTCTATACAAGTTTAAACAGTTATACCTCCCTTCGATCCTGTGGCTTGGTGCTTCTTGGAATCCTATTAGGTGTCTGAGAGAAGGAATGACAAACTAGTGTGTCACCAGTGTAGAAATGCTAAGAAGGAGAAAGAACAGTATGAGGGAAGAAGAAAACTGGCATAATTAATGTTCATTTTTAAAAAGAGTCTCAAGATTGCCTCAATGTTGAGGATTCTCCCAACTTCTCCTTCTGATTTATATTTTGTATTAACTTTTGGAAATGGATTCTTTAAATGATCCAAATAGCCTTTGGTTTAACCTTCTGCTCAGCCCCTTGTTCTAGCTGCTGTTTTCTTCCTGTCCATTTGCCCAGACTTCCCCCAGTCTTCTCAACTCAATTTAGACCTTTCATTTATCAAAACATTCTGTTTACAACTGCTGCCAACACCAGCATTGTCCCTAAACCATCAATACTTCAATTCTTGCTTTATATAGTAGTGTTCTGTCAACAGCGGTCTTCTTTTTGTTTATTTTCCTTGCAAACAGCTACTGCGTGAAGACTTTCACGGGGCATAGAGAATGGGTCCGCATGGTGCGGCCTAACCAGGATGGCACGCTGATTGCCAGTAGTTCTAATGACCAGACGGTGCGTGTCTGGGTGGTAGCAACAAAGGAGTGCAAAGCTGAGCTCAGAGAACATGAGCATGTGGTAGAGTGCATCTCTTGGGCTCCAGAGAGCTCTTATTCCACCATATCGGAAGCTACGGGATCTGAGGTAAGGAGTCTTTTATATTGCGCTTCTCTCTCCTCTCCTTTCCTCTCCTCTCTCCTCCCCTCCCCTCAGTGTACATTTCAACCTCTTACTCTTAATTGGGGCATGCATGGACATGTGGGATTTGTAGTGGCTGTCTTGTTGCCTCGCATTTCCATCACATGCTGGTGCTGTCTCCCACAGCCATTCCACCCCTTTGATTCAGATAAACATCTGATCTAAAGCTCAAAGTCCCTTTTTTTTTAAACTCAAAAAGGAAGAGGTGGTGGCTTTGGGCAAACTTGTGTGGTTACATACTGAAAACCCATTTTTTAAAGAGCATCCCTCCCCCCAAGTGTGCTAGACTCTTACTCCTTCTTGCTCAGTGCAGTGTTCTAGAGCTCTTCTAGAGCGTGTCAGAATCCTACATACTTGGTCTCTTGAAATAGGCTATCTCCCTTTATAGAAGTGACGTTTCTTTTCTGAATTATTTGGGGCAACACAGTGGACATATGCTATCACTCAACAGTGGCCAAGTTTGAACCTGGTCTCTTTTTTCACTTACTTAAAATAAAAGGCGTGTGTGTGTGTGTGTGTGTGTGTGTGATTAAGGTCATATCTCTCAGCTGACTGCTTAGCTGCTTCACTTTCTCTCCTCTGCCCTCTACTGGCTCGTTGCAGAAATGTTTGCCCAAGAAAGGCATGGAAGGTGAAGAGAGTTGTGAGGCTCAAGAAGTTGTTTTAGCCTGAGCCTATCCTGGCTTAGATATTAATGGAGGCATGTACAAGGGAGAGACATACACTTAAGAATTCCACACTCTTAAGAGAGATTAATGCGTTTTGGCTGAATGTGAACAATAGATTATGGAGTTGTACGTTTATTTCTTTTCTTTAAAGAGCAAAAGTTCATATGATAGATGTCCCTGGTTCCCTTCTCTTTTAGACTTCCCAGTTGAATTTTGGGGGAGTATCTTAAGCAGCTCTAGTGGGTGTCTTGAGTGAAAGGAGAAAGGGGAGACACACGTATTTGAAAGAAGGAGGTGTGAGCCTCGGTGGAGAATAATGGTGAACAGAATAATTGGCAGTGGGCATGACAATCTGACATAGAAATGTGGCCTCAGTGTAAAACTTAACAGTCCAAAACAGTAGCATAATAACTTTTTATGGTAATAGGCTAAATAGTCGCACCAGTTAGTGACTTTAAATTTTCGAGAACTCTTCTTCAGGCTGGATACTGAAGGGATGGAGTAAGAGAGAAGGAAACAGCCAGTGGAGGCCAAATTCAGCAGGAATGCCTAGTGCTTGGAGGACATTTCTCTCCCCTGCCCCACATGTGACCCCAGGCAATGTCGTTAGTGAGTCGTAGGGAACTTTCTTCTAGTTGTAAGATTTCTTTGAGTGGCTAAACTCTATTTATAAGCTTAAAAAAATGCAGACAGCAGTATCGTTGCGTTAGAAAAACAAGCTTCTCTTTAAATAGATCATTAATTGTAATTGAACATAAACAACTTTTTATGTTCATTGGCAAAGTCTAAAGAATTATGTTTTAAAAGTGTGTGAGTGTTGCTGCCGTGTTCATTAACATAAAGTGTTTAATTGACTTCTGAGTCCTGTTTACCTGGAGCACAACTTTCTTTGTGCTTGCTTTAGGTCTCAGGTACTCCAAAGGTGGGTCTGCGTTTCTACCACCTGGAGTATTCATTTTTGTAATTTCCTTCTCTTTCCTTTATAGACTAAGAAGAGTGGCAAGCCTGGGCCTTTCCTGCTTTCTGGCTCTAGAGACAAGACCATTAAGATGTGGGACATTAGTACTGGCATGTGCCTTATGACACTTGTAAGTTCCTGTGTGTCCCCCTCTTGTCGGACTGCAATCCTGTATACTGTTGCTTCATAAGGGAGTAGATGAGACAATATTTCCTGGATGACCTCAAAGCAGTCTCTGAGGCATCCAGCCAGACTAGTTAGAATGAATAGAATCTGTACAGATTGAAGAAATAATCCATCACAGGGCCTTGTTCTCATCTGGGGAATTCAATTTCCTATAGTTCCAAGGCAGTTAGTTTGGGGCAAGTAGTGGAATGATCTTACCATTGGATTTCAAATCATGTTGCGAATGTTCAGGTGTGCACACAATACGTACTCTCTTGTGACCTTGTGTCATTTTTTCTCTCTCAACAGGTGGGCCATGATAACTGGGTACGTGGCGTCCTGTTCCATTCTGGGGGGAAATTTATTTTGAGCTGTGCTGATGACAAGACCTTGCGTGTCTGGGACTACAAGAACAAAAGATGCATGAAGACTCTCAATGCGCACGAACACTTTGTTACCTCGTTGGGTATGTATGTGCACTTATTCCAGCACAGCGCAGCTGAGTACAGACCTACGTCTTCTCTGTAGGTTGGTCTTTACCTGGAGCCCGACTCATAAACCAGTGGCACCACTCTTCAGCTAAGAAGGGATACACTGCACTGCATTAAATACTCTCTATAGACTGTCAAAGTATACCTGTGTTAGATTGGCTTAAAAGTCCCCATGCTACGAAAAATGTCTGGCCTCCCTCTCTTCACACAAGAAGAAAGGGGAAGGGGGCATGTTGGAAGTTACAGGGAAAGTATATGCTGGTAGTGTTTTGCCAAGCTGGTGAAGACAGTTGGGTTTCGTTTGTTTCTGTGCAGCAACCTTTTTTTCAAGCAAAGGAAAAAGTGGAAAAATTAGTTGCTTGTACAGGCATAATGAAAATTGAAACTGGCTTCAATAGGAGTGAAACTCCTTTATATCCCTTGAGGGAGAGGTTCCCTGTTCCCTCTTCCTTTGTTCAGAGCTGGTTGTTCCTCTGCCCCCACCTCTCCAGTTCACAGGACCCATAAAAGCCAAGCTGCTTTACATTTATTGGCAAGCCATTCCTGACTTGCTGTGCTGACTGTACTGCCAATGATGGCTGATGGATGATCTGTGACGTGGGCTGTCAGCTAGTGGTTTGCTGACGTAACTCAAGGTGTGTTGCATCAGTGGCACCATCATTTTTCTTCTTTAAAAAAAATGTTAGGAGGAGGAGGGCAGAGTAAAGGTATGTCTGCACTGCTAGTTTACACTAATAGTATGCGTCATCTGCTGGCATGGCTGTCCCTGTGAGAGGGGGAAATAATGGGGGCTGTAGTTTAGGGTAAGCTGGGTATCTCCTCCTTTCACAGATCTGTGCACAGGTTCCCTAGGGAGGAGGAGCAAGTGTGTTTTTGGAACCCTCAATTAATACAACCCTCATCCAAGAGGACACTCAGAGGCAGTTTCTCCATTGCCTCAAAATACAGGTTTTGGATGAAAAGCTAAAGGAAAACAATGAAAGCCAGCAAGTCCTAGCAGGTTCCCTTCAGGCATAAACTCTCTACAGTGTAGGAAACAATAAAGATTGGCCATGGCCACTCACAGTATATGTACTGAATTTTAAAATCTTTTGGCTGATCCAGCATCATGGACATTTTTCAGCTCTAGTATTGACCTATCCTTTGTGGTGCTGTTAGTAACTTCCTGTCTTCCCCCGCCCCCCTCTCTCTTGCAGATTTCCACAAGACAGCGCCCTTTGTGGTTACCGGCAGCGTAGATCAAACAGTAAAAGTGTGGGAGTGCCGTTGATTGAATTCACACCTGGCCCACCCCCCTCTTTCCCTCCCCCTCTGGATGCACTCGGATACCATGGTTACCCATTGAGCTCTGTTTAAAATAAATATTGTCCTTTCATGTAAATTATTCTGGATGTAGATTGAGCTTATTAAATGTTACACACAAAGTATTCATGCATGGTGAATCCAAATTGTATACTGTAAATTTACATACGTTGTCTAGAAGTACCATAGGTTTAAGGACATGGGCTGGCATTGGTCACATCAGACCTGCGAAGGCAGAAGCTGGTTGGTTGAATTAAGGGCACTTAAACCACCACCACCAGCAGCAGCAGCAGCAGCAGCAAAATCCCATTCTGTGCTGGATAAACTGAACACCCGTTCTCTTCTGTTGGGTGGTGCCTATAACTAGTGACTCTCATACGGATTCCTTTTTTGGGTGGGGTGGGGAGGGCTCTTTCAAGAAACACGTATCTCTGTAACAACATCACTTAAGTGTGCTTAAGAAATCTAAGGATACTAGATAAACAAGGCTGCAACTTAGAACCTTATGTAATTAATGGAAACTAATTAAAACTTCCATTTTTTTTCTCGTCATGATATATTTGCCAAATCAATAGGATATATTTTTATTTTGGCTTCCTATCACGTTTAAAAAGAAAAAAAAAGGTTAGTATCCTGATACTAACAAGCTGCAATATAGGAAGAGAAACCTTGGTATGATGTGACGTGTATTTTTGTTTTTTTAAAAGAAATGGTTGTCGGAGTTCTATTGCATTCTAACACTTGGCGCTTAATGCTTTCCATGCAAAATGTGTCTTAGGGAGTCTGTCGGTCTTGCTTGAACGTAGCTCTTAACTGGACAGTTGGACTCAATCTCCCAGTTGACTCCTGACAGTTCAGCTTTCTGTTGGCTTTGGTTGTGGTTTATCAGGCTTGTGCGATGTCCACAATATCTGAGGGTGTCCTCTCTCCTCCCCTGCTTTCCCTGGTAGTTGGTGAGTGTGCAGCAAACAGGGTAATAGTGGTGTGATTCCCTCTCCTTTCCAGTTAGCGAAAATGTCTGAAAGCAGGACAGGGAGCCAGAAGATGGTCAGATGTGATGGGTCATGAGAGCAGAGTTTGCAGTGCTCCAAAAAAAGCACTGTAGAAAGAAAGAAAGAAAGAAAGAAAGAAGGAAGGAAACAGGAGGAGGAGAACCACTTATGCTAGCAGGTACTTTGCAAGCTTCTAGATAACCTTACAACCGCATGTTAAATCCACCTGCTGACATGCAAAAGCCTGCTCTTGTTACAGAGTTTTGAAGCCAGCTTCAGTTTGGAAGCTGCCCCCTTAATTTGAAGAGCTCTAAAAGAAAGAAATGCCCCCCAATTCATCTTTTTTCCAAGGAGCAAGCATCATTCAATCAGCCTTTTATTGGTCACGTTCTGTTATAGGCATTTTTAAGTCCAGCCCTTCAGTCCAGCCCTCCAAAAATCCACGTACCAGTCTGGACAAACTGTCGGTCTGACAAATTTTAACACACGTGAAGTATTTTGTTTTGTTAGCTCTGTGGCTTTTAAAAGAACTGGCCCTTAAAAGGAAAAAGCAACAAAACCCCCCACTTGTTTGGAGGGTTACTTGCATGTCAGTAGAAATAAGGCTTAATCACACATTTTGGTTCACCCGCAAGGAGGATTTTTTGGTGCTTGGCTTCTTTTACGGGAGCTGGGAAACCAAAGGCAGTGAATGACTTGAAAGGGTGGGGAGTAAGTTAGGGTGCAAGTCCTGTCTTCTGGAGAATGCAGTTTTTTAGTGAGCAAGGTTCCCACAAGCCGAATCTTTCACATTTTGAAGTCTTACCCTCGTTTTTAAGCTGTTTTTGACAGGAAATTCATTGCTGTTTTTGCCTTTTTGAGAATTTCTGAATCTGTAGTGGGGCAGTCATAGCAATGCCGGTTAGCAATTGTAAAGTAATTCTTGGCTGAGGTGTAGAAATCCTGGTTCTTTTCTTTTTTAAGGGTTAAAGGTAAACTCTGCATTTACAGAGTCTGTGAAACTATGGTACCTATTAACACCGGAGCTTGACCACTATTCCCTTCACTCCTTTGAACATAATACATGGTTTTAGGATAAAAAAGGAACCATTTTGTAGCCTCTAGTAGTCACGAAACCTCCTTGGCGTTGAGTAACTTTAAACTTGTAAGCTACACGTCCATTTAGCCGGTTTACAATAATAGGCGCATTACCATGAGTGGTTGTAGACTGCACCAGCAGTTACACCCCTGGTTTTAAAACAAAAGAAAATGGAAAAGGGGAGAAGTTGGTGGTGTGGTGGAGTTGTCCCTAGGAGTTGGCTGTTGTGCTTCTCTCTGGCTATCTTAATCCTGTGCCTTTTCTTTTTCTCCCGTGAAGAGTCTCAAGCGCTGAGGTTTACTGGTTTGGATTGAAAGAGGATTTTTTAAAAAAATATATAGCAGAAGGTATTCAGGAGTGTATTGCTGTGTGTTCCGTCACACAAAGAGTGGCATTCTGTTTTTAAAACTGAAAGGGCAGTGGTCAAGCACCACGCTTCCAAACAGACCAGTTTCGGTGTCCAGTCTCTTGAAACAAAGCCACAAATACATACCTAGACACGTATATCAACACACACACACATTCCAGAACTGCATGGATTATTAAGATGTGCCCAGGAAAAAATAAATAAATCCTAGATTCATTTTTTTTTTTTGAAAGTGCAAAATCCACCCTCCCCTCTTTTTTGATTTGGACACAATCTGAGAGCTGATGACTTGGAGCATCCTGCACTTTACCATTTTCATTTAAAAGCCGTCCTGCTTTTGTGTGTGGTGTGACCAATGAAGTGCCCAGGGCACAATTTTTTTAAAACCCCCCCCAGAAAATACTAGTTGCTAGCAAGTTGTCAAGAAGCTGTGGAGCACTGTAGTATTTTGAAAGCTTTGGCTCTCGCCTCACCAAGCTACCCCTACCCCTCCACCCCTGGTCTAATCTGTTGACACCTGGCTGCTTCTCCCATTTACCTCTAAACTCTCTCTCTCTTTTTTTTTTAATGTGAAATGAACTGCCTGTTTAAATCATTCTTAAATAGCTTTCTCTTCTCCTCTCACCTCACTTCTCTGCCCGTCCCTCATCCCATCTTCCCACCCCATGAAAGCTATTTAAAAGGATACGGTTTGGGTTGGGTTTTTCCTCCGCAGTGGCTTGATAATCCTGACATGGATTGTTTTGAGTGCAAAATTTTAACAGAATTTGAATGAAGGAAAAAAGAAAAAGAAAAAATCCACTTAATTATTCCATATTCTCACTCTGGCTGTGTATATTTAAAAATAAATAAATACCCAGGGTACTAGCTACTGCAAAACCTCTCCATTAGTGGCAGAAATGATGTGTATAAAATAGGGAAACTTGTTTGGGAGGTTTTCTTTTTTTTGTGGGGGGGCAGAGGGTGGGCAAAAGGTTGAGCCAGATTGGCAAGTCATGACTGGATGTTAACCAGCCTTTTTTATTCTCTTTCTGCTGTGTCCCTGTAAGTAACCACTTTCTTGTCCTAAGCATATCCTTCAAGCTGTCCAAAGTTCTTTCTGAAGAGAATTAGCAAAATATTCCACGTTTTTAGAAGTTTGATCCCAACACTGACATGACGACAAGCATCTTTATTTCTCTCCCCCCCATAAGAACGGTGTAGAGATTGCCATTGGAGAAAGCTTCCCCCCTCACCCCCAGACTGTAGGAGTTAACTGAAGATATTGACACAATTAAAATAAAAAAAAAATCAGTAAAGGAATGTATATAATACTGCTCTGTGTTTTACAGTAAGATTTGTTGCTCTCAGACTGTGTAAAACAAAATTTATTCATGTTTTCTGCATATTAAAACAAAAATCTTATTGTACCAATTGGTAAACTATTAAATGCATATAAAACTAAATGCGTTTCGTTCTTTTTGTTTGTCTAGGTGCAGAAAAGATCATGTGCGCTTTTAGATTGTGCTTGATTAGGCAGTTAAAAGCAGATGGCAAAAGAATATCATGTTGGGTTTCAAGCTGGAGGAAAGCAGTGCTTCAAGTGACAATGCAAGTTGGGTGAGTGGTGTGGGGCAGAGCAGATAAAAGGAGGGCTGGGCTGGTACAGCTGGGCAACCAGCTTACACAACATTTGTCTCTTGTGAAGCTCTAAAGGGGGCAGTTGCCCTCCATTTCCTAAGTACAGGCGTCCCCCCCACCTAATGTGTGTTCTACTTGTGTACAACCACATATATGTGCAGCGCCAGGAAATAAATAGAACCAGAAAATGGCGGGGGAGAGTCCCCGCAGCTCACGAGGTGACCCTGCCCGGAGCGGACATCAGTGAGGGCAGAGGAAGCCCCAGAGAGACCTTAGGCACCGTGGGGCTTTTTTTTAGGCTGCCCAGCCTCCCCGCCTGACAGCTGACTTGCATGGTAGATTATCAGCCGGTTTCCTGTACAGCCTCCAGCCAGCCCCAGAACTTCAGCTCTAGTTGAAGCAAGAGTTGGAGAGCAAGGAAAAATTAAGTTGCGGCGGGGGGCACCTGCAGTCAAAATCTGCTTGTGGAATTCATTGTCGTAGAACGTGGTGAGGGCCACGGGCAGAGACAGCAGAGGCTGGCACCTAAGGGCAGATGGGGCACTGCCCCGCCAGCCTACCCTCAGCTGGCCCTTTCCTGCTTGCAACCAGGCCTGGAGGTGCTGTTGCCTCTCAACTTCCTCCTTAGTTGGTGTTGCCCCCTTCTAGAACGCAAGAATGGGAGCAAAGCTAGGCCTAGCAGGCTCAGGCGCCACCTCCTGTTGGTCTCTGTCATGCTGGTCTCAGTGGGCAATGGCCACCATGGCTTAGAGATGCATCTAAAAGCAGTCATACTTGGAGGTCTTCTTGATGGTGACACAGAATGGAGTATGTTCAGAGGGATGATTAAGGACAGTGGCATGTGGCTGTGTGTTGCCTCCAGGCCCTGTATTGGAGCTTCTTGCCGGCATCTAGTCAATGCCTGTTGGAAATGGGATGTCAAGTTTCTGCATTAATGCAACTTGAGATCTTGGTACGGTTAGATAGCAGCACTGCAGAATGCCCTGTACATCTTGCCACTTGGAAGTGGGCAGCCCAGATTAATGCTTGAGGCTGAAGGTCCCTACTGGAAGACAGTTAGCTTGTTTGTGGGAACAGTGGATTTTTTGGTTTAGCCTGTTGCTGCAATACTTAATTACCCAAACAAAACTCATTGGAGCCAATTTGTTTTCAAATGCTTGGAAGCTGCAGTGTCACCCAGGACTCTTCGGCTTACTATCACGTATTTCGGGTTGACTCGCCACCCCACCCTCCCCCAATGGGTAGCAACCCAATGCAGAAAACGCCTCAAGTTACCAGGGAGGGAGAAGCCACATCAATTAATTTCAAGCTGTACAAATGTAATTTGACCTAAATAAATCTAACACCCAAATGAGCAACTGTGTTAACTGTAGGCAAGTAGAGTTTTATTAACCTAATTAGTATTGACTCTTTGACAGGGCGACCTCTTTCCACTGAGCTGATTTTACCTACATTACTGTCGTTGACCTTGATTTTCCACAATAGGCGATAGCAGCCTTGTTAACTAGCATTGGAAAAAACATTTTCTGTGCTTCACACAAGTGGTTATCCCACAGTAAGCCTTTAACAGCTCTGACCTCTAAAATCTTCTAGTTTTTCTTGTTTTCCTTCTGATTGACTGACACCAAAGAAGCTTGTCATCTAGAGTGGGTGGAATTTTACTAGTTTGATCTAATTTGAAATGGGGTGGTGATGGCAGCGTTGAATTCTGAGTGCCACTCCCCATGCAGCTGTTCTGCTAATGTGGCATCTATATCCCTTTTCCTAATCAGCTAAGACTAGTTAATTCATGGGTAGGCAGAAGGGATATCTGGGTTATATGAAGAAATGGCTCCCTGGTTGGTCCTATTGATGGGTATGTTGGGGAGATCCCATTCTCATTTAGAAGCTTGCTAGGCCAGCTCATGGAGGTGGCCTATAGTTGTTTTCACATGGTTTAATTGAGCCAGTTAATACAGTGGATCCTTGGTTTACGAACTTAATCCGTTCCGGAAGTCCATTCTTCAACCAAAGCGTTCTTAAACTAAGGTGTGCTTTCCCATAGCAGCAGGGGACTCAAATTTACAAATGGAACACACTCAACAGGAAGCGAAACCTGTTCTGCTTCCAAGGCAAAGTTCACAAACCAAAACACCTACTTTCGGGTTTGCAGCGTTCTTAATCCAAGTTGTTCATAAACTAAGCTGTTCTTCAACCCAAGGTACCACTATATCTTTTATCCTTGCTGAATCGGGACTGTAGAAATAGTCTAGATAGCAGTTTTTTGTTCTCAGCTAAATGTGGATGAAAGCAGAGGAGGCCTGTAGAGTTACAAAGCAGTCTGTGTGTGAACAGTGGCGAGAAGATTGCCTACAGGTGAGGCTCCTAACCTGGCAGCTGTAGTCAGGCACCATGACACCCCAAGATAGATGCAGACACACTTGCTAAGGGCTTACTCTTTTAGGAGTGTATGTGGGCAGAATGCAGATCAGTTTTCTGTGCAATTGGCATTTTGTGGTGCCCTCCCATCTTACAATGGATTGAGATGACTAGGCTCAGAGGCGAGCTCAAATCCTGTTGGCTACGAAGCTCACCTTTTAGCCAGTCACTTCCACTTGGGAGTGGAAGAAGCATACAAAGCACTTCCTTCATGCAGTGCATAGTTGAAAGTATGGAACTTGCTTCTACTGGAGGGCAGTGATGGCCACCAAGCTAGGAAGCTTTGAAAGAGGATCAGACAAATTAATGGTGGAGAGGGCCGTACTCTGCCTCTACAGTCAGAGGCAGCAGTGCTGCTGAATACCAGTTGCTGGAAAGTACAGAGGCCATGAGAGCTTTTGCGCTGGATCTTAGTTGCAGGATTCCCACAGGTATTTGGTTGGCCACTGTGAGAACGATGCTGGACCAAGTAGGCCGCTGGCCTGATCCAGCAGGCTTTTCTTAGGTTCTTAAGCATGTGTGTCTCCTTGAGGTCATTAAGCTAAGGACTGGTGGGCAGACCTTTTGGGTCTCCCTCTCACTGGTAGTGGCAGCACCCCAGAACATAATGCACACCTCTGGACCCACAAATTATACAGGTCATGTAGTCTGTAACGTAAGGAAATAACGTGGCAGAATAGCTGAGCCACAGCATCTGGCAAGATTCTGACCATACCACCTTAAAGCCCCTCAGGAGACAGATACCCAAGGCTGTCATTGGCTTCAAGTATAAAATTAAGCCAAACTGTCCACTGTCTGTGAGAAAAATTGGGCAGATGGTTCTTTTTCTGCTTATGGCACAAATTTATTTGAGGGGAACCATTACTGGGAGATACTACTCAAAACAAAGCACACAAAACCTAAAATAAAAGTTGCATTGAAATCTGTTCTTTATTCAGACACTTCCAAGGAAATTCTGTATTTTTCTCTCTCGCCCCCCACCTCCACATCTGGACCAAAGAACATTCTCTCCCCCAGGGAAGGGGGCAGGGCTCTTGCTATGTACCTAAATTGCACTCGCGTCAAGGAACAGGCAACCTTCGCTATCTGGGCCCCAGAACCATGCCAAAGTTGCGCTTTATTTTATTTTGCCCACTGTAGCAGCAATTTCCAGCCACGCTACGATGACGTCGCTCACTCACACACTCCCCTCCCACCCACCTTTCTTTGGTAGCCGTTTTTGGCAGGTTTAATAGGGCCGCAGGGAGCGTAAGTTGCCCAACCCCTTGCACTGAGTCTGTAACACAAGTCCCGCCCCCCCATCCTTCCCCAAAATACAATATTCGAGTCACATGGTAGAAACATGACCTCTCACTCTTGTGGTTTTGAGCAGGGGTGGCGGCTGACAAAATGCAATTTAGTACAAAAGGGAGAGGAGGGAGGTGGTGACCACCAGACTCTGCATTTTGAACTCAACATGATGTGTGTGTTTCTTTAGGCAGGGAGGGCAGAGCTAGGAAATCAGCTTTATTGTTCTTACGAACACATTCAACCTGTCGGTAATAGCAGGGACGTACAGTAGTGAGAGCTATTAAGAGTAGCTGAAGAACATATCACCGTTTTCCCCCTTCAGGGGAGAGCAGAATATTGGGCAGAGCATCCATTGCCAGCAATGAATGCCTTCTTGGGAAACTTGTGTTCTAAAGCTGATGAGGCTTTGGGACAAAAAGCCTCCACACGAACAAGACCCTCCCCCCCCAATCATCTTGTTGCGTACTATATAGTATTTAATACAAATTTATTATTATTTTCACTGCGAGAAGGAAATTAGGGGGAGAGAAAAGAGCTTCATTTTAGGTTCATGATTCTTGTTTAGTACATTCACAGATAAACCTTTTAAAAACAACAGCCCAAACATTGATTCAATTCAGCTCACCAATTGAACCAATTGTTTTCGAGGCAGCAGTCTTCAGCTCCTCGAGTATGATTTTGGGGCGCGTAACTTGCGAGAGACGACCGAGGCGCTTTTGTTCCATGCCATTCACACAACTCTTTGAGAAGGGGGTGGGGAGAGAGGTAAAGTATAGGCACTAGGGATTTTCCATTGTATAAGTTGAAAAGGGTAAGGGGGGAATTTATACCAGACTTTAGGGATGCTTTGACATGGGAGGAGCCAAGCCTAGTTACTCAGCACTCCCTCCCTGCCCCCAAGCCATCAATTCAGCTTTTACAGTTAACTTGGCATAGGGGGGCAGCTGGATGGTCACAGCTGTAGCATCCCATGGCTTGGTTTTCTTCTTTTTAAATACCCCCCTTCCTTTTGGATGCTGTTTCTTATGCTGTGCTCAAGAGGGAGCAAAGCACAAGGAATTTAGGTGGACACAAAAAACCACACAACATCTCTTTTCCTGGGCCATGAAACTTGGGGAAAAAACAAAACCGCACCCCACATTCCCAACAAATCTGAATAGTTTGAGGGGGGGGGGGAAGACAAGGAACGAATAAAAAGAGGAACCCTAAAAGGAATCCAATGGCTGTCTCCTAAATTTAGACCAAAAAAAAGTTCTATGCCATCTCCTCAAAACAGTTTCCTCTGCAGTACCAACTCTGCTCAGGCCTTAAAGATAAAACATTGAGATAAAAAATATGGCTGAATTTATATTTAATATATAATATTTATAGTGTCACGATCACCTAAACAGTGCAGCAGCGGGCTGAGCCTCAAAAGTTGGAAGAAAAAGGAGAACTTTTGGGGGGGTGGGGGGTGGGGAGAAGAACCACCAGGCCCGGGAGGTGGGGAAGGTTCCTTTTCTGCAAAGTTATAGATGTCCTTTAAAAGTCAACAGAAAAAATGACCTGAGAAATGTTATTATACCTCACTTGGAATTAAATCTCTTATGTACACGGTAAAAATGGATTGAAACGTACACGCACACACGCATGCCCCCTTTCCACCCTCCCCACGGCATCCCTGCATTCTCCCGCCCCAGTTAGACTCTCCGGGCACCAGCAGCTGTTGCACCGGCCCGTTTCGGGTGCCCAGTGCCCGCCTTGACAGGTAGGGTTCATTTCTCAAAATTTAGTTCTTTGCATTGTGTATTCATTGTACCAGTGCAAATTAAAAAATAAAAACAACAACAACACAAAAACACATTGCCGAGGAGAAGCTGCCCCGAGGAGAGGCTGAGCAACCCCCTACACCCCACCCCGGGACAGATTCAAACAGCCAGAGCCTTCTCCCGACGCAGACCCCCAAGCTAGGGAGCCGTGGCTGCAGGCGGGCTTGCTTCGGGCTCGCTCTCTTCCGTGGGTTTTTCTTCCGACTCCAACTCTTCGCTGCCCTTGAGGACCTCCTGAAGTTGCTGGCGCCGCTGCACTTCGGCTTTAAGGTTCTCCAAGTCTTTTTGGCTGCGGAAAGGAGAAGGGGGAAAGGCTGGGCAATCCCGGGCAGAGCAAATTCAGAGGAATAGCGTGCAAAGCAGGGCACTCGGGACGGTAGACAAGAGGTAGCTCATCTCCCTAGCTGTTGCCGCGACAGAAAGACCCGACCTGTGTTTATGCATCTCTCCTATCCAAGCTGCGTACAAGCAGGCAAAGACTCCGCCTGCGATTAACCTGCTTCTGCTCCTCCCACTTCAATCCTCTCCTGGGTCATGGGAGACAGAGGAGGGGTCAGCAAACTTTTTCAGCAGGGGGCCGGTCCACTGTCCCTCAGACCTTGTGGGCAGCCGGACTATATTTTGCAAAAAATAAAAATGAATGAATTCCTATGCCCCACAAATAACCCAGAGATGCATTTTAAATAAAAGCACACAGTCTACTCATGTAAAAACACTCTGATTCCCAGACCATTTCTGGGCTGGATTTAGAAGGCAATTGGGCCGGATCCGGCCCCCGGGCCTAAGTTTGCCTACCCATGCCCTTGACTCTCCACCAGCCTGACCTCTCTCTCTCCCCCTTTCTCCTGCCTCTGACTTTCATCTCCTGGCTGTTAAAGGCTCCCCCAATTCACCCACCTCCACTCCTTGGTGTCCAGCCATTCCTTGATAATCTTATACCGAAAGATGATTCCTAGTTTTTTCGAAAGGTAATTTTGGCAATGCAGATTTGGCCCTGATGCTTTCTGGAGCAGGGGTATGGAACTGCAGGCTAGGAGCCCCCCCCGCCTCTCTAGAGACTCCCCTTTGGCCATTTCCCCTTGTTCCAGGTCACACCCCTCACCAGCCTTGCACCTCAGGTGCTTTTGTCCTGGCTGAAATGTATCCTTGTACTATGATAATGATTCAGAATGGAGGGTTGTGTGTGTACGCTAGCCTACCGTACAATGTTAAAATGTGCATCAGTTGCTCTGCCCATTTTTGGCTCTGGCCCCGCCCACCCCTGCCATGTGTCCGGCAGGGAATCTATCCCTTGGGATGAAATCATTTTCCCCTCCCCTGCTCTAGAGGAACAGATAAAGGCAGGAGAGACTTTATAACACAACGAAGGAACTTCCGTCACTGTAGAGCAGATGAAGAGTTTGCTATGCACTTTAAAGTTAGGTGAGGGTGAATATTTGGCTCTCCAACTACTGCTCATCTACAGCTCTACTAATCGGTGGCCGATGCTTGCTGGAGCTGATGGGAGTTGTAGTTCAGCAACCTCTGGAGGGCCAAAGGAAGTGTTGCCAAAGAAGTGACCTGTAATCGCGAACCAACCTACACCTAAGCTTCAAAATTCTCCTGAATTCTCAAAATTCTCCTGAAGGCCCCCCTGCCCATTAAAAACAATGGAGGCGACATCCAATGCCATTCATACCACCACTCCTGGAGTGGTAGAGAGAAAGACAGATACACAAAGTTTGAGGTCTCTTACCTTAGTGGAATGAAGAGAATCCCATTGATTATGTTCAGCTGCTCCAGGACGCTGGCCATACTGGGAGCTGTGAACTAAACGAAACAAGAGATTAGCTTATTAACCAACAAAATAAAAGCAACACATGGGGCTAAGAAACCAATGGCACAGTTCTAAGCAGCAAACAAAAATGCCGGGCTGCCTAAATGGGACCGTGGATCCTAGAGGCAGCCAACGCTCTTCCCCAGTATAAAGGGAGGTGGTGATTTGGGTAGCGAGCAGAACACAGGGTTTCTGACACAAACAGGACTTGGTGACTGGACGACTGGGAAGGGCTCCCAGCAATGAGGATGCGAACACTGGCTCAGGACCGCAATACCTCAAATGACCGGCTCTCTCCCTATGAACCAACCTGGACCCTTCTGTCTTCATCTGAGGCCCTTCTTCGTGTGCCTTCTCCATGAGAAATGCGGAGGGCAGCAACACAAGAACAGGACTTTTCTGCGGTGGCTCCTCATTTGTAGAATGATCTCTCCAGGGAGGCGCGCCTGGCGCTTCCATTACATATCTTTTGGCACTAGGCAAAAGCATTTCTTTTCTCCTTGGTCTTTAGCTAATTAAACGATCTATGGCCTTTTACACTGGGGGTGTGTGTGTGTATTATTTTTGGTTTGTTACTATAGTAACAACATTTTTTAAAAAACATGCCTGGAATGGTATCTGGGAGCCAGGTGTACACCACACCTTGGGTTCCAGGTTGGAAGAAAGACAGGAAATAAATGCAAGTAAATAAAATGTATGCACTTCTCCACCCTTCTGAGCCCGATTCCCAAGAACAGGAACCCTTTAGGTCAGGTTAGGCTTAGAAGGGAGTTGTTTCCTGGCAGTTCAGTTGAGTGGGGAGGGAACAAGTCACCAAAGGATCATTATGCTGACTTCAGTTGCTTCGTATCTGCACTACAATGAATTAAAGCCTTGGCTTTATCTGCCATTTTTATCTTGCCTAGAGCCCTCAGTGCTTTACACACACACACAAAACAGTGTGGCTTTGACCCAGACCCAAGTTCAGGTCCCTGTCCAGCCGAGAAGTGGTCAGGCTGATCTTCAACAATCAACTGCTTAACCCCCATCGCTCAAGGATATTGCAAAGACAAGCAATTCCAAGCTATCTGAGACAGGAAAACACCATGGCTGAGCTCTTGTGACGAGATGGGAGTAAAAATCCCCGAGTAGTGGTGCAGTAGAGTAAACTGAACAGCACTCCTGGACACTGAGGTGTGCTACGCATTGCTGCTTAATTCCTCAGACAAGAGGTACATCTTACTGCCAAAGCCAATCTGGGCAGCTACCGCAGGGCAACTCACTTTCAAGGGCATAATGTTGGCGCTGGATCCATTCTTGTAGATCTCATTCATTGTGCGTTGCAGGGCCACAGCCTGCTGAGTCAGATATTTCAAGTACTCTGAGCTTTCTTTGGTCTTATCGTGATGCTCACCAAGCTAGCCAAAAACACACACAGATATTTATTAATACGTATATGTATATTAAACAAATGCACATACGTAACGGAAACAGAAGGCGTCCAATGTATTAAAGCAAAGCAAGAGACCCTTACCTGGTTTTTGTAGATCGTGTAGCCTTCCTTCTCGTGCTGCAGAGCTGACCGGAACTCAGCTTTGCTCTCGTACACTCGGGCGACCAAGTGGTGACTGCAGAGAGGATGCAAAAAGGGAAGACAGCAGAATGATGTTTCTGCGCATGGTTGAAAAGCGATCGCGCACGTGGTGAGAATTCGGTTGCAGAAGCAGGTCTGGCAGACGCCTCCCCACCAACTTAACAGTGTTTTTCAATACTTTCATGTAACGTTTGATCAATTGCATTTCCGTGGCTGGCGGGTCACGATACACACATTTGCAGAGGCATTCCTTAATATAATGCATGTATTTTAGCTGCGAAAGCCCCTCCCTCCCCACTGGGCAAACAACAGGATTGGGCGTTTCACCTGAGTGCAACTTTCAGAGACTTGGCGCCGTGGTACTTGGAGTTGATGAGCAGCGCGTTCTCCAGAAACCGCAGGGAGAGATCGTACTCCATCACTCCATGGAGGACCAAGCCAATATTGTTCTAGGGGCAGAAGCAATGTTCCAGTGAGGCAGGGCCAGAAGTGGACCTTTAGTGCTAGAGCTGGCCTTCCCACACACAAAAGAAGCCCTAAGGAGCCCGTCCATCTAAACAGCTACCCCCATGGCACATACAGGACACACAGTGATCAGAGGTGCGGCAGGGGGCGAGAACCCCCCCATTTTTATGCAAAAGAAGAACTTCCGCTTGTCAGAAACACTGCATAAAAATGAACGATCATCATAATCCTTACAATGCTGTATATACAATATTTTAAATCAAATCTGAAAACAAGGGACACAGGAAGATAGCAGTCTCTCCCGTCCCCCACAATCCGTTGCAGTTAATTTTGGTTACTGAGGGAATTGGTTACTGGGAGGGATGGCTAACACCCCAGAGGACAGGATCACACTTCAAAACGACCTTGACAGATTAGAGAACTGGGCAAAAACAAACAAGATGAATTTTAACAGGGAGAAATGTAAAGTATTGCACTTGGGCAAAAAAAATGAGAGGCACAAATACAAGATGGGTGACACCTGGCTTGAGAGCAGTACATGTGAAAAGGATCTAGGAGTCTTGGTTGACCACAAACTTGACATGAGCCAACAGTGTGACGCGGCAGCTAAAAAGCCAATGCACTGGCTGCATCAATAGGAGTATAGCATCTAGATCAAGGGAAGTAATAGTGCCACTGTATTCTGCTCTGGTCAGACCTCACCTGGAGTACTGTGTCCAGTTCTGGGCACCACAGTTCAAGAAGGACATTGACAAACTGGAACGTGTCCAGAGGAGGGCAACCAAAATGGTCAAAGGCCTGGAAACGATGCCTTATGAGGAACGGCTAAGGGAGCTGGGCATGTTTAGCCTGGAGAAGAGGAGCTTAAGGGGTGATATGATAGCCATGTTCAAATATATAAAAGGATGTCACATAGAGGAGGGAGAAAGGTTGTTTTCTGCTGCTCCAGAGAAGCGGAGACGGAGCAATGGATCCAACTACAAGAAAGAAGATTCCACCTCAACATTAGGAAGAACTTCCTGACAGTAAGAGCTGTTCGACAGTGGAATTTGCTGCCAAGGAGTGTGGTGGAGTCTCCTTCTTTGGAGGTCTTTAAGCAGAGGCTTGACAACCATATGTCAGGAGTGCTCTGATGGTGTTTCCTGCTTGGCAGGGGGTTGGACTCGATGGCCCTTGTGGTCTCTTCCAACTCTATGATTCTATGAATTTCTAAAAAAGATTTATACAGCACAGAATCAAGTCTGCTGAATCACAGAACTAGAAGCCCACAAGGGCAAAGGAAACTTGTGTCCCAAATTAGAAATGCAAAAGGCAGAGGTTTTTCAAGACGCTGCATCTCATTGGAAAAAGTCAAGTTCAGCTTTAGGTGTTCCGCCTGCAGAAACTACACAGGCTCTTTAGCTGGGGCTCCAGAGACCCTGGCCGGCCAACAGCTAAACTTACATCCAAGAGTGCCATTTCTGGGTGATCTTCGCCAAACACCAACAGCATGAGGTAGCGTGCGCGGTATAGCAAGTTGAGCGCTGTAGACAGCTGGCTGTTTGCAAAGCAGTACAAAGCAAGGTGCATCTACAAGAGGCATAAGAGAATCTGGTTGCAGATAAACAATTTAGAAATAATAATAATAATAATTTCAACAAGAAACAAAACGGTTAAAAGTCAGAACCACCCCTCCTTGCTGTTCTCCCCGCCCCCCTGGAGAATCTTCCTTCTGTTTCCAAAATTTGGACTGTGATGCCTTTTATTTCCATAGTCCTAATTGGCATCATTCATGGTATTAGCCGCTGGAGGGGATCGGATGGGAGTTTGGAGAAATACACTTTTTTACGATTTGGGGGTGGGTGGAAGGAATTCAAAGATAACCCAGTGAGGATAGAGTGTTTTCAGTGACTATAGAATACTGCTAGGATGAAGAAGATAAAATTTGTTTGCTGCTGGGGATGGAACAGGCTGCATCCTGAGTAGGCAGGACTTTGCGCTGCAATGTTTTGTTGCAGAACCCAGCTGTCTCCACCAAGGGAAGAACACATAACCCAATGTTACACCTGCACCTTATATTTAAAGAACTCTTATGCCACTTTAAACAGTCAGGCCTTCCCCGCAAATAATCCTGGGAACTGCAGGTTGTTAAGGGAGTTGTTGGGGGCACCCGATCCCCATCACAGAGCTACAATTCCCAGAAAGGTTCAACCAACAACTCTCCTTCCTAGGGAGCTCAGAATTGTAGCTCTGTGAGAGGAACAGGAGTCTCCCAGCAACGCTCGGCACCCCTTAATAATCTACAGTTCCCTGGATTCTTTGGGGAAAGCAGTGACTGTTAAAATGCTATAACAATGCTTATTTAAGTGCATGGTGCAGATGTGGCCCAACTTTGGGGGGGGGGAGAGAAACTCAGAACTCGTGACACCAACCCCCAAGAGACTGCCGCTTGTAGGCAACAGATCTCAATGGTAGAAAAGTGGACTGATTTTCTTATTGGGGGGGGGGGGGAGACTTCAGATGCAAATGGTAAGGGGAATTGGAATGTTCCGATTTCAAGATCTCCCAGCATTGAGAAATCACAAAAGCTAGCACCTCAGGGAAAAGGGTTTTGTCTTCTCCTTGATGTGCTAGTTTTCTGTGGGCAGGGGGGTGTTTCCATGACGCTTCCTCCTTGCCTCCACAGCTGCCTGTTGCAGAATCCTTCAACCCTCCCCGCTGTCTGCTACTTACATATTCCTGAATTGTGTTGGGGTGCTCTATCCCAAGGACTCTCTCGCTCATGAGCACTGCTTTCTGCTGGTTACTTAAGGCCTGGAACGAAAGGAAGAAGACAGAGTTGAAAAGCCAGGAAAACCCAAAACCACCTCCGCCTCTCACAAAAAACCCCAGGAGATTTTCGGGTTTGGGCTTCGTAAAAACCAGTTGCTCTTTCTTGCTTTCTCAGAACGCTTAAACGATAGTTCCCAGGATTCTTTGGGAAGGAATGTCAGCCTATAGCCCAATGGTGTCATCCAACAAAGATAATTGGTGGGGGAGATTCGGGAGAGAAAAAGGAAGTACTTCTTCACACCATGCGGAACTCATTGCCACAAGATGTGGGCAAGTTCCCTCCACCAATTTGTCTAAAACCCACCAAGGGCTAAAAGTCATTATACTTCTACGGTTAGCCCTCAGGGTTTCAGAGGCAGGTGTCTTCTGAACACCAGTGGCTGGGGAGTCAGCAGAAGGGATCTGTTGGTTCTCCTGCCCTGGTTGTGGGCTTCCCAGAGGCACCCGATTGGCCACTGTGGGAAACAGGAGGCTGGACTAAAGAGGCCTTCCTTCGGTCCAACCCAGCAGGCCTCCTGCCTGTTGGTTTCTATTTCCCTCACTGAGCAGCAACTGCAGTCACAAGACATTGTTTTGCATTCCACAGTCTGTACTGTTGGAGTTTCTCACGGGAAAGGGAGACTGGATGTGACGTACACTGGTTTCCTGTTTTTTTCACTGTGTGATTCTCTCCAAGCTGTGGAGGAGAGAGGATGCATTTTTCTGCTCCTGCAGAGGCAAGATGTCTTTCTGTAATATACCAGCTTTGAACTGTAAATAAAGCTATATGGAGTATGTAACACATTTTCCTCATCCTTCCGCTGGGCACAACAGACTCTGCTTTAAATCAACACGTGGTTATGGGGCTCCAGAGGTCGAATCGGAGTGCCGGCAAAGGATCGGAATGCAGAGGGACGGATCGGAAAGGAATCTGCTCTGCGCGTAGAAGATGATTGATGAGGTATGTGCTACTGCTCCGGGCAGCCTGCCAGCTTCAAGTTAATGGCTTTATGGCTGGACTTTGAACTTTTAAAGCCGGTTTTGCTGGGAATAGGCAAAAGGCTCCCAGGCACAAGTCACTATGCTGGGGAAATCGAAAGTAACTTTTAAGTGTGCCTTTGTAATGAGGCAGCTGCAGCAGTGACGCAGCAAGATTTAAAGCAGCATAGATATGACGCTGAAGGCTAATGCCAGAGTCATGATGGCCCTTCAGGATGCTTGTGGGATTCCTAAGCTCAACAAGAAAAATTATAGCGACTGGGTTCAGTATGCAGAGGCAATTCTGCGGAAAGAGGGTTTGTTTGAGGTGATTACAGAAACCCCCCCAGTTCCAGTTACAGATGCATGGAAAGCTAAGGATTCCAAAGCAGGGGAACTCTTACATTGATAGTATCCCCAGAAGAGCTCTGTCTATTGCGTGATAAGACCTCAGCCAGAGAAATTTGGGACGCTCTGAGAGAGGCTCATTTAAGGACAGAAGCTGGATCCACTATGTTTTATTTTAACAAGCTGCATAATATGGCTCTTGCTGAAGGTGGAGATGTGCGTTTACATCTGATGCAGATGCAAAATCTGAGACATGAGCTGCAACAGAGAGGACTCAACTTTCCAGAGGCTGTGTATTCTTTCATGATACTACAATCTTTGGGTTCAGGTTGGGAGTCTGTTGCAACCCAGATTGCTGTGCAACCAACTGCTCAGCTGACAGTGGACTTTGTTACTGCCGTGATCTTAAATGAAGCAGATCGCCGGGGGGGCTAGCTGCATGGGCAAGGGAGAGTCTTCACAGACGTCATCCCATAGTGCAGTGGAACCACCAGATGGCGCCAAAGCTTTGAAGGCAGTGAAATGCTACTCGTGTGGACGTCTAGGCCATATGAAGAGGGAATGCAGACATCCCAGGGCCAAGACAGAGCAGCGCAGCGAAAGCTCATCGCGCGGAAAAGGCCGAGGCAAAGGCAAAGGTCCGGTGTCTAGGACAACGCAGCACAAGGCTATGGTTTCACGCTTCACTCCAAAGGTTGCAGAGGTCCAGAAGACGTCTAGATCTTTCTTCGTTGTTGATTCAGCGGCGACCCACCACATGTGCAACGATAAGAAACTGTTTGTGTCTTTTACACCGCAGGAAGGTGCGATTCACCAGGCGGATGACCACACTATTCCCAGTAAAGGCTACGGAACTGTTGTTCTTCACAGTTTGGACTTATCGATACAGAATGTGCTTTACGTGCCAGACGCCAAACATAATCTGCTCAGCGTTGGACAGCTGAATGAGCGGAACATTGACGTGTCCTTCAAGAACAAGAAGTGCATCATCACAAAGAAAAATGATTATGTATTGCATGCAGAATATGTTGATCATTTGTTTGTTTTGTATTACGATGATGTGGTGCAGGATGACACTTGTTGCATTGCAGGTTCTAACAAAAGTTTGCATGCAGAATGTATTCACGATTTTCATAGAAAATTTGCTCATTTGCATTTTGAGGCAGTATCTAAAATGCCTGCCTTGGTTGAAGGTATGACTATTAAACCCTGCAGGTACCACATGAAGTGCAAAGCATGCGCAGCAAACAAGGTCAAAATGGCTGCGAAAGGTAAGGTGTCTAGTAGGAAAGCTACAGAACCATACCAGGTTGTTCATGCTGATTTGGTTGGACCACTATCGCCCTCTTTGGGTGGAAATAGATACTTCATGGTTCTCATTGATGCATTTTCTAGATATATTTTTGTGTACAATCTCAAGCAGAAATCGGAGGCTTTTCCTAGGTTCAAGGAATTCTGTGCTTGGTTGGAAAATGTGCATGGTAAGAAGATAAAGACTCTTTTCAGTGATCGCGGTGGGGAATTCACTTCTCAGCAGTTTGAAGCTTTTCTGACTGAGAAAGGAATTCAACACGATTTGTCTAGTCCTCGCTCGCCATGGCAGAATGGACTTGCGGAACGGGCAAATCAGACTTTGCTTCAAGGGTTAAAGACCTTGCTGCATGATGCCAATCTTCCAGAGAGTTATTGGGCCGAATCTCTCTCGTGTTTTGTTTACAGTTACAATCGCAGATTATCTTCAGCGATTGGTTGTACCCCCTATGAGAAGATGTTTGGCAAGAAGCCATACATCAAACACATGAAGATTTTTGGTTCTGACATGTGGGTTCACTCACCACAAAACTCCAAGTTAGACAAGCGTGGATTGCATGGTATCTTTCTAGGTTATCAGAAAGGGTCTTACAGAATAATGATGACTGACTCTAAGACAATTAAGCTCACGAGAAGTGTTGAGTACAATGCAAAGTGGGGGAGAATGTGGGAATTTTCCAATGTTATCCTGATGACGGTGATGAGACTGAGGATAGTCAAAAGCAACCACAACAGCCCACACCCACTGATGAAGGTTCTGAGTCTGAATCTGAAACTGAATCGGGTGATTCAGAGGATTTCAAGAGTGCGAAAGCCTCTATGCGACCCTCTGAAAGCTCTGATCAAGAATTGGAGGAACCATTGTTCACAATAGGTCGTTTTCTCCTAAGAAGGAAGAGGAGAGTATTGAAGACTTAAGGCTAATTCGTAGGTCACAGAGAGCCACAAAAGGCAAACCTCCAAAGAGATTTGCTGATGAGTTTGCTACGATAGCAGTAACAGCTGTTAAAAGCTCCAAGAAGGTATTTGAACCTTCAAGTTTCCAAGAAATCCAGGGTTTGGATTCAAAGGAAGCTGAGCCATGGTTAAATGCCATGAAGGCTGAGCTTGATTCCTTAGATAGGAACAAAACATGGGAGCTAGTTCCAGTAGTTCCAGGAATGAAACTGCTTGAAGCAAATGGGTCTTCAAAGCGAAGACAGATCAAAATGGCAAGATAGTCAGACACAAAGCCAGATTGGTAGCCAGAGGTTTTGCACAGGTACCAGGTGAAGACTATCACGAGACCTATTCACCCACAGTGAGATATGAAAGCATTAGGCTTATGCTTAAGCTAGCTGCAGAGGAAAATCTACACATTAGTCACCATGATATTAATACAGCTTTTCTGTACGGATCTCTAGATGAATCACTTTATATGCTTCCACCTGATGGCGTACAGGTAAAACAGGGATTTGTTTGTGCTCTGAAGAAATCCCTTTATGGTCTCAAACAAAGTGCACGGTGTTGGCACACAAAACTCACTGAAGTATTGTTTTCTCTAGGTTTTCAGCAAGGGAAAGCTGATCCATGTGTATTTGTCAAAGAGGAGGGGCAAAAGAAACTGTACTGTTTGTTTTATGTTGATGATTTATTATTCTTTTGGAAAGATGTTGCAATGTACAATAACGCCCTAGCTCAACTGAAAGAGCACTTTGACATGAAAGATCTTGGTGAGGTAAACAACTACCTATCTCTGGAAATAGAGAGAGATCAGGATGGTAACATTCTAGTACACCAGTCACGGAAAATTGCTGATGTGTTAAGCAAACTAAATCTGATGGATGCTAACCCTGTAGACACACCGATGACAACAGGTTATCAGGTAGATGACACTGAAGAAGCATTTTCTGACACTACACTGTACAGGAGTGTGCTAGGCAAGCTAAACTTCATTGCCAGATGTTCAAGACCAGACATTGCTGTTAGCTGTAATTTGCTAAGCAGACAAGTCAACAATCCTAGTGTCAAGGATTGGAAAGCTCTGAAACGCATAGCGCGGTATTTGAAAGGCACTATGCATTACAGACTGAGATTTAACAATCAGAAGTCTGGTGGTCTTGAGATATTTGCAGATGCAAGTTTTGGAAGTGACACTACAGACAGGAAAAGTACGTCTGGAGTTTGCTACATGTACAATCAGAGTCTGTTTGATTGGTCATGCAAGAAGCAAACAACAGTTAGCTTAAGTACTTGTGAAGCTGAACTGAATGCACTGTCTTATTCACTTAAGGATTGTGAATGGTTAGTACAATTGTGCAAAGATATGAAAATTCCTGTCAAATGTCCAATCCAGGTTTACCAGGACAACAAAGCATGTTTGGCTTTGCTGAAGTCTGAAGGTTGTAAGCAAAGCACAAAGCACTTGCAATTAAAGTTGCAGCATGCTAGGGAATGTATTCAGAAGGGACTCGTAACGGTGTCCTATATGCCAGGTAATGAAATTCCTGCTGATGTATTGTCCAAGATTGTATCAAGGGATCAACACTGTACCTATGTGCAGAAGTTGGGTTTGTACTGATATTGTACGAACACGCTGCCCAGTGATGTTCACAGAAAGGGGAGGATGTTGGTTTCTATTTCCTCACTGGGCAGCAACTGCAGTCACAAGACATTGTTTTGCATTCCACAGTCTGTACTGTTGGAGTTTCTCACGGGAAAGGGAGACTGGATGTGACGTACACTGGTTTCCTGTTTTTTCACTGTGTGATTCTCTCCAAGCTGTGGAGGAGAGAGGATGCATTTTTCTGCTCCTGCAGAGGCAAGATGTCTTTCTGTAATATACCAGCTTTGAACTGTAAATAAAGCTATATGGAGTATGTAACACATTTTCCTCATCCTTCCGCTGGGCACAACAGACTCTGCTTTAAATCAACACTGCCTACGTAACGCAGAAGATTTGGGAGCAGCGAGAGGTCAGGGCTGCCCGTACCTCTGAGTAGTCTCCCATGATGTAGTTCAGGCGAGACAAGAGACGAAGGCAGGCGCAGATTTCCATGTGCATGGCGCCATACACGTTGTTGAACAGGTTTAAGGCCTCGCTGATCAGCTCACAGCCCTCCTTCAAGAAACCTGAAATGTGCAAAGAAAAAGCACTCTTGAGATGGCAGGTGATGCTTAACTACAATGTAAGCAGTTGTTGGCATCCGTCTGTCTCGAGAGACAACAGTGCACCTCTGGAGGTGAAGTCAAAACAGCCCAAATGACAAGACCCTCCCTCTCAGCGTCACTGATGTGATCCAAAGGAAAGCAGAGCAATACGTTTGGCACCAGCCTGGCTGCAGGAGCTACTGAAAGTAGATGTACAAGGCATTATCCAACCATCTTAGAGATTCACTCCAGATTTGTGTAGGGTTTACCCCTTCGCCTTTTCTTCTGGATGTGGAGGATGTAAGCAGTGGAGGCTGGTTTTATCAGTGCAAATGGGGCACTGGCCCCACCGCCTCTCAATCTGCCCCCACCCTGTTGCTTACAATCAGTCGGGGAAGGGAGACGTCTCCTTTGTCTCCATATTGCCCACTTGTAGAACTCAGCAGGGAGGAGGAAGAGGACAACGTTGCTGGACAGCTCAGTTGGTAGAGCACGAGACACTTCATCTCAGGGTCGTGGGTTCAAGCCCCACATCGGGCAAGCGATTTCTGCATTGTAAGGAGTTGGACTAGAAGACCGTTGCAGCCCCTTCAGTGTCTGCAATGCTACGAATTACGTGGCTGTGTCTGCTGCTGGAACTGGCGCCACCTAGTGTTGGGCCCTACCCTACCCCAATGACTGTGCCGTACATACGTGTTGTAAAGTAAGTGCCTCTCTCCCTGCCACATGCCTTGCACAGAGATCTGGGTAAACTTTCGTTTTTAAATTTTTTATTTTTAAACTTCTCAGGGAGTCAGGATCCGGCTTATAAGAGCCCCTGGGCTGCCAAGGTTAAACCCCACCCCCAGGACCTATCCACCTTGGTTCGAAACCAAATTCACAGCCAGTAGTACACTGCAAGTGATACCTTGCTGCACTTTTGCCTGGCCGCTTTGGAAGAAATGGAAGGCGTCCGAGGCTTTTGGGTTGACGTGCTTCACAACTGGGAAGATGTTGAGGATGTCCTCTTCTGTGAACGTTGGCTTGTGGCGGTTATCAAAATTGTATTCTTTCAGAAGGATCTGAAACATAAACACACACAAATGCTTCCATACCTTTCCTAAGAGAAAAGGAAAAGCCAGTTGTTAAGTACCACTCTATGTTGCCTCGGTCCAACCCTAATTGGGAGTCCTGCGTACGGGTTCTGGACGCCACAGTTTAAGGCGGCTATCGACAAGCAGTGTTCCCAATGAGGACTGATCCTGTTGCTTGCTTCCATAAAATTTTTTTTGAAGCTTTTCTACAATGCAATAAAAAGCAAACTAATCTAACTAAACTTTCCAGAGATGGAAAGAAGGTAAAAGTCCCTACCAGAGAAGAATGGAAGATTAAGTTGATGGATTCTGCCGAAAAGGCAAAAATGACCGGAAGAATCAGAAATCAGGAAGACCAAAATTTTAATAAAGAATGGGGAATTCTTTACAATTTATCTTTTAAAACCATTGTAAACTGCTAAAATCGTTAGTAGGACTGGAGTAACACTTGCAGTTTAATGGTGAATTTTGGACATAATGGAGAGGTAAAAGATTTGGATTATTATAAAAGATGCAGCAGGAAATGGTTAACAGTAGGACCCACAAAGGGGAGGAGGGAAGTCCAGGAGATTCTTTAGAATCTCGTTTTTATGTTGTATGCTGGATATGTGCAGTGCTTTTTTCCCTTTTAAAAACATGTTTAGGGGTACTCTCATTTTGACTCAAGAAAATCACCATTTTATGGTTCAAATCGGGAAAAATAAATGCAGTAAATGGACAAAAGTAAAAAGATTCACAAAATGTTTAGGGGTATGCGTACCCCCAGAAAAAAGCACTATATAATATTATCTAAGCAAAAACAAAAGAGAAAAGAAAATGCAAAGTCCTCTCTCAAAAATAGATTTTAATACCCTCCAATGATAATAGGGACATTTTCATCTGAGGAACTATGCAGCATATGCTGCCCCTTCGGCATCTGTGTTTCTGCTGCCACCCCCACCCAGGATTTCTCACCCCCCCCCAAAAAAAACCTGACCCTCATTGACTGTTCTTTGAGTTTTGAGCTGCTCTGCAGCTGTGGGGTGGCAATGGCTCCTTGACCATAGCAAAGGAGGAGGCCTGGGTCTGCACGTAATAGTGAGCCATGGTTAATGGTGACCAAACGAGGCTTGTAAACAGAAAACCTAGTCAACTATTTCATTTTAACCGTGATTTATAAACCATAGTTAAGCTGCAGGGGCTGGGTTCACGAGACCAGCTACAGTTAGCTAAAACCATGGTTTGTAAATCATGGCTCAGAGCAGATGTGGGGAACGTTCTGGCCCTCCAGTTGTTGCTGACCTACAACTCCCAACATCCTCGGCCACTGGCCATCCTTGCTGGGGAGGAGTTGGAGTTCAGCCAACATCTGAAGGGCCAAAGGTTCCCCACAAGTTACAGATGAACCAGGCATCGCGGGCAACTCAATTGGGAGCCATCCTCTTAGCCACAGTCTTAAACGAAGAGTGTAGGTGGAGATTGCAGAATTAATTGGATTAGGCTCTTCCAGGTGGTGTGTGGGTTTCAGGCTGCACCTACGACTGCTGAAGCACAGCAGCAAAATAATGGTTAAAATCCAGCAGTTACTGTACTTTTCTCCTGCCTCAAGCGAAAGTTCCTTCTTAGGGAGAGAACTGAAGGGGATGCATGACAGTTTCTATCAGCAAAGCTAGAAATTAATCTCAGGTGGCATTGCATAACCTAGTGGCTGGCAGGAACGCAGTGCGTTCTTCCTGTTCGCCAGAAGAGCTCAGTAACCAAGAATGGGTGATTCCTCCCTCTTCCCTCCCAGTTCCTTTTCCTTTTGTGCTGTCGCCCTTAAGATTTTAAGAGCTTAAGGCCTGGGGCTGTTTTACCGCTGATATTTGCAAACTTGCTTTGGGAGCCTTTTCCAGCTAAAGCGGTGTTTCTCAAACTTGTGTCTTCCGCTGTTGTTGCAACTACAACTCCCATCATCTCTGACCACTGGTCCTGAGAGTTAGGGATGATGGGAGTTGTAGTCCAACAACAGCGGAAGACCCAAGTTTGAGAAACTGAGCTAAAGAGTGGAGGAAAAATGCCTTTAAAAAATAAAGTCATTATGTTCTTCCAAGTTGTGTTCGGAGGGTTAAATGAGGGAGAATAACTTGGAGGTTGTGTACATTGTTCCCCACCTGGATTCCAGTTTTGAGGGAGATCTCACGTAGCAGGGTGACCTTCTGTAGACTGTATACTTCCACTGCTTGGTCAACACTCTCACTGCAAAAAAGGAGAAGGGGGAGTCAAAAGGAAGCAACACACCAGAGGGATCCACATTTTCAAACTAGGACTTCAGAGGGGAGACATTCCCAGTTGTGTAGAAGACTGGGAGTCCTCACCATGGACCGACAGCTGTGAGTTTTGTAGGTTTTTAAGAGACGTACCATTCCAAGCTGAAGTCAAAGTAACTCTTGGCTTCCGAACAAATGTTCTTCCACAATTCTTGAGGGCTCATGGTGGCCCAGGCAGTGTTGTCAGCGGCGCCCAAATTCCGATTTTTCCTCCTCTTGTTCTTTTTCTTGGAGACCAGCTCATCGGCTGGGAGATGGGCCACAGGGTTTGGGAAGGAGCTGAGGAAGCAGTTGAGGAAATGGCTGATGGCAGCTGATAAGCCTGACAGCTCCACTCCCTGTGGGAGGGAAAAAGGAGACCATTAGCGCGCTACATGTTAGTGAAGTCAAATAATGCAAACGGAGTCCGGGGAGAAAAGTCCTGGTAACGCCTTACTGAGCAAACCCAACGCAAGCAGTGTGTGATTTGAGGAGAAGGGAACAGAGAGCTTTCATTTTCCTTACTTCAGGCCTTCTACATGGCAGGGAGACATTCAACCAAACATACAGAGGAAAACTCCCTCAGGACTACCCAGCTAGTCATCTGTTCATTTAAAGATGTGTAAACTGCACTTTCATAAAAACCATCGCAAGGTGGTATGTCGATTAAAAACACAGTATCACAATAAATAAACTTAAACCACATAAGAAAGAGCTGGTTGGCAAAGAATCTCAGGTTTGAAAAGACTGCCCAAATAACATGTTTTTTATGAGACGTCTTAAAACAAGCAGGGACGGCTCCTGCCCAATTTCTATTGGCAAGGTGTTCCACAGAGCTGGACCTACCACGCTAAAGTCTCATCCCCTGGTGAAGGCCAAACGAACCTCAGGGATAAGTGGGACCACCAAAAGTGCCCCCTCAGAAGGCCCTGGCAATTGAGGAGGAATCAAGCAGTCCTGAAGGTACTTTCCATCTCTGAGGGCCTTCTGGTGGTTCCCTCACTGCAAGAAGTGAAGTTACACGGAACCAGGCATAGGGCCTTCTCAGTAGTGGCGCCCTCCCATCAGATGTCAAAGAGACAAATAACTATACCATGTTTAGAAGTCATCTGAAGGCAGCCCTGTATTAGGAAGTTTTTAATGTCTGATGTTTTACAGTGAAACCTCAGTTGCCGTACGTAATTTGTTCCGGAAGCTCATTTGGCTTCCGAAATGTTTGACGACCGAGGCGTGGCTTCTGATTGGCTGCAAGAGCCTCCTGCACTCAAGCAGTAGCTGCGTCGGAGGTCTGGCTTCCGAAAAACGTTAAAAAACCAGAGCATTTACATTTGGTTCGGGAGCCAAAATGTTCTAAAACGGAGGTGTCCTGGAGTCGAGGTTTGACTGTGTGATGTTTTTATAAATGTTGGAAGCCTCCCAGAGTGGCTGGGGCAACCCAGTCAGATGGGCAGGATACAAACAATAAAATTACTATTATTAATTCCTACTACTACTACTACTTCTTTGTGTCCAGGTCATTCGGGGCTTTGTGAATTAACAGAAGGAGCTTGAATCTGGGATGGCAGTAAATCGATAACCAACGAAACCTGCTAGAATGATTAGTTGCATCTTCTGGACCAGATTTGCCCAAAAAGCGAATGAAATGAAACAAAGACTGAACTGGATTTTTTGGGGGGCGGGAAACTATTACACTGTGGGCGTCCCTCCCCAGCTGAGGCATCTGGATGCCAGAAGCCTCATGTGGGATTCCACACACACACACACACACACACACACACACACACAACTGCGGAAGGCGGCTGGGAGACCCAACTAGCATGCAAAGCATTTTGGAGGAGTCATTGCTTTGGAAACAAACCCAAGCACATTGCTGCATGCGCTGAAAAAGCACTTTTTTGGGGGGTGGGTAGAGAAAGAGGAACCCTTTGCAAGCCCCCCCTCCCCAGCTTCTCAGGGATCTGGGAACACCAGGCTTTCATTAACTGCGCCGCGGGTCTGACACAAGTTCACACAAATGCTTGCCATCTCCCCTCCTTGTTAAAAACCTTTCCTGCTGAGCGTGGAAGACAAAAACACAAGCTCAGCCACGAAGGAATAGTTTTTGAATCACTCTTTCTCTCTCACACACACAACACCACACACAGACAAGTTGCCACTGGTTCTCCCTCAACCACACAGGCCTGCACTTATTTTAGGCCTTAATGAGATTGTGCTTCCGGTTGCTAGGCAACCTGTGCAAGAAGCCTACGGAGGAAATGGCTTCTCTCTTGATCTGGGAAGGAAGGCCGGGACTGGGCGGGGGGAAGGCAGAGAGAGAGAGAGCGCGACAGGCAACCCTCGCGCAGGAGAGGGCATGTAAGGGAAGGTGTTTGGGGTTGCATAATCCAATTTGTACCTGAAGGTATGTCTTGAAGATGTGCTTGGCCGACCGGGTGATCAGTTCCGTGATTCCGATTTTCTGTTCCAAGGAAACAAATGGGGGGACGGACAAAAGAGCAAACAGGTCAGCCAGGAGACAAGAAACACATCTCTCATACTGTCGACGCTGACAAACTCTTTCAGAGTTCGGCATTTGGTGCTCTAGAACGTTCCTTCCCGAGGCCCAAAGGCCCATTTCAACAATAGAGCCGCTGCAACAATTCAAGCAGCCAGCTTTTCGTTCAAGAATAAAAAATACTGTAGATAGGTCTGCCGGGAGAGGACTGTACCCAAAGCCTGTTATAGTTGATCTGTTTGGGTTTAAATATGTGGACTTTGCGGCGATTTTCCAGATTTATACTATGTTTTCAAAACTGACTTCCTTCAAGAAACCCTGTGCACTATACCTCCCAAACGCTATCCTACCACCTTTAACAGTCATGGCTTCGTTCAAAGCATCCTGGGAACTGTAGCTTGTTTAGGGTGCAGAGAGTCGTTCGGAGACGCCCTACTCACTCTGCAGACCTACAATTCCCAGAGTCCACTGTAAAGAGGGATAGACTGTTAAACCACTCCGGAAGCAGGGATCCCTTAACAACACTCAGCACCCTTAAGCAAACTACACTTCCCAGGATTCTTTGGAGGAAAACAATGCCTGTTAATGTAGCATAACACTGCTTTAAGCACATACTGTGGATGTAGCCTTTGTCTCCTCACTAATGTTTACCGTTTACCTAACTTTACCATTATAAAAAGGTACCACTGGAAACCTGTTTCCATGCAGGTGTTGTTGGACTACAACTCCCATAAGCCCCAAGGGTCAGGGATGAGGGGAGCTGTGGTTGGCAGGAGCTGGGACAGAGCAACAGGAACTCATCCCGTCGCGGGGATTTGAACCGCCGACCTTCTGATCGGCAAGCCCAAGAGGCTCAGTGGTTTAGACCACAGTGCCACAGCACGTACCCAGAAAATCCTGGACGTATGGCAGCTCTAATATATGTGGGCTTTTTTTTTTAAAGCTGAGGTTTATGAAAGACAAATTATCCGAGCTGGATCTCTGCCAGGGTAAATAATCCTCAAGAAACAACAACATTTATTTATTTTTAAGTGGCAATTAGAAGTCAGGGGAAAAACAAACTTTTGAGGCTTACATAGATGTGATCTAGCTGAGCCCGGCCAGGGGTCTTGGTGATGAATTCCACCACTCTGCCCAGGTAGCGCATGTTGATGCCTCGCTGGTGCATGGCTTCGGCCAAGGTGGCGCCGTCCATCGGGAGCATGGTGTGGTCAAGGCAGTCTTTCACCTGCCAAGGAAGAAGAAAACACACACAGCAGAACTTAGCAAGCCTGGCTTTTCTGCATGCAGAAGGTTCAATCCACAATGACATCTCCAGACAGAAATGGGAGAGTCTTCTGGTCTTAAGCTCCTACCAGTCCGTGCTGACAATACTGAGCTAGATAGAGTGAGGGTCTAGGGCTCAGTATAAGGCCGTTGCCTATGCCGTTCCTATGTAAAGACTGCTCCCCACCCTCTTCTCTCCCCCTTTCTCCTGGCGCAAATTCACTCACCAAGCCTGGAATTTGATAGGACACCAGAAAAGCAGCCGCATCCTTTAGCAACCGCTTCTGATCCTGAATCTGCTCTTTGCTGGACTCTGGAAAGCGGACCCCTATGGAAACAGGAAAGGAAGATCAGCCAGCTGGGAAAGGAAGCTGGAAGATCAGCCAGATGGGAAGAGGGCTATATATATACTGCCTGCATGTAATTTAAATTAACAAATTTAAATTTAAAAATACTAAAAAGAGGGTGGGTGTCTGTCTGGGGTAAAAAAAGGCTTTGGCAATCCCACCCACCACTGGCTAGATGGGAGTTTGGCTTTTGTGTGCTATTCCTGGAATGCAACTGCTGTGTTAAGCTGAGAGTTGCCTGTATGGCATATATTTCTGTTAGCAAGATTTCTGCCCAACCCTGCTGGGGGGAAAAATACACACCTCTCAGAATTGGCCAAAGCTGCCTCCCCTTCAATGTTACTCTGGGGAAGGATGGTTAGCTAGGAACTTTCCTGCAGCAGGTCAGAGTGGCCTGCATTCACCCATTGCACTAAACCATAGATTAGAATGCACGATATGGAAATCATGGGGCTCACAGCAGCCCCCCCCCATTTGCCCAGGAATAAGATAGGACTAGTGTGGTGTAGTAGGGATGCGGGTGGCACTGTGGGTTAAACCACAGAGTCTAGGACTTGCTGATCAGAAGGTCGGCGGTTTGAATCCCCGCGACGGGGTGAGCTCCCGTTGCTCGGTTCCTGCTCCTGCCAACCTAGCAGTTCGAAAGCACATCAAAGTGCAAATAGATAAATAGGTACCGCTCTGGTGGGAAGGTAACCGGCGTTTCCGTGCGCTGCTCTGGTTCGCCAGAAGCGGCTTAGTCATGCTGGCCACATGACCCGGAAGCTGTACGCCGGCTCCCTCGGCCAATAAAGCGGGATGAGCGCCGCAACCCCAGAGTCGGCCACGACTGGACCTAATGGTCAGGGGTCCCTTTACCTTTACCTAGTGTGGTGTAGCGGTTAGAGGGCTAGACCTGGGAGACCAGGCCATGAAGCTCAGTGGGAGACCTTGGGCCAGTCACTCACTCTCAGCCTAAGCTACTTCACTGTTAGGATAAAAATGGGGAGGAGGGGAGGGAAGTATGCAGGCCACCTAGAGCTCCTCAGAGGAATTGAATAAATAAATAATAAATAACTAAAAACAAACCTTCCACTTTCGCTCCAGGTCAGGACCCGTCAATTCATCCAGACAGATTGCTTAACATGGTTTCAAACCATTACAGAATTTTAGAGTTGGAAAGGACCCTGTGGATCATCTAAGTCAGTGGTGGCCAAACTTGGCCCTCCAGTTGTTTTGGGACTACAACTCCCATCATCCCCAGCTAACAGGACCAGTGGTCAGGAATGATGCGAACTGTAGTCCAAAACCAGCTGGAGACACAAGTTTGGAAAACCCTGACTAGTCCAACCCTCTGCAAGGCAGGAATATGCCGTCGCCCCATAGGGGGATCGAACCTGCAACCTTGGCGTTACCAGCACCATGCTCTAACAAACTGAGCTATCCACCTTGTACGCCATCTTCTCTTGGTTCAACGGTGGTCAAAGTAATGGGTTGTACTTCAATGTTAGTCCCACTTAGAACAGATCCACTGAAAATAATGGACACGACTAACTTGCAGTCCATTTATTTCAAGGGACCGACCTACTCTGAATATAAACTTAAGTTTGCTACAACCCAATGTTAACCAGTTTGGACAAAAATGGGCTCAGCTATCTATGGTTTGTGCCAGCAGAAGTAGATGCTTCTGAGATTCTAGCAATTGCACAGGAAGCGTGTGTTGGCCCCAAGGCTTGCTGTGGATCCTATGATTTTGATTTATTTATTGATTATAGCATTCACACCCCATCTTTCCTCCAAGGAGCTCAAGAGGGTGTACGTGGTTCTCCCCTCCTGTTTCTCACTGTTTCTTGCAGCTTAGGAGCTGCTTTGATCATCGCTGACAAGAAAGGCAGGATCAAGATGCATTGGGGGAAATACAGAACTGGAGATGCTGGGTGGATTAAAAGCTGGGAGCTTCTGCGTGCAGAGCAACTCTTAAGTGTCCGAAAGGAAATACGCAAATGTCTAAACTCAAAAGGGTCAAACACTTGGAAGGGGGTACGTGCTGCAAGCGCACCTGAAGCGCCTTCTTACCTGGCGAAAAAATATCTGGGTTAAACCGGATATCGAAGGACGTGTTGCTGATGGAACCGACAGCTTTGCAAGCATTCTGGATCACTTCCCGGCTTTTGGGGTCCACTGGGTAAAGGAGACAAAGTGGGTCGCATAGCAAACATGGGGAACCTTTTCAGCTTCATAGAATCATAGAACTGTGGAGTTGGAAGGGACCCCGAGGGTCATCTAGTCCAACCCCCTGGAATCTTTTTGCCCAACGTGGGGCTCGAACAAACGACCCCAAGATGAATAAGAGCTCTACTGACTGAGCTAAGCGTGTAAGTCACGACCCGCATCCTTATTGGGATTGGCCTTCATGGGCCAAATTTGACGGGTAGGAGGGGCTGCTGACCTGTCAACCCCATGACATCACAAAGCAGCTGCTAAAATGAAGACTACCCCCCCTTTCCATTTTAAGTAGAGCTTTCAAATTTTCTTATTGATTCAGGAAGGGCTTTGCATGGAACGCTGCTGACCTGAGCAGGATTTAAGCTCTGCTCAGGAGCTAATGTGATTTTATTATTTGAACCACCCTGAAACCTGCAGGTATAGGGTGATATACAATACAGTGGTATCTTGGTTCTCAAACGCCTTGGTACTCAAAACAGCTTGGAACCCAAACGCTGCGAACCCGGAAGTAAGTGTTCCGGTTTGCAAACTTTTTCCGGAACCCAACGTGCTCCGATTTGAGTGCCAAACTTCCATTTTGAGTGTTAGACTTCTGATTTGAGTGCCACACTTCCGTTTTGAGCGTTATGCTGAGGTCTGTTTTTGCTATTTAATTTGCGTTTTTGTTTTTGCGGCTCTTTTTGTTTGGTTTTTGTGACTGTGTGGAACCCAGTTCAGCTACTGATTGATTGTGTGACTGGAGTACATTTTGTTTGGATCAATGGTCTTGTTAGATAGTAAAATTCATGTTAAATTGCTGTTTTAGGGGTTGTTTTTAAAAGTCTGGAATGGATTAATCCATTTTGCATTACTTTCTATGGGAAAGTGCGCCTTGGTTTTGGAACGGACTTCCAGAACGGATTAAGTTTGAGAACCAAGGTACCACTGTATAATAAAGGAGGAGGAGGAGGAGGAGGAGGAGAAGTGATGGCAGCTGATGAGCGCTGAGTGTGTTCTGGGGAAATGTCACACGCAGCCAATGCAAAATTTAACCCCACCCATCAGATGATGTCACAAGTGGGAGGGTGGAGAACAGTCTCACTGGCCAACTTGGACCCTGTAATGGGCAAAGGTTAGCTGACAGGCTGGAGGTTCCTGACCCCCAACTGTAAAGGTGGACAAAGTGTCACCTTCCAGGTTCAACTGGAAACACCCAAAGCCTGCCAGTTTCACGATGTCCTTATACAAATCTGTGCTGGATCTGCTTGGGAATTTTTGTGTCCAGTCCTGGTGCCACTCACCTCTTCCCAAAGGACAACCAAAACGATCCAAAGGTTGACGTACTTTCCCAAAAGGAGATGAGGGAGATTTGGCCTAGCAAGGTTTTTTTTTTGGGGGGGGTAATGTAACTGAGAAGGGACGTGGGTGGCGCTGTGGGTTAAACCACAAAGCCTAGGACTTGCCGATCAAGGTCGGTGGTTCAAATCCCCGTGATGGGGTGAGCTCCCGTTGCTCGGTCCCTGCTCCTGCCAACCTAGCAGTTCGAAAGCATGTCAAAGTGCAAGTAGATAAACAAGTACCACTCCGGCGGGAAGGTAAATGGCGTTTCTGTGCGCTGCTCTGGTTCGCCAGAAGCGGCTTAGTCATGCTGGCCACATGACCCGGAAGCTGTACGCTGGCTCCCTCGGCCAATAAAGCGAGATGAGCGCCGCAACCCCAGTCGGCCACGACTGGACCTAATGGTCAGGCGTCCCTTTACCTTTACCTAATGTAACCGAGGGAACTGACTACCATCAAATGACTATGTACCAGCCTTTAAAAAGGCAAGCAAGCACATGCATGGAGAAGGAGACCTGTGCACAGCTATGAGGTCCGACAGCCAAATGGATCCTACGGGTTCAGACACAGTCTACCTCAGATCCAGCATAAAAACCCCATTCTTATGAATGGAAGGGCTTCTTCATGCACAGGAAAGGGGGGGGTCTCCCTCTTTTTTGGGGTGGCAGCAGTGTTCCCAGTGGGAGAGAGCGCCAAGTTACCTGCTCCATCGTCCGACGCAATCGTCTCCGTGAGCTCTTTCACCTGGTCCAGCCCTGCGACGCTGTCCTCCATCTTGCTGTCCTCCGAGGGGGGCTTCTCCTCGCCATCCTCCACCCCGTTCTCAGGAAAGGAGGAGGAGGAGGTGGGGCTCCCGCCATTCTCCAGAGGGGAGGGGGTCTCTTGCTTGATCGCCTTCTGCTGCATCAGCTGCAGCGCTGCCAATTTCATGAACATGAGATACCTATCGAGGAGAGGGAGGAAGAGAGACGGGATGAAGCAGCCCAACGCAAAAGGGGTTGCAAGAACACACATATTTCCAGCACAAGCTTTTCTCCATGAGGTTTAAGGTGGGGTGCGGGGTCTCCCCCCTCCCTCACTGTATCCTCACAACCACCCTGCAAAATAGGCAAGGCTGAGAAGCAGCCACTGGCCCCTCTAAGGTCACCTAGTGAGCTTCATGGTCAAGTGGGAACTTGAACCCTAGTTTCCCAGGTCCTAGTCTGGCACTGTATCACAGTGGCTCCCTTGTTGGTTTGGAGCAACGGCTACACACAGCCCTCAAAGCTTCCATCACGAGGGCTAGAAACTTGGGGTCTCTGTTTGTGAGGATGTAGGAATTTGGGAGCCACAGTCGAGTTGGAAAATGCCCTTGGAAACTTACAACAAAACATTAAAAAGGTAAAGGGGCCCCTGACCATTAGGTCCAGTCGTGGCCGACTCTGGGGTTGCGGCGCTCATCTCGCTTTATTGGCCAAGGGAGCCGGCATACAGCTTCCGGGTCATGTGGCCAGCATGACTAAGCCGCTTCTGGCGAACCAGAGCAGCACAAGGAAATGCCATTTACCTTCCCGCCAGAGTGGTACCTATTTATCTACTTGCACTTTGGCGTGCTTTCGAACTGCTAGGTTGCAGGAGCAGGGACTGGGCAACAGGAGCTCACCCCGTCGTGCGGATTCGAACCGCCAACCTTCTGATCGGTAAGTCCTAGGCTCTGTGGTTTAACCCACAGCGCCACCCCTGTCCCAACAAAACATTATGCAGCTCTAAAACCAATGGAGGTTGGACTGGGCATGTTTGGGCCCAAGTATCTGCCGTTGTTAATTTTTCACGCTGCAAAAAATACCTGAAAAGATTCCCCCGCTGCTCAACTGCCGATGGACTAAAATTTGGTTTACTCAGCGGGTGGATGCTAGAAAATGAAGTATGTTCGATATGTAATATTCAAACTCAAAACTTTACTCGACAATACTGAAAGGTATCTTAACTGCACAGCCTCCCCTTCTATAATAGAACACTTAAGAAAACAATTGAAGGCGCTGAAAAATTTTTCACGCGCAATTCTGTGTCTGCTCCACAGACGATTTCAGCAGACACCTCGTATCATAAGCATGGCAGTTGATACGTTTCCGAGCACAATTAAAAGTGTTGGTGCTGAGCTTTAAAGTCCTAAACGGCCTCGGTCCAGTATACCTGAAGGAGCGTCTCCACCCCCACCATTCGGGCCGGACACTAAGGTCCGGCACCGAAGGCCTTCTGGCAGTTCCCTCACTGCGAGATATCAAGTTACAGGCCTTCTCGGTGGTGGCACCCGCCCTGTGGAGTACCCTCCAATTATATGCCAAGGAGATAAACACAAAACTTTCCAAAGACATTTGAAGGCAGCCCTGCATTGGGAAGGTTTTAACGTTTGACGTTTGCTGCGCTTTTATTATGTTGGAAGCTGCCCAGAGTGGCTGGGGCAACCCAGTCAGATGAGTGGGGTAATAGTAGTAGTAGTAGTAGTAGTAGTAATAGTAATACTAATACCTTGGGGCTCCCACTCTCCTCAACTTACACCCCTCCCCAGCCTGCTTCAGATCAAACTCGATTGCTTTTCCCTGGCTGAACTCTCATAGCCCTTGCATGGTTGAAACGCAACTTCTTGTACTAAGCCAAAAATCAACTCCATTGCTCCGCCCACATCTGCCTCTGGCCCCGCCCCTATTGACATGTGGCCCCTGGAAGGTTGCCCAAGAAGGAATGCGGCCCTTGGGCTGATGAGGTCATTTACTACACCCCCCCCAACAGAAACCTAGCGCAGCGACGCAAAAAGTCTGAATAGCTTAGTTGGTGAGAGCGTACGCTGATCACACCAAGGTTGCAGGTTCGAGCCCGGCTTTGCTGGGAGGGGGGTTGGACTAGATGATCCTCAGGATCCTTTCCCACTCTATGAATTCTCTGAATTCTGGGCAGTGGCGAGGGTTACCTGTGCTCGACGAAGGCGTCCACCAGCTCTTGCCGCAGGCAGCAGAGCTTGTGGCGGTGCTGTTTGGGGAAGCCCATTTTCTGGCATTCCTCGGGCATCTCCTCCCCGTCGACGGGCAGGAAGTTCAGGTCGGGAGGGAAGGTGCGGAGCAGGTCGAGGATGTAGTGGCGCCCATCGTTGCCGATGATCCCCTTGCACTCCACGGATGAGCAGAGCTCCACCTCCTCGCCCTTGTCGTTCAGGACCGCGTGCTTCTGGATCTTCAGGGGCCGGCTGGTCTTCTCCAGCAGCTCCAGGTACTTGGGGTGAGAGACCACCGTCTTGCCAAAGTCGATGGAGCCGTAGATGACGCTCTGCTCCTGCTCCCGCTCCAGGATGCCGGGGATGATGGACTGGGCAGTCACCCGGTAGCCCCGGTAGTCCACCACCACCGTGCCCAGGGTGTAGAGCCCTTCCACGTCCACCGCATTGTACGTCCGGACCCCGTTGAGGTCGTTGGTGGGGGCCACATAGGCGGCCACGTCCCCGCCAAAGTCTTTGTAGTGGTCGCGGACGTCGAAACCCAGGCTAAAGAAGATGTTGTTCCAGATGAACATCTGCATCTTGGTCTCCTCGCTGGGGTTGATGGCCATCACGTTGCCGTCAATGACCGCCATCGCGCCTCTCGTCGCCGCGGCAGTGAAGTCGCTGTGGACCTGCGAGGCAGAGAGGCAAAGTCATGGGAGATGGTCGGCCGCAAGGAGAGATGGCGCTCGCCGGCCTCAGAGAAGCAGTGGACAGGAGCGAGCCATCAGTAAATATAATGTTAATATAATTATTTTCTATTTCTCATTGGTTTCTTTAATACCCAACATTGTTTTTAACTCTACATTTAATAGTATGCTTTAAGTATTGCATTGTGTTTTATGTGCTCCGTTTTATTCTTGTTTTCTCTACTGGTAATTGACCAAAATTAATATATATACAGCTATATCTTCATTCTAATCTAGTCATTACATACATATACATATGGTTTTATTTGTAGATGTGTGTGTGTGTTTTTTCTTTTTCTTTTTTGTGTTTTGTCTTTCTTGTTTGTATAGTTTTATTTTGGATTCAATGTTTGTAATTTTTGTTGTAATTTTGCATTGAAAATAAAATTTAAAAAATATTTAAATAATAATAAAATTAATAAATATATACAGCTACAGCCGTACCTTGGATCCCAAACACCCTAGAACTCAGATATTTTGGCTCCCGAATGCCGCAAACCCAGAAGCGATTGTTCCGGTTTGCAAACGTTCTTTCAGAACGCGAACATCGAAGCTTCCTGCAGCCAATCAGAAGCTGAGATTTGGTTTTCGAACGTTTTGGAAGTTGAACGGCCTTCTGGAACGGGTTCCATTCGACTTCCAAGGTACGACTGTACATTAGTAAATCATAACAGAATCTGCACGGGAGAGTCAAGCCTAATGAGCACAGCAACTCATCTCTGGCAGGCCTTGCTTTACAAAGCAGTCGCTGAGACTGAAGGTCCTCACACCTGCCTAAGTCTCCTCCTCTCTAGGGTCTTCCCCACGCAATCCGAGACTACGCCTGCATGAAGCTAACTTCTCCGCCCTCTTCATGCCTCTCCTGGTCCCGGGAGACCAGGAGGGAAAGGTGGGAGGGGAGCTCGTTGCAGTAGGAGGTGGCGACACCCTGACTTTTTCACCAGTCTGACTCATCTCTGACTCTTGACCTCCCTCCTCTCCTGCTTCCGGACTTCTGGAGTCGTTGTCCCACCACCAATCCCCTGGGCTCTGAGCCCTCTTCCCCTGCGGCTTCCCCAGCTAGTTCCTCCCACCATTCCTCCACGTCCAACCAATCCATGACATCAGACCTGTTTGGGAAGCACCTCAATGGCATAATTTAAACCCAAAACACCACTCAAAACACACAATAAACCTTTTTTTAAAAAATCAAATAAGCTGCAGCCAATGCTAGTCCTACTCAGAGCGGGCTCACTGAAAAGAATTTAGCTATTTTATTTATATCCCACTTCTCTCCCAGTCCAGAACCTAAAGTGGCTCAGAGCATAAATTACAACGTATACAAGAGCATACACACACACATATATTAAATTGAGTAAGCAGCCCACTTAAAAACAGCACAGGAAAACCCTTAAAATCATTTAGAAGTGCACACACACAAACACGATAGCACCCGCTCTCAGAAGATCCTGCCACAACAGCCAGCTGGTGGCCAAATGTCTGCTGGAACGAAAATGCATTTGCCTGCTGATGAAAGGAAAGCAAGGAGGGACCAGCCTGGTCTCCTGTGGAAGGGAGTTCCAACTATCTGGGAGCAGCTACCAAGAAGGGCTTTTCTCGTGAAGGTGGCAGGACTGTGGGAAGGGCCTCTCCAGGCAATCTCCAAACCAAGGCAGGCTTATACGTGGTCCTTCAGAGAGCCAAGGCCCAAGATCCATAGGACTTTGTAGGTCCTAAATAAGCATAAGACGGACGTGGGTGGCACTGTGGTCTAAAACCACTGAGCCTCTTGGGCTTGCCGATCAGAAGGTTGGCGATTCGAATCCCTGCGACGGGGTGAGCTCCTCTTGTTCTGTCCCAGCTCCTGCCAACCTAGCAGTTCGAAAGCACACCAGTGCAAGTAGATAAATAGGTACCGCTCCGCCGGCAAGGTAAACACTGTTTCCCTGCGCTCTGGTTTCTGTCACAGTGTTCCGTTGTGCCAGAAGTAGTTTAGTCATGCTGGCCACATGACCTGGAAAGCTGTCTGCGGACAAACGCCGGCTCCCTTGGCCTAAAAGTGAGATGAGTGCTGCAACCCCATAGTCACCTTTGACTGGACTTAACTGTCCAGGGCTCCTTTACCTTTTACCTTTAAATAAGCATAATCCAGGCATGGGAATGCGTTCCCAGCCTGCTCTGTTATCACTCATTCTCACCAGCAGACAGGATTATTCTTGGCTGAACTTTCTTTATAAGGCAGTAGAAACGGAGTCTTCAGATGCACTGAGTGGAAGACTAAGAGTCATGGGGGTGGCAAGAGGGAGAGAGAATCCCACAGTGCTTTGTTTCTTTTGGGTTGTTAGTTTGCCAACGTTCATACGGCTTTCTGAATTTCATGACTTTTCTTGTGGTTGTGCTGTTTTGCCCATACTTTTTAAAGTTGTTTTGTTAATAGTGTTTTACTGATGATTTTTAATTTGTGCCAACTGATGACTTGTGAGTTAATTTACATGATTTATGTTGAATTTGGGACGCAGGTGGCACTGTGGGTTAAACCACAGAGCCTAGGACTTGCCGATCAGAAGGTCGGCGGTTCGAATCCCTGTGACAGGGTGAGCTCCCGTTGCTCAGTCCCTGCTCCTGCCAACCTAGCAGTTCAAAAGCACGTCAAAGTGCAAGTAGATAAATAGGTACCGCTCTGGCGGGAAGGTAAACGGCATTTCCGTGCGCTGCTATGGTTCGCCAGAAGCGACTTAGTCATGCTGGCCACATGACCCAGAAGCTGTACGCCGGCTCCCTCGGCCAATAAAGCGAGATGAGTGCTGCAACCCCAGAGTCGGCCACGACTGGACCTAACGGTCAGGCGTCCCTTTACCTTTACCTATTGTGCTATTGTCATGTAAGCCACTTTGTGGTTTGTGTGAGTAAAAAGTGGCAGAGGAACAGAATGAGTGAATGAAATTATGTTTTGAGGAGGTTTGCAGCTGTGCTGTGTGTCTTCCCCAACACACCTCCTGGGCAACTCTGAACAAATCCTTATCAGTTTAATTTGTTACCCACCCATTCCTCCTTCATTCATACATCACAGGCCACCCTGTTCCAAACTCCCTTTTCCAATTACTGAGCAGCAAACTGAAAACTGAAGCTGTGCTCATGGCTTGGCTGCATAATGTGGACTAGAACCTTGCTAGTCCTCTCTGGGCTGCCTCTCTGCAGCGCTCAAGGTTACCTTAAAGATTGCGCGTTCCCTCAGCAGCCTCTCTGGCAGATTTTTGCGTGGCAGTTCCCTGGTTGTTTGCAACTCTTCGTTCCAATCTCTGGTCTGAAAGGAAGAAGAGATAACAGACATCACATGAAATCACAGCTTTAGCCTGGGAAAGAGAGAGGGATGCAAAACTTTCAGGGATGTTGCCCTCTCTAGATCAGATGAAAAGGGGACTAAGAGGCCCCATATATCTTTGCCCAGCAACCGCTCTGCTGCCGAGTACCACCACATGCCCCAAAGAGGTGCTCAGTATGTACTAGAAATTGGGCTTTTAGTGCTACAGCTTCTGACCCCTGGAAACAGTTACCAGCTCAAGTTAGACAAGGGCCTGATGTCTTGCTATTTAGGTGGCTACTGAACAAATTGTTTAAGAAGGCTTTTCCTGAAATGTGACCCGGGCACTTAATGGAGTATTAACTGCATGGTTGCAGAAACTGTTGTATTGCTTTTAGTTTATTAATTTGGTAATCTTTTGAATTTTATCTTACTTTATTATGCACTGGTTTGGTAGTTATTGGCTGTGAAGCGATTTATAAAATGGAAAACAAATAATAATAATAATAATAATATTAATAATAATAATAATAATAGTAATAGTAATAATAGATGCACACAGGACCAGTTCAGATTTAATTATCTTAACTTTACGCTTCCTCTGCCCTCAAGAGGACTAGAAATGGATGCTGAAGGGAAACATTCCCCCACCACCGCCCCCAGGCATGGCAAGTGTGTGCTAGATATCAAAAAGTAAAAATCTGAAGTTTTTCTCCTTTTCTTTTCTCTAATTGTTATGTTAAAAAAAGCTTGATATTTCTTCTTTGTTCTTTCAAGGTTTAATTTTTTTAAAAGAAGTAAGACAGCCAAGGGTGGTATAATGGTTAACGTGTCAAATTATTACTATTATTATCATTATTATTCATTAAATTTATATACCACCCTTCATCAAAAGATCTCAGTGCAGTTGACAGTATAAAATACAAAATAAAACACAGGTAAATAATTAACCAAAAGAAGAACACCCCCTTCTCACAGAAGCATTTAAAAGGCCGTAGGGTATGAATAAGCCAAAGGGCTGGTTGAAGAGGAACGTTTCCGCCTGGCGCCTAAAAATATATAATTTTAGGCACCAGGCGAGCCTCCCTGGGGAGGGCATTCCAGAAGTGGGGAGCCACTGCAGAGAAGGCCCCATTCTTGTGTTGCCACCCTCTGGGCCTCTCGAAGAGGAGACACACAAAGATGGGCCTCAGATGATGATCTCAGGGTCTGGGTCGTTTCATAGGGAGAGAGGTGGTCCTTGAGGAATGCACAGACTGCAGAGAGACCCCAAGGGCAAGTTTCAGCCGAGAGCCAAGGCGAAGAGCAGCCCCCCGCCCCCAAGCCATCTCTACCTGTCCTGGGATGTGCTCTTCATAGCCCAGCCTTGAGGTGTAAGCATCTTCCGCCCTCACACAGTCCATGGCGTGCTCAGCCAGAGGGGCCGTCCAGCTGTAGACTTGGAAAGGGGTGGATATCCTCTCCAACGGGTGTCTCTGGACCCTGGAGGGTTGGAGTCAAACAATGCGCAGAAGTTGTTGCACTCCGTTCTCCTGCAAAACTCCCCTATCTTTTTGCCACCCCACTGAAGACCACGAGACCCATCAAATTCAAATGAAGAGTCTTAGGGCCCAAGCTTTGGAGCAAAGACCATCTTCTCCTCTTTCCAGTCAAGCGTCTTCATCTAAACTGCTCCCTCTCCTGTTTTCTGATTTAAGTCACTGCTTTCTGTACGTTGCCTGGTTTTAACTGCCTTTAATGCATCTCTCGTCATTCGATGCGATGGGGGTGGAAAACCAGAAACCCTCCCTGTACTTTTGCTACACCTTATCTGCCCATTTATAAGGTTCAGTCCCCAGAGTCGTGGCCGAGGGAGCTTTATTGGCCGAGGGAGCTGGCGTACAGCTTCTGGGTCATGTGGCCAGCATGACTAAGCCGCTTCTGGCAAACCAGAGCGGCGCACGGAAACGCCGTTTACCTTCCCGCCGGAGCGGTACCTATTTATCTCTGTGGTTTAACCCACAGAGCCACCTGCGTCCCAAAATTAAATGTAGGCAGGTGCTTTAAGCCAAGTTAGGCCACTGGGTCCACCTAGCTCAAGGCTGTCTACACTGGCATACAGTAGCTCTTCAGGGTTCCGGACAAGAAGACTGTCCCAAGTCCTACCTGCAGATGCTGGGGACTGAACCTGGGTCCCTTCACATGCAAAGGAGATGCTCTACCCACTGAGCGATGGGAGGGGGTTGGACTAGATGACCCCTGGGGTCTCTTCCAACTCTACAATTCTATGACTGTGCTAGATGGACCTTGGCACCCTCCACATTTTCAAGCTCATCTTTCCAACCATCTTAAAAGTCTAGAAATCTGAGGTTTGTATTTGGAGCAGCAGGAAACAAGATTGATTTTATTTCATTTATTAAATTTGTATATTGCCCTTCATCTGAAGATCTCAGGGAGGTTTGCAGAATAAAACCACAAAGTACATAATTAGAACAAACCAAACCAATAAAATGTCATCGTTCTAGACCAGGGTTTCCCAAACTTGGGTCGCCAGGTTTTTTTGGGGGAACTACAAATCCCATCATCCCTGACAACTGATCCTGCTAGCTATGGATGATGGGAGTTGTAGTCCAAAAACAAAAAAAAAACCCAAAGAACAACAACAACACACCAGCTAGAGACCTAAGTTTGAGATAAAGTTTGTTTTGAACAAGAGCTTGGGGTGGAGTTGGGGTGGGGAGAGAGAGAGAAAGGTTACCGTTTCTTCTGCAGAGAAGCAAAGTTTCTTTTGAAAGCTGGGCTGATCTGGTTCAGAAGCTCGACCAGGGAATGGCTGAGGAAACTGGGGTTGGCAGGCTTAGGGCTGAAGTTGTAGGCCGTGGACCTGTAAAGAGAAGCCACAGGAAGAATATTTCGGTCAATGAAAGCGCAGGGAACAGCCTGCCCCGTTCCCCACCTCAGGGAAGGAGGAGGGGTCAGCAGGAAACATAACTGGGCCTTCTAGGTAGCGGCACCCACCCTGTGGAACGCAATTCCATTGTATACCAAGGAGATGAGTAACTATGAGTTTTAGAAGACACCTGAAGGCAGCCCTGTATAAGGAAGCTTTTTAAGGTTTAAGGTTTTGTTATGTGTTTATATACGTTGGAAGCCGCCCAGAGTGGCTGGGGCAACCCAGTCAGATGGGTGAGGTACAAATGAAATTATTATTATTATTATTATTATTATTAATTGTCGGCTGGCGATTCAGGATGATGCAGATCCTGGAGGTGATACATTTATGCTTGCAATGTTTTGACTGCAGTTTCTCCTCCCTCTGTCATAGCACCAGAACTTACGGGCATCCAATGAAGTTGATAAAAGGAAGTCCTTCTTGACGCAGCACAGAGTTAAACTACAGAACTCACGGCCACATGAGGCAGTGATGGCCGCCATCTTGGATGGCTTTAGAAGAGGAGGAGACAGATTCACGGAGGAATCTACCAGCCATGATGGCTCTGCTCTGCTTCCACAGTGGGAGGCAGCAATGCTTCTGAATGCCCGTTGCCGGAAACCGCAAGAGGAGAGAAGGCTCTTGGGATTAAATCCTGCATGCAGGTTTCCTTCTTGGGGCATCTGGTCGGCCACTGTGAGAACAGGATGCTGGACTCTACTAACTAACTGCTGCCTTCGTCTGCTGCCTTTTTTAGTTGATGTCCCCTTATAGTAATTTTACATCTTGACGATTCTGTGTTCTATGGTTTCGTATGGTTCCCACACACCCAATTCTGGGTCCTGACCCTATTTTATTTATATAATTTTTCAGTTTTCCAAAAATATTTTGGCAAAAAATCCAATCCAACATTTTGCAGCAAATATGTACATTCTGACTCCCCTACTCCTTTTTGCGGTTTCTTGTATTTTTAAATTTGTAATACAGTGGTACTTCGGGTTAAGTACTTAATTCGTTCTGGAGGCCCGTTCTTAACCTGAAACTGTTCTTAACCTGAGGTACCACTTTAGCTGATGGGGCCTCCCGCTGCTGCCGGAGCACGATTTCTGTTCTCATCCTGAAGCAAAGTTCTTAACCCGAGGTAATATTTCTGGGTTAGCGGAGTCTGTAACCTGAAGCGTCTGTAACCCGAGGTACCACTGTACTGCATTCCCTTCATTGCTCCAATTATTAATTACTCACTAGTCTTCCTTTAGCATTAATTTTAACTGGTTTAAGTTAATCCTGCCAATGAACTTTTAAGTGTACAACAACATTTCAAATAATCCACAATTCCCCCCCAGTCTGTGAGAAAGTTTTCTTTCCTCTTGGTTCCTTTATTGCTCCTGTATGTTTTGCCATTCCGGCATCAGCCGTTAGTTTAGTCTGCCGCCACTCCTTGGTTGGTACTAAAAATCTTCTTTCTGTTTCTGAGCATAAATAATCCTGGCTGCAGTCATGGCATAACTGACGCCTGATTTTATATGTACCTGATATGTTTTACAAATAGATAAATGGTGTGTTTTTTTAGTTTGTTTGTTTTAAAATCAAGCCCGCCTAGCCACTTACTGATTGAGGTAAAAGCCACGGGTGGAGGCCGTGATGCTCACATGGCGATCTTCCATCGTGATGACATACAGGTACATGAGGTCTCCGTGCATCTTGCGGTTGCCGGGAGGAGGATTCCAGCCACTCATGGTCAATACTTTTAGGCACTGTAGAGGCTTTGGGGGGAGAGAGGGATGGAGTGGGAAAAGAAAGAGGTGTTTGCGTGTGGAAAGCTAGCTTCTCAGGGAGCAGGTGACCCTAGAACATCTGTCTCCCAGCACACTAGTTTTGAATTACAGTGGTACCTCGTTTTGAGTCCGACTCGTCGAGCGTCCGTGGCAAACCCAGAAGTACCGGAACGGGTTACTTCCGGGTTTGCCGCTCGCGCATGCGCCGAAGCACTAAATTGCACTTCGTGCATGCGCAGAAGCGCAAACCGCTCCATGTGCGTGTGCAGAGCAGTGCTTGGTCGTCTAGCGTCCGGGGCTCCGGAACGGATCCTGGTCGCAAAACAAGGTACCACTGTACTGTTATATACACTAGTGGCCAAAATTGTGGAAATTTTTTGGGGAAAAGTCCTATTTCTGAGGTGTGATGGCTCATAACACCACTTCTTTCGGAAGTAATACCATAAAATTATGTATCAATGGAAAGATAATTCAATGAAGAATCTAATGCAACGAAGTTTGTTCAATTATCTGTATTCTATCAAAGGTTATAGCCAAATAACCAGAAAAGAGAAGCACAATTGCTCAGCTTGATACGCAGCAGCTTTCCTTGATTTGAATGTAGCCAATGAGCACGAGTGTTTAGAGAGCCAATCAGGTGCCATTGGCAATGATTCAGTCAGGGGGTTGGACTAGATGACTCCCAGGGTCCCCTTCCTATGAGACACTGAAACGGGCCACAACTCCCCAGGGTTTCAGCCAGGGAGTCCTTCTAGCTGGGACCAAGAACCTGGGACCAAGCAGACACTCTGCCACCGAGCTACGATCACCTGGGGGGGGGGGGCATGAGGGGGCAGGCAGGTGGTGTCCTGCCTTTCGGAAGGCGCTGACCCAGATGGGGCAAGCCTGGTGCTTCCCCCTGCTCAGTTCTTAGGACTCTTACCTTCCAGTCTCTGTTCTGAGGCTGAAGGGGGCAGAGGGGGCGCTCTTTACTCCCAGGCAGGATATGTTCAGGGGGGGTACAGTCAATCTGCTCCAATTCTGCGCCCTTCTTCTTCCTCTTGCCGCTGTCTGGAACAAAACACAGGGGAACAGGAGAGCAGTCAGCATGATCAAGAGGCAACCTTTGCAAAAGGGGAGAAGCAAAATTGTCACCTTTTTTGCACTGGGTCTGGGTGTGGGGAGAAAGGACCACGAGGTCTAGAGCAGCACAGGCAAACTCAGCCCTCCGGATGTTTGGGGACTACAACTCCCATCATCCCTAGCTAACAGGACCAGTGGTCAGGGATGATGGGAGTTGTAGTCCCAAAACATCTGGAGGGCCGAGTTTGCCTATGCCTGGCCTACGTCTTCAGTTCAAAACTGCTGCCTTTCCTGTGTCTCCCTTCCTTTATTCTTTGGCCATTCCAGAACAATGACTTGGCTGAACCCTTCTCCTAGTCTGGATTCCAAACCATACAAGGGCACATGGTGGTGGTGGCTCTTCTAGAGGAAGACCAACTTGCTTCATGACACAAGCTCATTCTCGGGACCCTGAATTAAAACACCCATGCTTACTCCTAAGAGAGGCTTCCTCAGATTTGGGCCTCCAGATGTTTTGAGACTACAGTTCCCATCATCTCTGACCACTGGTCCTGCTAGCTGGGGATCATGCTCCAGCAGCGCAGCAGCAGCGGGAGGCCCCATTAGCTAAAGTGGTGCTTCAGGTTAAGAAGAGTTTCAGGTTAAGAACGGACCTCCAGAACGAATTAAGTACTTAACCCGAGCTACCACTGTATTCCAAAAGGCTAAAATTAGCCTATCCAAACTTGCCTTTAAGCTGCAAAGGGATGGAACTCTGCTGAACTCACTAAAGTGAGGAAGGAAGCATAATATCTAATAAATGCATATTCTCCTAGCATCTAATCAAATCCTAACACATACCCCCCTTGGTCTAAGACAGAGTTTCTCAATTGTGGGTCTCCTGGGATTTGGACTACAAATCCCATCATCCCTAGCTAGCAGGATCAGTGGTCAGGGATGATGGGACTTGTAGTCCAAAAACAGCTGGAGACCCACGATCGAGAAACCCTGACCTTGCTTAACAGGCCACGGGAGCACAAAGCAAAGCATCGCCTCCCGAAACAGAAGCAACAAGGAAACCACGACCCCTCTTTCTCTCGCATACCTCCAAGGTCCCCTTCGGTGAAGACGGTGAGGAACGACAGGGAGTTGCAGTCGACGCCGTTGAAAGCGTCCGAGGGGTCGAGGCTCTTCAGGAGGTCTCGGATGTGGCGGACGTGTATTCTAGCTTCTCGGACTGTGTAGGGTTCTGGGAAGGTTTGGGGGTTGCAAGGAGAGAAGGAGACGGGGCAGGGGAAAGAGAAAGAAAAGGATTGAGGAGCATACCGGGTTTCATACGGAGTCCCGTGTCCAGTTCTGGGGGCTGCACTTTCTGAAGAACCCGAGGAATGCTTGGCTGACCCGGTGAGCTTGATGGCAACATGGGGGGTCGTGAAGGCAGGTTTCTACAGCCCTAGTCCAGCAATGTTAAACTCAAGCCGCCCCCCCAACCTCCAAATGATGTTCTGTTCCAGCCCTCATGAGCCCCAGCCAGAAGAACCAATGGCCATGGGTTTCTTACTTATGGCTGGAACTTTTGCTGGTTGAATAGCGTTGGGTAGGACCCGGGTTCAAGACCTCCCCCAGTCTTCAAGCTACCCTGGGTGACCTTGGGGGCCTGTGACTGTCTGTAACCATTCTGTCCTAGGTATGCACTTAGGAGAAAAATATTATGTTTGAAAAGAGGCTTTTAAGTAGGCTTCCTTTTTAGGATTTCTCCTCTGTGGGCAGTGACTTCACAGCTAATCCTGGCTCCTTTTCCATGAATGAGTATTCCACAGATGGGCCAAGGGAGGTACAAGGCAGTGCTTGAAGGAACCGTCTTTATATCAGGGGTGGGCAACTATGAGGCACTGGGCCAAATCTGGCTCGTAGTGTATTCAGTCCTTGGCTATCTCTGCTGCATTTCCACATTTCTCCCTGCCCAGCGTAGTAGCCAAGCAGGTTGCCTAAGGAGGAACAGCTCAGTGTGTGCAAATGGCTGGATCAAGGTCTGTTGCATGGCTGTGCAGTGCTTAGCTTTTTTAAAAAAATATATTTTTTCAGTTTAAATATATTTTAACAATACAAATCCAACGTTACAATTAACAGGAATAGTTCGACTTCCTCCCTTTTGAGGTTCCCTTATATTATTTTAAATTCTGACACTGCATTTTCTTCATTATTCCAGTTATTAGTTCATCCTTGATTTCTCCTTGAATTTCATTCTGTTTGGTTTAAGTTAACCCTGCTAATTAACTTATATATGTGTGCAATAACCTTTCGAAGAATCCACAGTTTCCCCTCCAGTCTCTGTGCAATGCTTAGCAGCTAGCAGTTTAGCTTTCTTTCCTCCAGATAAAGTGAGCTGGACCTTACAACTGATGAAACCTTATCGGGCACTATTAGGTCTGTGAAAAGGAGCTCGTATTTGAGCATGTGGGTGTGTAAATGGGTGTGGGACAGTGGTGCGTGAATTGAGAGAGAGTAGGGATGACGGGGCAAACCTAGACAGCATCTTAAAAAGCAAAGACATCACCTTGCCAACAAAAGTCCGTATAGTTAAAGCTATGGTTTTCCCTGTAGTGATGTATGGAAGTGAGAGCTGGACCATAAAGAAGGCTGATCACCGAAGAATTGATGCTTTTGAATTATGGTGCTGGAGGAGACTCTTGAGAGTCCCATGGACAGCAAGAGGATCAAACCTATCCATTCTGAAGGAAATCAGCCCTGAGTGCTCTCTGGAAGGACAGATCGTGAAGCTGAGGCTCCAATACTTTGGCCACCTCATGAGAAGAGAAGACTCCTTGGAAAAGACCCTGATGTTGGAAAAGATGGAGGGCACAAGGAGAAGGGGACGACAGAGGACGAGATGGTTGGACAGTGTTTTCAAAGCTACGAACATGAGTTTGACCAAACTGTGGTAGGCAGTGGAAGACAGGAGTGCCTGGCATGCTCTGGTCCATGGGGTCACAAAGAGTTGGACACGACTAAACGACTAAACAACAACAAGGCATGGAGAGACTCTGGGTATGTTGTAAGCCACCCTGGGATCTTTGAATGAAGAGTGGAATACAAATTTGATTATGTAATTAATTAATAATAATAGCCTCATGTTGTGAGGATACTAACGGAGAGGGGTCCAATGGCCACGCCATCAGTTGCTGTGAGTCTTATTCCAACAGCATCTAGGGTACCACAGTCTCCCTACCTGCACTTTATAGGTAGCCTCCTGTTTTAAGAACTTTCCTGCCACGCATCCGGGGCTGCAAACGTTCTCCCAAGTTTTACCTTCAACTACTTTTAACACGGAGCCTTCTTGCAACCCTTCAATGGTTTTCAGCTCGGCAAAGTTGTCCAGGACGTTGCCGTCCAGCTGCAGGGAGAAGCACGTTCGGTGACAGGTGTCCTCGCGGTCCATCAGCACCTGGTGGATTTCCTGGACCATCTCTTGGGGGGATACCTTGAAAGAGAAGCCAGGACACAGAGGTTACATATACTTATTTTTTTATAAAGGGAAGAATGGTATCAACTCAAACCGGCTTACCAAAAAGGTTCATCGCACATGAAACAAAAACAACCATCTTATTAAGGTGCACTTAGTTTGTACAAAACAAACACGGTCTTTTAGTGTTGTGGTTCCAGCCCTCTGGAATCAGCTCCCAGTTGAAATTAGGTAGGTGTTGAGTGTCAGGACGTTTAGGCATCTACTGAAGACTTTTTTTTTTGCTTAGGGAGGTTTTCCCTGGAGGGGAAGATCATTTATAAAATATTTAAAAAGTTAAAAGGGAAGAAGAGTTTTGTTCTCCTTCCTTAGAGAACTCCACAGCTTTTGAACTAGCAGTGAGAAGACCCTGCCTCATTTCCCCCTCTTGCCCAGCACTGCTTGTTCTCACTGCCAAGGGGCTTTCAGGCAGAGACCTGCTCCCATCACTGAAGTTTTTTGTTTTGGTCCTGGAGGTGTCAGAGAACCTGGGACCGTCTGCATGCAAAGCAGGGGCTCTAACCACTGAGACAGGGGGTTGCTCCAGGCATCCCTTTATGGTGCATTCTGGATGGCTTGTGCTTATGGTCGCAACCAGGCAGTTATGCAAGGATCTGCTACCCATACCACTCTGTACCTGCAAATGTTTTGGTGCAGGCACACCGCTTCATTCCCATTTGGTACATACCCCAGAACTTTGTTTTGTTTTCTGGTTCCCACTTTTCTTGCACCACAGCACCCAAGTGCCCCTCTGTAAAACTGCGAGAGCACTGCAGAACCACTGACAAACTAGAATGATATGTGGATGGCCCAGTATAAACCCACCACCAATTACTGCACTACTGTTGCGTCAATGGCATGTTGCAAAATACACCCACCCACCCACACAAAAACCACCCACCAGTCCATGGGTAGGCAAACTAAGGCCTGGGGCCGAATCCCTTCTAAATCCGGCCCACGGACGGTCCAGGAATCAGCATGTTTTTACATGAGTAGAATGTGTGCTTTTATTTAAAATGCATCTCTGGGTTATTTGTGGGGCATAGGAATTTGTTCATTATTATTTTTTTCAAAATATAGTCCGGCCCCCCACAAGGTCTGAGGGACAGTGGACCGGCCCCCTGGTGAAAAAGTTTGCTGACCCCTGCACCAGTCCATAGCAACCCCACAATCACCCCCCAAATGGCAGGGGGTCCTTATACTGCCTTCCTACTTTACGCTCCTGAATGCACAGTTTGACTCCAGTTCCCTGGACCTGGATCACTACTGGGAACAAAAAAAAGACTGCATACAACAAAACAGTTTGCCTGCCCTGCAGCCTGCTTTTAATATGTTTCGGCTGCATGTGCCACGAGGCTGCGTATCAAGCCCTCCGCACGTTCCCCAGGGATGCTGGAATGGACTCTTCCTCTCATCACCACCACCACAAAAAATAGAAATAAAAATAGAGCCCTGCTAGGAATTGCCTGATAAATGCTATCACTGGACAAAGGCCACCCAGACTGATCAGGTTAAGCTCCTAGATTGGAGGTGGTTTATAGTAAGCTGCTGCTGCTGCTGCAGAAGCAGGACACTGGCTAATCTAAGCTTATTTTGGAACCAGCAGAAGCAGCATTTTGAAGAGAAAAGCAATTCCTCCCTCTGCCCTGTGCGTGCCTCAGTTTCCCTTGCAAAGGCTGCTTCACTGACATTCTCCTCCCCGCCCACAAGGGCAGCCTGGGAAGAGAGAAAAGGAGCTCAGTGACATTTTAAAAAAAAAATAATTCTAAGTTGTGTGTCCTTTTTTCTCAATTTGATCCTTTCACATGGTTTTGTATGTTTTACGGTATTTTTTGCATTGTGACTTGCTGTTAATTCTCTCGATTTATAGTTTAGCAATTCTTTATCGTAACTCGTAAGTGTAAATGGCTTAACTATTATTTGCTGATATTTCATTTTGCTGTTTACTATTATATTCCAATGGATTATGGAATATTGCTTTATCTGATATAAGTTGTTCTTATTTTAAAGTTATTGCGACTTTTTGTATTAGATCAGATTGTCAATATTACTGTTTGCTTCTTTAAATTATGTTTTATACTTGTTGGAAGCTGCCCAAAGTGGCCGGGGCAACCCAGCCAGATGGGCAGGATATAAATAAAACAACAACTATTATTATTAGATGTGTTTAAACAGTTACTATTAGCAATGTATGGATCTTAAACCTATAAGTTCGCATGAGCCTTCCACATGTCCAAATAGGTACCCACACAAAATTGATGCATATATTATATTATTATTATGATTATTATTATGATTATTACCATTACCACCACCACCACAACAACCGCTACTACAATTTAATACCCATTCTTCATTCTGAATATGAAATATGTTCAACTTCAGCTAGGGCAGTACGTTCCTCAGTCTACTGCATAATAGATGGATGCAGCCAAACTGAGATGCTTTCAGCTTAGTTTCATAGAATCTGGAATTGCAGAGTTGGAAGGGACCCTGAGGATCATCTAGTCCAACCCCCTGCAATGCAGGAATATGCAGTTGTCCCATATGAAGACCAAACCTGCATATTTACCCTTTCCAGGCTCAAAGCCTAAGTCTCTTCTAAGCCACCACTAAGGGCTGGTGGGCCAGATCTACCTTCAGGATAGCCACCCCCGGCTCCAGAAGATGGGCTCCCCTCAGGGATCTGCTTGCTCTTTCACTCACCTGAGCTCTTGACCAAGTTGAGGACACTTGGTGGCACGCAACAGGCATGCAGCGCAAACGCTGGAATGGCGGCAAACCTGGTTAGCCACTCTGGGCTTAAGCAATTGGGATCCAAGGCAGCTTTCCCCAAAGCAGTATCCTATAAATCAGGGTTCCCAAAACTTGGATCTCCAGCTGTTTTTGGACGACAGCTCCCATCATCCTTAGCTAGCAGGACCAGTGGTCAGGGATGGTGGGAACTGTAGTACAGTGGTAAGGTAAAGGTAAAGGGACCCCTGACCATTAGGTCCAGTCGTGGCCAATTCTGGGGTTGTGACACTCATCTCGCTTTACTGGCTGAGGGAGCCGGCGTACAGCTTCCAGGTCATGTGGCCAGCATGACTAAGCCGCTTCTGGCAAACCAGAGCAGCGCACGGAAACGCCGTTTACCTTCCCGCCAGAGCGGTACCTATTTATCTACTTGCACTTTGATGTGCTTTCAAACTGCTAGGTTGGCAGGAGCAGGGACGGAGCAATGGGAGCTCACCCCGTTGCGGGGATTCGAACCGCTGACCTGATTGGCAAGTCCTAGGCTCAGTGGTTTAACCCACAGCGCCACCCGCATCCTCGGGGTATAGACGCTTCAGGTTACAGACACTTCAGGTTACAGACTCCGCTAACCCAGAAATAGTACCTAGGGTTAAGAACTTTGCTTCAGGATGAGAACAGAAATCGCGCGGTGGCGGCGTGGCAGGCCCCATTAGCTAAAGTGGTGCCTCAGGTTAAGAACAGTTTCAGGCTAAGAATGGACCTCCGGAATGAATTATGTTCTTAACCCAAGGTACTACTGTACAAAAAACAGCTGGAGACCCGAGTTTGGGGAAACAGTGACCTAGATGTTGTTGGACTTCTGCTCCCATCAGCTCCGACCTGTGTGGACAATTGTCAGGGATGATAGGAATTGTAGCCCAGTATCATTTAGAGGATACCCTATCGGGGGAAGACAGATTTGAGGCAATAACAGCAACAGCAATGAGTCCCAATTTGTACATCCGGAGAGGAAGGGGGTCAGCCAAGGAGATTTAGACCAGAAGTACTTCCAGAGACACTCACTTGCAGGGGGAAAGGTTCGACTGCCGGCGCATGGACTTTGACCGTAAAACCGGTGTCCTGGATGACGATAACCTCTTGGTCGTTCCCATCGTCTGCGTGGTCTGTTTCTTCGTGGCCGTTCTGCCTGGTCTCCTCGTTGTGGTTCTCGTGCAAGCCGTCGCCATTCATCAGGGTTATGCTGGGCGGGGGTTGCTCTAGCCAAAAAGAAAGGGAGACCGATTTAGGTTTTCGCCAGCTGGAGACCCTAAAAGACATTGATACGGCAGCGGTCTCGGTTTTCTGGAAAAGTAATGCAGTTGTATCTTGGCTCCCAAATGGCACAAACCCGGAAGTGAGTGTTCTGGTTTGTGAACATTCTTTGAACTCGAAGCTGCGCTTTGGTTTCTGAACATTTTGGAAGTCGAACGGACTTCCGGAACAGATTCCGTTCGACTTCCAAGGTACGGCTGTAGCTTCCGCTGCCCTGAACCACATGGGATCGGAGCCTCAAGTTGATTCCCAACAGTCAGAAATATTGGAACAGAAACACCCGATTATGAAAACACCAGATAAAAGAATCATCGTGAGTTTAAATGCTGTATTTTCCAGTTCTGAAAATGTCCAAGGCAGGACCATTCAAACAACAATTTGACCTCTGTCTGCCCACAGCCAACCTCCTCCTTGCCCTTAGTCTCAGTGCTGCCCTTGCAGAAATCAGCAGGGAGGATGGGGGACAAAACAGGAATTAGTTGAATCTGCTTGCCGTTGGCTCTGGCGCCACCTACTGTTGGCCTCCCTCCCTTCCATCCGATGGGTACCAGACACACTGCCCACTAAACCACACTGCTTATAAAAGAGCACTAATCCTGGCACAGCAAGGAGAGGGAGGGAGAAGCTGAAACCAAGTCTCTTGCCTTCCCACATTTCACAAAAGCTCACCTGGGTGTGGGTCGCCGGCAGGAGATCCCAACTTGCCACAGGGAACCAGCCCTGCGAGGCTCGATTGTGACGGCAGACGCCTTGGTGGTTCACAAGCTGAAAAGGCAGCTCCTGAGCTGCACTAGGCCAGGAGCCCGGTTGCAAATTCCACTCGGGTTCTCCCTCCCCATCCCCTTTTCAAGCTGGTGCCTACGAGAAAAGCGTGTTTAACCTTATCTCTCTTTTTCCCTTGCCCAAGTGAGCAACGCCCTTTTCTCTGCCTGAGGCAGGGGACATGCCCCAAGAGGGGAAAAACACAGGTAACCAACAGAGTAGGACTGTACACCAGGGGTCAGCAAACGTTTTCAGCAGGGGGCCGGTCCACTGTCCCTCAGACCTTGTGATTGGCCAGACTATATTTTTTGGGGGGGAAATGAACGAATTCCTATGCCCCACAAATAACCCAGAGATGCATTTTAAATAAAAGCACACATTTTACTCATGTAAAAACACGCCGATTCCCGGACCGTCCATGGACCGGATTTAGAAGGCGATTGGGCTGGATCCGGCCCCTGGGCCTTAGTTTGCCTACCAAACAGTAAAGGCACATTTAAAGCACCCAAAACAAGAACCCTGGGAAGTATAGTTTACCCATCACAAAGCTACAACTCCCGGCACCCTTAACACAGTACGTTTTCCAGGATTCTATTTTTTTGGGGTAGGAGTGAGGTGTGGAGTGCTTTAACTGAATGGTTAAAAGAACAAAGAGGCAAAAATGCAGGGAGGGAGTGGATTGCAATTCTCTCCCCCCCTTTTTCTGAAGAGTAAGAATCATTCACAGTACAAGTTTGAAGAGACTTATTTAACTAAAATCACCAGGCGCTGGGCGTGGGCAGAGCTGCAGAGCCCTGAGGCATCTCTAAACTCCTGCAGAGGAGCTGCCAATGGCACGAAAAGTGATTGTTACCTTGATAATCTTCCTTCCTCCCGCGCATGCAGGAAGGGAGGGAGAGCAGAGAGTCTTGTGCTGCCGCAGTTCTTTCCCTCCCTGCCCCCTGAACACCACACATATGGTTCCTTAGCTTGCAAAGACAGAGGCTTAGGGGACTCTGCAGACTTTGAGGAGTTTAAAGTCGGAAGGCAGGACTTATTCTCACGCTAGGTACCAGAGCGTGCGGAAGGGAGGCGGAGAGAAAGAGAGGCCGTGCAAATAAGCAAGCAGGCGTGCCTTTTGAGAAGCGGCGTCCCTTTCAGCGCCACGGGAGCAGAGTTCAATTCCCAAGTCGTGCAACTTAACTAAACTTTGCACAACTTTGCAAAATTCAAGCAAGTAAGGCGAAAGAAAGAAAGAAAGAAAGAAAGAGGTACTACACAGCCCACCCCCCATGGCCACTAGAGGTTCTAATTCGCACACTGAGGACTGGAAACTTGCTGCATATTGTAGAGTTCTCAGGATGCTTCTTTCCTGCTGCCAATTCTGCATTTATGTGACGCTCGCGGGAGACACACAGTCCTGCCAATCAATGGCCCAACTATTCTTCTTCTTTTCAAATCGTATCCTCCCTGGCAACCAGATTGGGAGCTTGTGGCGAATGTGAGTATCAGTGCTTCCTAATGCAGCTTACAAAAAACACACCTAAGGGCAACTGACAGGCCAACACACAACATCAAAACCTTTGGGCCTTCCTACTAGGGCAACTGGTTAGCGACTGAGATCAGGATGCTGGATCAGATGGGCCTTTAAGTCTGATCCATAAAGGCTATACTCATGTTGCAACACAATTCTGCCCTCTTACATTCTACAGCAACTTGGGGCTACCACCGAGAAGTCCCTGCCTTCAGCAAATGCCGACTCAACTTCTGAATAGTCTCGGATAATCATTTGCGTAAGGGTTGAGGACAGCACAAATGATTTGGACGCTGAAGTTCCAGATTCATCCCCCTAGCAGATCTGCAAAAGATGCCAGTCAAATCCTGTTTTAGTTACTAGAAAGGAGATTCTGAGTAAACATCAGGAAGACGCTGCAGCCAATCGGAAGCCCCGCCGGATGTTCGGCTTCCAAAAGAACGTTCGAAAACCGGAACATTCACTTCCGGGTTTTGATCGTTCGGGAGCAAAAACCTTTGAAAACTAGGTTGTTCAAAAAACAAGGTACGACTGTATTGTATCCGGACTGCGACACAATCGGTCGTTTGCTGCCCTGGACTCCTAAATAGGATGAAAGAGGGTATGCAGAGATCTTCAATAAATAAGATAAAGGAAGGGGGGTTTTATGTGGGTGAAAAGGCATGCGGCACTCCTTTAGGCAAAAACCACCGGTGCTCAATCTAGGGTGGTACAGCAGACCAGCAGCCGTCTCCTTGCCAAAAAGGACAAACACCGTGAAGCCAGAAATTGCAACACAGCAAGATCAAAGGGCAATCATATGAAGGAGGGGGTACCTTTGTCCTGTAAGTTTGGGAAGGGAGAGGGAAGAGCAGGAGAGACAGAAGAACGGCTTGCAAGGCAACATCCTTCCTAGAGATCTCTCTCAGCCCCCCCAATTTAAAATGAACAAACTCGAGACCCTGAATAATGTTCCTTCATTCCAGGACCGTTTCCTACAGAGAGAAGTTTCAGACGATGTGGAAACACCGCGAACTTTTGCACAACAGCATTCCTGCACAGGGGTTGGAATACTTAAAAATCCATTGCACAACCGATTTCCACAGCTATCCTATCACATCCCGAGGGTTCAATGGGCAAGGCACAGGGACCCCCTCTGCATGCCCATTTCGGCTCTGCTCAGTTTCTCAATCTTCCAACCTTCTCTTCAGTTCCCCACATATGGTTGTGGCTTTTAAAAAAAGTTCCCTTGGAAATTCACGAGCATCTTAGCGCCAAGTCATCCCAACACAGGCAGCGAGCAATTTACGCGCAATCCAATCGACGTGTGACCTTGCACACGCGCATCGCCACAACCCGAAAGTGGCCAGAAGGGAGGAGGCAGAATGGGCTTATGCGATTGCATGCAGGGCTCAGGAACATAACCGCCGCACACAGAGGTTGTTGCCTGCGTACATCTTTCTGCAAAGCCGTTTCCCTTAACCTAATTGTCAGGGAACTGCCATCGGCTCAGGGGCGAGGGGGGGAAAGGCGGATGGATAACAGAGAGCCCCAAAAGATTGTGGGAAGCAGCACTTCCTCAGCGGAGGAAGGAAGCCACGCCTCTAGTGGGGAGGAGATGCAGGGCTCGGAGGATGCAAGGCGGTGCCAGGACACCTTGCCTGAGCAAAGCGGGGAGGAGGGCGGTCCCCCTTTACCCAAGCCTTCCTTGCGCAGTAGGCTTTCGTGCAGAGAGGGAAGGCGTAGGCTGGGGCTCAAGAGACTACTCTGCTGGGGAAGATTTAAGGACCGCCCACTCTCAGATTCTGCTAGTGAATGAGCAAGACATGGAATAGAGGTGCTCTGCATTGTAAAGGTTTTTAGCACCAATAATAAAGCTTTAAGAACAGACCAGTGAGGCATCTTGCCTGATTGCTCTCGAGCAACCACCCGATAGCCATAACACTAATGCATTTGTGTTGATTTCATTAATAGTTGGGTGTGTTGGTTTCAGCAGTACATGCATTTCCATGTGCACTGTACCACAACAGATGCATTTTTGTACACACTGGCAGATTTGAAAAATTCATAGGAACACGAATCTCTAAGGGTGACTTTAGTTTCACAAATTGTTTCAGCCAGCATGAGTTAGGTAGGTTCACCTTTCATCGTGAACTGAACCGATTTCTTCTCCATCCTTAGTAAGAGCTAAAGGGTGGTGGATGGTGGTGGGGAATAGCAGTCACACAGCGAGAAATGTGAGCTCAAGTGAGCATAAACACATGAAATTGCCTTACTCAAAGCTTGAACTTTGTCCATTCTGGTCTTTCTCCCTCTCTCTCCTCCTCCTCCGAGAGAGTCTTTCAGCTGAAAGCCCCATGGACAGAACAAGGGAACTATTGCATGCAGAAAAGTATCTGCTCTCTCAGCAAGCCAGTGGTTCTCAAATTTTTCTCTCTGCAAGAACATTTCAGCATCTGAATGCCAAGCCTCACAAGGGGGTGGGGAGAAGACGCGCAGATCTTCTATGGGTGGCATGCAGACAATGTCACAGAATCATGAAATTGGAAGGGGACCCAAGGATCATCTAATCCGACCCACTGCAATGCAAGGAATATGCAGCCATCCCACCCAGGGACCGAACCTGCAACCTTGGTGTTATCAGCACCGCACTCTAATCAACAGCTGATCCTGTGTATTGAACCTTGAAAAGTTGATCATGCAGCAAGTCTTGCAGAAATGTTGCAGTGTGGGGAACCTTCAGCTCGCTAGGTGTTGAACTACACCTCCCATCATCCCTGGCCACTGGCTCGCTTGCTGGGGCTGATGGGAGTTGTAGTTCGGCAACGTCTGGAAGGCCAGGGGGTTTCCCGCAGCGCTCATGACGCAGCCACAGTGCCAGCACACTTCCCAGCAGTTCCACATGGGGCAGGAAGAAGAACGCGGCTATAGTGCTGGAACGATATGCGAAAACAGCAGGCATCACTTGATAGCCCAAATGCACGCAATGCTCCCACAGCAGGCTTTGTGCTCAGGTTTCCAGAGTCCTGGCTCTCTGCAAAACCCACCCATCAAGACATCTACTTCTTGTCAGACACAGCAGTCTCTCTAAGAACTTGTGTTTAAACAGAAATATCCCCAATTGGATTATCCGTGTTTAAGAGATTAACCCGTCTGTGTGCCAGCCACGCAGGTGTTAAGTTTCTTTTGGGTTTTGTTTCAAAGAGACACACAAGTCTTTCAACCTTGAAGATCAGGAGGATGCTACACTGGTGCGAGGGCTGGCGCTGCTTAAGTTCAGCAGCAAGCGTGCTTGCTAGCCGTAAGCTGTTTTCAAATGCGGCCCTCTCGGAAGCATCCCACCCCCAGTGTGGCCCTCTGAACGTTGCTGGACTGTGGGGACTTCTCTTTGCCCCAGAGGAGAGTTTGGGGTTTGTGGGAGTTGGCAACACCCGGAGGGACACAGGTTTTCTGGATTGCCGATTCTCTACATCATCTGCTAATACAACTCCCAAGAATTTCGGCAAAAATGTTTCTGTGTCTCGGATGGAAGCTCATTCAAAATTCCTCAACTGACTCTACCATTAGCTGGGATAGCTCAGTTGGTAGAGCATGAGACTCTTAATCTCAGGGTCATGCATTCACGCCCCACACTGGAGAAAAAGATCCCTTGATTGCAACTCTACGCTTCCATGATGTAACACTGGTCCTAAAGGATCTACTTTGACTCCCAATACATTTCCAAGCCCAATTCAAAGTGTTGGTGCCGACCTTTAAAGCCCTAAACGGCCTCGGCCCAGTATACCTAAAGGAGTGTCTCCACCCCCATCGTTCAGCCCGGACACTGAGGTCCAGCTCCGAGGGTCTTCTGGTGGTTCCCTCATTGCAAGAAGTGAAGTTATAGGGAACCAGGCAGAAGGCCTTGTCGGTGGTGGCGCCTGCCCTGTGGAATGCCCTCCCATCAGATGTCAAGGAAACGAACAACTATTTGACTTCTAGAAGACACCTGAAGGAAAGTTTTTAAACATTTGATGTTTTATTGTGTTTTTAATATTCTGTTGGGAGCTGCCCAGAGTGGCTGAGGCAACCCAGTCAGATGGGTGGAACAACAACAACAACAACAACAACAACAACAACAACAACAATAATAATTCTGATGGTAGCGTAGAAGAGGAGGCAGATTACAGGACCTAAGGGGTCCAAGGCTTTGGGCCCAGGGCTGCCAAGGTGGAACGTTCTCAGTTGGTTAGAGTGTGGTGCTGTTAACACCAAGATTGCAGGTTCGATCCCCGTATGGGACAGCTGCATATTCCTGCATTTCAGGGGGTTGGACTAGATGATCCTCAGGGCCCTTTTCCAACTATACAATTCTATGACATGCTGGGTGAAAAAGCTGAACCAAAGACACACACAATAGACAGCTTCTGCACTTCCACAATCTTGTTTTGTTTTTTTTTAAAAAAACAACAACACATGACTCCCCCCCCCCCGTCAGGAGGAAAACATTAAAACTACCACACCGACAAGAGGTCAAGGTTCCAAGTCCTCTTTCTGGCTCGATGTTTGATCTCCAGGCACGGCCTGCTTTTCTACGGAAGCCGTTCTTCTCCGTCGCAACCGTCAAAAAGGCATTTGAATGGCACTCCGCACAGCAAGACCTGCGGCTGGCCTTTCTACATTAAACATTAACCCCTGTTCCCTGAAAGAATGCGCAGGAAATCAACATACATGGTGCATATGTGTCTCTACCGGAAATTCCAGGTTTACAATATATAAAGTACATGCTCCTCCACTGGAAAGTTTTAGAAGCACACGCAAACACAGAGAGCCGAAGCCAGTCTTTGCCCAATCTGGCACCCTCCAAATGTTCCGGACTACGTTTCCCAGCAGGCCCAGCCAGCACAGCCTGATAGGAGTTGTGGTCCAAACTATCTAGAAGCCACCAGGGCTGGTGAAGAGCAGCCACAGTCCACCCGAACCACACCCTAGTTTCACCATAGTTGAATAATTTGAAAGCTGACGGGTCCTCTACAGCTGCCATTACTACGCTTTTACCTCACCTCACCTCCAAAGAGCAAGAGGCAGCATGCATGGTACTCGCCCTCTCCTCACAAAAACCCTGTGAGGTAGGGTTAAGTTGACGTGCTCATGGTTGGTCCAAGGTCCCCCAGAGAGCAGTCAGACCCCAGTTTCCCCGAGTCCTAGTCCAAAACTAACCACGCTGCATAATCGTTGCAGCCCCCAAACACACATGCTCCAGGCTTCAATGGAAAGGGTTGCAAAATGAGTGAACAAACATGGCGTCCTGCTCTGATGCCTGGACCCACTGGGCCTTTGGGGCCTGACCGGCAGAAGCTGCCCAATGCCTCTCCCCAGCCGAGTTACCTGTGGTCCTTTTAACAGGTGGCGCCAGGGATCGAACTCTAAACCTCTCCATGCTCAAGAAAACATGTTCTCTACTCACAAAGGGACTGGGACATAGGGGAGAGAGAAATAAAAAAAAAATAAAGACTGCCACGTGTTGTTGCAATTGTTTCTGGCACTTCAAGCCTAAAACTGGACCAGAAGGCTTTTATTTTTTATTTTATTTTTTGCAGTGGGGTGGAGTTTAATGCAAAACTACCTGGGTTTCACAATGCTTACGTCAAGAGCGACTCCACTCTGAGTCCAGAGGGGAATAATGTGGTCAGGAGCAGCCTTTGAGTTCTGTCAGAAATCATTCCCCCATTTCTCCCTTGCCTTCCATGTCAACTTCCTCTTCCTTCACACATATCTGCTTTAAAATCGCAAACAGAGCCTTGTGTCCAAAACCGGTTTCAAGTCCAGATCGTGATTATCGGGTTTCATGATTTCTGACCTGGCAATATTGTGAATCACAATGTGTGTGTGTCTGTGTGTGTGTGCTTTGCAAAAATCACAATGTGGGGGAAACCTTGAAGCCAGCCAATGCCTCTACATAGCTCTATCCTTATTTCACAAACTGCGACATAACAGTATACAGTCGTACCTTGGTTCTCGAAAGTTTTGGCTCCTGAACGCCGAAACCCTGGAAGTGTTTCAATTTCCGAACGTTTTTTGGATGCCAAACCTCCAATGCAGCTTCTGCTTGAGTGCAGGAAGCTCCTGCAGCCAATCGGAAGCCGCGCCTTGGATTAAGTCCGGGAACAAAGGTTCCACTATATTGCAATGTTTAGCTGGTGAAAGATCACAAAGTGGAAAACCCAATATCGCCCAGCTCTAGCCTCACTTGATGCTACATACTGACTAGGCCCAAGTCAGGGCAAACAGGATATATACCCCAAGGCGGGTAGTAGAAACCACCCAAAGACAAATGCCCTTTTACTCCTCCTCTGGTTGTATCGTGGACCAGCTTCCCCTTCAGGTGCAAGGCCGAACTCTCTACCTGCGTCCCCTTTAGCATCCACAACTCCTTCCACGCTTTTAACTTCCTGTGGCTCATACGAAGAAGCCTGGAGGACAACTGAGCTCTTCTCTCCCGATGGATGAAGCGCAGGCTTCTCCGATGGCACACTGCCCCTTGAGGGCCCACCAGAATCGAGGGCAGCAGAAGAGACTTGACGACTGCAAGCTGCCAAGCCAGTATCAGCTGGCGTGGGCCCCAGAGCCACGTTCTGGCTCGCCGCCACGGTTCCTTGGCACTGGTGCAGCCCAGAAATTGGTGTCCCGTGCCTGGCATTTGCTCCACTGCCCAGACTGCCTTCCAGCTGGTTTGATTGAAAGCTTACACCTCCAAGAACCTCGTGGGCCTTGGAAGCTCGACCAAGCGGCCAAGAATAGTTTGGAGGCTGCGATGATTCTCGCTCAAGGTCGGCAGGAAGGGCATGCACCAGACAAGATCTCGGTGCATGCTGCAGCAAGCCGGGAGCCACGAGTGTCAGGCACCTGACGCAAGCCTTGGTGGGCTCTTCCACCCTCTTCCCCTCGACTAAGCCGCTGGACGGCTCTGCCCCTCTCTGCAGGTATTCGTGCGACACGCTGCTCATGACGATATCCGGGTACGGTGCAGACCCCTCAGATGCTCTGGAGACGACCAGCATGGCTTGGATTTCCCGGGCACCCTCTAGAGCTACGACAGCTGGCACAGGCAAGAGAGGGGATCTCTCGTCCGATGAGCCCTCCACACGGACCTGGAAGATGAGGTTGGCGATGCAGCGGCAGCAGCTGGCAAAGAGGCCGTTCCCCATGGTCCCCTGCCAGGGGGCACGTGTTAAAAACCAGCACGGGACTTCCGTCACATCCAAAGGCAATGCCACAATCTATGGGCAGAGCGACGCTCACTGGAAATTCACGGTCTGGATGGCAAAATGCTTTCCAAAGGGGCACATCCTCTTTTCCCAGAAGGTGGACCAAGGTAGTTTTTAATCAGGGAGAACACATGCAGAGCACCTCGCTGCTTTAGTCATGGGTGGTTTCTCTTTGGAAAAAATATATATAACGTCACCAACATCTGACAGGCTGCATTTCCGCGGTCAAAATTCTCCTGGAGTTCCCGTCAGAGACCTTCATTTTCTGCAAAACCAGACGCCAACCGTGCGTTGCCAGGGAAGACTGCAATCAAGGTGTGATGGGTTTTCTTCCGTGTTCTCCTGGAGAACAAATTTCCAGCAGAGAGTGCTTCTTTTCCACCCTCAACTCTGCAAGAAGACTGAAAGCAGGAGGACAGTGTTGGCTCCAAAGCCAAGTTATAAATAGAGCCCAGAGCCCGGGCTCTGTACCAACGCAACCTGGGACTGCGGCTAAAGGGTTTTGCCCTTGTCAAGCATACAAACAAATATGGTTGGGGCTGAATAGCAGAGCCAAGGCCGGTTACTATGGCACGTTGAGACTTCCACACAGATATCCATACTAAATAGAGAGCAACAGAAGAACAATTATGGGGCAGAAAGTAGGTCTGGGGCCCAGTTCTCATTGAGGTAGCAAAAAAATATATCTGAGTCTGGACTGGAGAAATAAGAAGGCAGCACTTTCCAGGCCACCCTGAATCCATCACATGCAGCGCTGTTTGCGTTTCGCTGCGTATCGTCCTCCGCCCAAACAGATATTGTTTGTCTTGCTGTCTGAGGGGGCAAAAATATGCAAGTTCCGTTGCCATTACATTACATATTCCACACACTACTCATTTCTCTTCTGAACACAGGAGGAAGAAGCAAGCACCAGCAGTTTCTAGACCAGTTTCTGTTTTTGCTGGCATTCCCCAACATCCCTAGTCTGGAATCCTCAATGCTTCAGGCAGCACACATTAAGGAATCACACTGCGGTGGGTTGGACTAGATGACCCTGGGGTTCCCTTCCAACTCAACAATTCTGTGATTCTACGATTCACGTGATGGAATGCTCTCTTCCTCTCTCACACACACCCCACCGCCAAGTAATATTCCAAGTAATAATAATTCTCTGCATAGGGAAAGGTACCCTGAAGCCTTTCCTGGACATAGCAAAAATGCAAGAGCGTGTCTGGGTCAAACCCCAAGAGTCCACCCAAGAGGGGAGGAACTATAGATCAGTGAGTAAAATCTGCAGAGAGGGCTGGGAGAGACCTTGTGTTGGAAACCCTGGAAAGATGTTGGCAGTCACTGCAGACAATACTAAGCTAGAATTTATTTATTTATTACATTTATATACCACCTTTATCTCCGAAGGACGCGGGTGGCGCTGTTGTCTAAACCACAGAGCCTAGGACTTGCCGATCAGAAGGTCGGCGGTTCGAATCCCCGTGACGGGGTGAGCTCCCGTTGCTCGGTCCCTGCTCCTGCCAACCTAGCAGTTCAAAAGCACGCCAGTGCAAGTAGATAAATAGGTACCACTCTGGCGGGAAGGTAAATGGAGTTTCTGTGCACTGCTCTGGTTTGCCAGAAGTGGCTTAGTCATGCTGGCCACATGACCTGGAAGCTGTACACCGGCTCCCTCGGCCAATAAAGCGAGATGAGCGCCGCAACCCCAGAGTCAGCCACGACTGGACCTAATGGTCAAGGGTCCCTTTACCTTTACCTTTTATCTCCCAAGGAGCTCAAGGTGGTGTTCGTGGTCCCCCCCCCCATTTCATCCTCACAACAACCCTGTGAGGTAGGTTAGGCTGAGAGAAGGTGACTGAGTCCAAGGTCACCAAGTGAACTTCATGGCTGAGTGGGGATTTGAACCCTGGTCTCCCAGGTCCTAGTCTAACACTCTATGCATAACACCACACTGGTGCAGATGGAGCAACGGTCTGACTCGGTACATATAAAACACACAGTTTTCTGACTCGGTATAGTTCAACTTCACGTATTCCTAGTTGGCATTAGCAATTGCAAATATGAAAATGGGATGTAACAGCTATTCTGGATCAGTCAGCACCGAGAACAAGTACAGTCATCCCCCCCCCCCAATTGAAACGGGAGCTAAAAGTATTGGTTTTAAATTTTATGTTAAGGTAGTTAATTACTGCTTAACCACGAGCATTTCTATGCACCGTGCAGAGGACAAAACATTCATCATAAAACTGAACTTAAACCCGGACGCTACCTTAAAACGCCTGTGGAAATACAAGCATTTGTTGTGCGTCTGAAGTTCAGCAGGGAGGGTGCCTGTCTTCTAATACAATCTGGTGGCGGAGAGTTCCACAGGTCTAGGCCCACAACACTGAATGCATGCATGGCTTGTAGGCATTACAAGCCTTACATCAGAGCTGTGGGGGAACCACAGGACACCCCCCAAAAGTGATCAGGAAGGGGAGAGAAGGGATCAGGAGATCCTTAAGATGCATGGGACCTAGGTTGCTGTCTTACTGACGGCCTTGTAAATTAAGACAAGGGCACTGAACCTGGCCTGGTAACATATAGGCAGCCCGGATCTGCAATGTTCATTAGCTTTAATAGGCAATAGTGGTACAGTACCTCGGGTTACAGACGCTTCAGGTTACAGATGCTTCAGGTTACAGACTCCACTAACCCTTAAACAGTACAGTGGTACCTCAGGTTAAGTACTTAATTTGTTCCAGAGGTCTGTTCTTAACCTGAAGCACCACTTTAGCTAATGGGGCGTCCTGCTGCTGCCGTACCACCGGAGCACGATTTCTGTTCTCAACCTGAAGCAAAGTTCTTAACCTGAAGCACTATTTCAGGGTTAGCGGAGTGTGTAACCTGAAGCGTATGTAACCTGAAGCGTATGTAACCTGAGGTACCACTGTACCTCGGGATGAGAACAGAAATCGTGCGGCAGTGAGAGGCCAAATTAAAGTGTTGCTTCAGGTGAAGAACAGTTTCAGGTTAAGAACGGACCTCCAGAACGAATTAAGTTCTTAGCCCGAGGTACCACTGTACCCTGTCGCCGATCAACATTGGAGGCAACCCCACATTCCCAGGACTGACAAGTAAGAGATTAGCAGGAACCAGAAACTCTTAAGAACTTGGGAGAGTTGAGCGGGGAATACTTTACAACTACTTTAAAAGGGGAGTATAGAGAAAGAGAAAAAGAAAGAAAAAAAGAGAGTTAACTGGGAATCGGTTTAGTCTGACAAGCCTTCGGCTCATCCACGCTGGCATTTCTTGGCAAGAAGTTTGGTTCTCATGCTCCGTAGAACAATGGCGGCTTTGCAGTCTTCCTAGGAAAGGTTTCTTAACAGGCATTCTTTGGGCCTCGGCAGGGAAGAAAGGTCCATGTTGGCACCCCTGCCAGCGGCCTTTAGAGACGTCGGAGAACGCCGACGAAAAAGGGAGCGGAAATGGCCAATACTTATTTGTCCAGAACAGAAAACAACCCAGCAAACACAGGTGGGATTCCATGTTGCCGCTATTGTGTTCAGTCAGCAAATGGTACACAATCGATTACACCCCATTTGAACCAAAATCAGTGGGGTGGAATGATGCAATCTTCACCATTAATTACGTTAAGTTGCATAATCCCGCCGCAGCGGACAGAAGGACGAGCAACATGGTTTTTGGCAGAAGGTGATCTGCAGGGGAACAGAAACAGCTCCGCAGGTGGCAAATACAGAAAACGATGCCTTCTACATACCCAGGAACCATGCATTCAGTTCATGAGCATACTAGGAAAGTCTAGGAAACACTTGCCCCGTAAGAACAATAAACATTGTTGAGTTGCTGGCTGCTCTTGCTGCAAGTATGGTGGAGAGCAGGGCAGAAGACATGGGGGTGATCCTAGGTTCAAACCCAGCCACTTGCCTGAAACCCTGTTGTGGACAATAGGTAAAGGTAAAGGGACCCCTGACCATTAGGTCCAGTCGTGACCGACTCTGGGGTTGCAGCGCACATCTCGCTTTATTGGCCGAGGGAGCTGGCTTACAGCTTCTGGGTCATGTGGCCAGCATGACTAAGCCGCTTCTGGCGAACCAGAGCAGCGCATGGAAACGCCGTTTACCTTCCCGCCGGAGCGGTACCTATTTATCTACTTGCACTGGTGTGCTTTCGAACTGCTAGGTTGGCAGGAGCAGGGACCGAGCAACGGGAGCTCACCCCGTCACGGGGATTCGAACCGCCAACCTTCCAATCGACAAGCCCTAGGCTCTGTGGTTTAACCCACAACGCCACCCGCGTCATTGTGGACAATGCTGAGCTACATATTTGTTTAATCAAGTTTATACACTGCTTGATTGGTCTCCCCCTAAAAAACCCCCACCTCAAAGTGATTTAGAGAAAGATAAAACAATTAAATTAAAAGATTTACAACCCTACTTTAAAGCATACCAAAATTGAAATACTACAACAGATTAAAAGGACCTCAGCTTTCTAAAGCACCTGAGTGGGCATTTCTAAGCAGGAATGTTCTCAGCAGGCACTGAAAAGAACAGCGAAGGTGCCTGCTCGATGTCAAGAGGCAGGGAGTTCCAAAGGGAAAGCACTGCTACACTAAGCAGTCCGGTTCTTACAATTGAGGAAAGGGCATCATGCTTCACCTGTGGTGGTGCCAATTCTGTCGATCAAAGCGGTCTAGTGGGCCCATGAAGGGTAAGGCAATCTCGCAAGGGAACTATAATAACCAGGTATAAGTAGGGCAAGCTATACTATGCTAACTAATCTATACTAGGGAGTGGGTGGCGCTGTGGTCTAAACCACTGAGCCTCTTGGGCTTGCTGATCAGAAGGTCGGTGGTTCGAATCCCTGCGCCAGGGTGAGCTCCTGTTGCTCTGTCCCAGCTTCTGCCAACCTGAAAGGCGGGAAGGTAAATGGCATTTCCATGCACTCCTGCTTTCATCACAGTGTTCTGTTGCACCAGAAGCGGTTTAGTCATGCTGGCCACATGACCCGGAAAGCTGTCTGTGGACAAACACCGGCTCCCTCTGCCTGAAAGCAAGATGAGCCTGCGCAACCCCATAGTCACCTTTGACTGGACTTGACCGTCCAGGGGTCCTTTACCTTTTTATTATTATTATTAACTATACTGACCAGCTTCCTATTAAACTCTGAGCACTGACATGGAATTTAATATTGATTTCACATGGGTAGTATGTAGCTGGGCCCTACAAGGTATGGTTGCTAAACTTCTTGGCAAACCACCACTGGTGGTCAGGGTGCCACAAACTATGGCCAGGTGCAGACTGGTCTCAGTGGTCCATCTTTCCCAAGAACTTACTGAATACACACACACACACACACACACACACACAGACACACTTTCGAATTAAAACCTAATGCTTTTTGCTGAGCGGGCTGATTTGAGAGCCCGGCTCATTCCACAGCACTCGAGAAGCAGAAAAACCAGTGTTACTGGTCACCCCAGATGGCTCGTGAGACTGGTCAGGGTGGGGGATGGAGAAGAGAAAACACAAGTTGCCTCCTGTAACTGGATCTCTCTCTTTCTTCTGGGCTGGTCAAAGGCAGCCTCCTTCCTTGCAAGGTAATCAGTGCAATTTTGCGTTACGCAATTTTCAAAAAACATGTAGTTGCACATTCCGACGACTTAAAAGGATCTCCGCGCATACATGTATGGGTAAGGGTGGTTCCCACGGAGATATACCAGGCCGCTGAAGAATTAAGCCAGCCATTCAACGCCAAATTATTAAAACAGGAGGGTTGAGCTAATCATAGGTCCAAATGTGAGCCAGCGCAGCAACCGCACCCCCAGTCCGGCAGCAAAACCACCCTACCTCCTGGAACAAGAGCAATTCAGAAAGTATAGTGCCCCCCCCCCACTTTGCACGGTGCACAACAAAGCCCCACCTACATCCCATGATGCAAAATTAGCTCCACCCACTTTTGAGTCACGAGAGGGCCTCTTTACACGGGCATCCAAGAACGAGAAGAGAGGGGCTTATAGGACCATACCAGCCAGTCCTGACCCAAATCTCTGACTCCCCTTCCCTGGAAAGCGTGGTTTTACAAAGAAGTGTCTGTAGCAGAAGTCAGCAAACTTTTTCAGCAGGGGGCCGGTCCATTGTCCCTCAGAACCTGTGGGGGGCCGGACTATATTTTGAAAAAAACATATGAATGAATTCCTATGCCCCACAAATAACCCAGAGATGCATTTTAAATAAAAGGACATATTTTACTAATGTAAAAACACACTGATTCCCGGACCGTCCGCAGGCTGGATTTAGAAGGTGATTGGGCCGGATCCGGCCCCCAGGCCTTAGTTTTCTTATCCATGGTCTGTAGGGGAAGAATTCTCAGCACCTCACTAACACTATGGTTCCAATTTTTAAAAAAAATTTTTTTGGAAGGTGCAGTGGCCGTGCCCCAAGAGAAATGTTAAATTTGCTGTGTAGATTTCAGGGCACCAGTGTCAGAAGTAACCCAGGCGCGTTTGGCAACTGGCGTGGGTCCAATTGCAACCACGCGGGAGATCTCTGGAAATGCCAGGTTGGCGCCTGGGGAAAGCCAACTTAGAGAAGGTTCTGAAATATTTTCCTTGAAGCTTGAATTTTGTTTCATTCCGGATTATTTTAACTGACGTTTCAATGTGGTGCAAACCACTTTGAGATTTATTTTTTAAATATAAAAAAGAAATGGAATCATCATCATCATCCCACTGCAAAAAAGACATTCCATTGTGGCAGTAGCACCTTAGGTTTAAAATGCAATTTGGTGATTATATTATATACCTGAGTTTCTAAGGTTGCTTCTGATGGAAGATTCAGATGTAGTTCCAAAAACCCGGAGAGCACATTGTTGGCAAGCTCAGTGGCACATGAAAAACCAGGTGCGCTACACCTGAGTATCCAGCACTACACCAGTTTGTCCATGTTTTGCTTATATGTTTAAGCACCAGGCTTTCGGGGTTTGGTCCCATAAAAGAGGTGTGGAGACCTTTTGCCCTTCCAGATGTTGCAGCTGCAACTTCCATCCACCGTTCTGGGTAGCCAACACGGCCCACAAGGCACTAGTGATGAGAGTTTTCTAGGAAATTCCAGGATGAAAAGTTTCCCACCTGAGGATTCACTTACTAGATGTGTCAAAAGTGCACAGGGAGCCTTATTACATGCTTTGTAAGAAAAAGGATCCCCAACATGCACTGACATTTGTTGTTATTGTTAGGAAAGGATTCAAGATCACTTAATGGGCTTTGGGTACTGTAACAAGTTAGAAGCTATATGCTTTGGTGGGAAAGCTAAAAACGTTTTACGACACAAGTATTGCACAACTTCCTTCACAATGTCCCCCCCCCCAATAATTTTTTATTATTTTCCTTTAAACAACATTTCCAACATTACAGTAACAAACACAAAACAACCTTTTGCTCTGCCGAGCTTACGACTTCCTTCCTTCCCTTCAACAGGTATTCCATATCACATCGAATTGTGCAATTTAAATCTTTACTATATATCCACATTGTAGGATTTATTTCAATCCTGATAGTGTCTTCAAATTTTTACAATTATCATTCAAATGTGCAATAAATTTACTCCAGTCTCTTAGGAATTTCTGATTGCCCTGGTCTCGGATCCTGCAAGTCAGTTTGGCCAACTCTGCAAAGTCCATCAACTTCGCCTGCGACTCCGCAATAGTAGGTATTTCTTGTAACTTCCATTTTTGGGCCAGCAAAGTCCTCGCTGCAACTGTGGCATACATAAATAGTCTTTGATCCACCTTTGCAATCTCATTTCCCATGAAACCTAGCAAAAATGCTTCTGGTTTTTGGTGAAACGTATATCTAAACATCATCTTTAGTTCATTGTAGATCATCTCCCAAAATGTTTTTATTTTATCACAAGTCCACCACATATGATAAAAATCACCGTTCGAATCTTTACATTTCCACCTTCACAATGTTTTTTAAGGGGGAAAGGAACTGGAAACAAAAGATGCCGAATTTTTTGTTCGCGCATTCCTATGGAGCCTTGCAGCATTTTGAAAAATAAGCATCGTGGCGCACTGGTCAGAATGCCGGATAAGGATTGGAGGGATCCACCAGGGTCTAACTTATGCTGTTGGTAAGGGAAGGCACACTCCCCACTGCCATAGCCGTCTGCCAACCAAAACACCCACTAGCCAAACCAGATTCGTCAAGCAGGCAAATGTTGGAGGAGAATGTTGACATAGAGGTTATGTACTTCCCAAACACCGTTGAGAGAAGGAGGCACGCTCTAGCAACAGCTCCCGCCAATGTAGACACAGAAACGCTCTGGCAAATTTTGGCAAACTCCCCTTGCAGGCAGCCCTGGCACACAAGAACCGGTTTTTAAACAAGTCGAGGCAGAAATAGATGAGAGAGAGAGAGAGAGAGAGAGAGAGAGAGAGCGATCTCTGAACCCTAGCACTGCTGTCGCCAAACCCCAGAATGGATGGAAGCCCACAGAAGCCATTTTTTCAGCCTTAGGAGGAATTCCCACCTTGTTCCACCCTACGGGGAGAGCCTCCGACAACCCGACACAGAGAAATTAAGTGTGTTAAGCATACTGGTTTTCAGAGGGTGGGAAGAAGGAAGCAACCGTGAGTGGGAGATGACTTTATATTCTATGCACACAGTGGTTCTCCAGATGTTGGACTACAACTCCCATCATCCCTGAGCTCTGGCCTTGCTAGCTAGGGGTGATGGGAGTTGTAGTTCAACATCAGAGTAATGCCGGACGTGTGCAGGATGATTTGCTGGGGTCTAGCGCCTGCCTTGAGGAGCTTACAGTTGCAAGCAACAGAGAAGCAGCAACTCTGATGTGGGGGAAACTTTGAACCTGTCAATGTTCTGGGCTACCATCAGCTCCAGCAAGCAAAGCCAATGGCCACAGATGAAGGGAGTCACACTTCAGAAACAGTGTTAGAAATTCGTTGGGCACGTTTTGCCCCTGGAACACGACCAACTATGACTACGTGGAGATTTCTGGGCATCAGGCTGGCGACTGACATCTCCATCGAGCCAGTTTAGAAGCCTCTGCCTTAGTCCAGAGTTAATAACCATTTCCCCTTCAACTGTGTGAGTTTCTCCTTGTTGCATATTGGGACAAGTGAATTGTAAACGCGAGCTACAGTCAAGCAATGTACTCGAGATCACGGAAACGTAGAATTGTGGCATTGGAAGGGATCCCGAGGGGCACTGAGCCCAACCCCCTGGCAAATCGACATTCTGCTGTGGTGACTAACCTAGGTTTAAGGTGCCATTTGGCTTATACAATGATCAGCAATTTTTTTCAGCAGGGGGCCGGTCCACTGTCTCTCAGACCTTGTGGGGGGCTGGACTATATTTTGAAAATAATAATAAAAATGAACGAATTTCTATGCCCCACAAATAACCCAGAGATGCATTTTAAATAAAAGCACACGTTCTACTCATGTAAAAACAAGCTGATTCCCGGACCATCCGCGGGCAGGAATTAGAAAGCGATTGGGCTGGATCCAGCCCCCGGGCCTTAGTTTGCCTACCCATGGGCTTATATATACACAAAGGGACTGCCTCCCTTCAGTGCCACCGGCTGCATTAAAAAGATGCATCAAAAATGCTTTGTAAGTCAGAGCTATTCTCCATACAGACTTTTCCAGTTCATCCCAAGAGATCTGGAGTGAATTACACATTTCAACTCAAACAGCACTCCAAGCCCACCATTTATTAATAATTGTAACTGTAAGCTCCTTGTGGGCAGAGACCTGCCTTCTTATACTCTGCATAAACCACCCTGCACACTGAAGGCACCATATATACAGATTATTCTTCACGCAACAATCACTACTGCCCTCCTTGAGACGACAACCAGGTCGTGGTCCCCTCCAACTCTACGATTCTATGAGCAAACAACCAAAGGAATGTTAGGAAGCTGCCCTATCCAAAGACAAGCCATTGCTCCGTCTAGATCAATACCGTTTACACTGTCTGGAAGACTTTCAGAGGTCAGTCCAAACCTAGAGACCCCTGGAGGATTGAACACGGGACTTTTTGCATGCAAGTTGGACCACCTACCCTATGGTCCTTCCCTGCAAAAACCCCTGTTTGCAAGAGGCTCCTGTTGCTACCTTAAGCCTGCTATGCGAGGGAAGGAAAAGGGTGCTTGTCTCTTTAAAAATATTGCAGGAATGTGGGAGCAGCTACGGAACTGCCAATTGCAGGTGCATGCGTGGAGGGGAGGGGGAAGGAGTGGGGGAGGCCATTTCAGACTGGAAGGTGGGGGCGGGAATCCCCTTTCCAACCAACGCTGAAGGACAACGGGATTCCCCAGGACTCTTCCGCTTCCTAAGCCTCAGATGAGACTTCTATAAAACCACGTGCGTGCACACAGCACGTTAAAAAGGATATAGTTAATTTTGGACTCCCTCTTGAAGAGGGGAGAGGGCAGGAATCAGGGGGTGTGGGGTGTTGCATTCCCACCCCCTCAATGAAAAGATATGGGGGGGGGGAGAGGATACCTTAAAGGATCCTGTGATCTTAAACAAAGAGAGGAGGGGTAGAGGGGAGGAAGGCCCTCCCACTCTGCTCTGATTGGCTGGGCGAAGCCTGTACCCCTTTGAAGGTCACCTTGAAGGAGGTGGCGGAAGCTGGGTGGGGGGGACAGAAGGAGACAGAGGAACCAGCTGCAGAGGGCACAGAAGCAGCCCTGGCAGGACTCGTTTGGAAAGCAGACTCTCCATGTTAGGCCCCCTCCCCACTGAAAAAAACAAAACAAAAACCTGGCGCATGAAATCTCAAAGTCACCCCTTCCAAAAATTTATCTACAACCCTCCTGCTTTCCTTTCTCCCCCCCCTCCCCGCCCTCCAATTTCCCAGCCCCCTCCTCAGACTATAACTCTGCAAACAGCAGAGGAAGCTGCCGGGGATTCAGAGTGAGGCCACTAAGCTCAGCACTGTCCACTCTGGCTGGCAGCAGCTATCCAGGTTTCCAGGGGCAGGGAGATTCTAGGCCCCGACGAGAGTGATGCTGTCAGGAATTGAACCCACGACCTTCTGCGCCCGAGAAGAGGATGCTCCACCTAGTGAGATACACTCCAAGCGAGCGCCCTCCATATACATGTGTGCTACAACTCCCAGGGGTACCTCAGGGCTTATGGGAGTTGTAGTTTGGAGGGTGCCAGAGCTGGCGACATCAGCTCTGGCCTCTTCAGGTTATCCTCACAGGTCTCTTTTCCACCAGGTGAGGTTCCATTATGCAATCTTGCCAGTTCTCTCCCCCCCCCACTGCCCCCTAAAATTCACCCATTCATTCTGACATTTATATCCTACTTTTCCTCCAGGGAGGTCGAGGTGGCTCCCACGTATCTTTCCCCATCTCAGTTTAATCCCCACAACGGCCCTGTGGGATAGGTTAGGCAGAGAGATCGCTACCGGCCCCCGAGAGTGGCAGAGTGGGAATTTCTAGCCTAACCCTCTACACCATGCCAGTACCATCTGCTGCTGCCTCCCCTACACAAACACCACGTTAAGAACACACTGGAAATTACTTCCAGGAATCCAACCCAGAGCTTCTGCACACTCAGAATGTGCACAACCCCTGAGATGTGCTTCATTTACAAGGCTAAGGGGAACACCTGTGGCCCCCTCTGGCTGTCGCTGGACTGCAACTCCCATCAGCCCCTGCCAACATGCCCAGTGGCAGAGAATGATGGGAACTGTAGTCCAGCATCATCAGGAGCAGCCTTTCTCAACCTGTGGGTCCCAGATGTTGCTGAACTACAACTCTCATCACCCCTAGCTAGCAAGGCCAGAGCTCAGGGATGATGGGAGTTGTAGTCCAACAACATCTGGGGACCCACAGGTTGAGAACGGCTGATCTGGAGGAATGCAGGTTCCTCGCTTGTATGCTGCTGCTATTATTATTTCATGAAATTTATATACCGCTTGATTGTAGGGAAAAGGAAAGAAAAAACCTCGAAAGGTAAAATAATAAAATTATCCTTGAAAGAATTTTACAACCGCAATTTAAAACATACAGAAAGTTAAAGCCACAATAAAATATACTGAAACACATTAAAACTCTTACAACCAGAGCAGCGCATGGAAACGCTGTTTACCTTCCCGCCGGAGTGGTACCTATTTATCTACTTGCGCTTTGACGTGCTTTCAAACTATTATGTCTTTAGCAGGCACCAAAAGGAATATAGTGAAGGCACCTGCCTGGCATCAATAGGCAGGGAGTTCCGAAGTGCCGGTGATGCAACACTCAACAGCACAAGCCTAGGAAGCAGCCACATCTCCTATGTAAGTATGGTTTACACAACTTGGAGATCATCCTGCATTCTCCCCTGTGAGGTTTTCTAAAGACTTCAGATGAATTTGTGATTAGTGTCAACAGAGCTTTTCATTAACATAAAATTTTAAAAATACAAATAAAAAAGAAAACACAATCAAAATCACAAGCCACAGGAGCAGTACGGAGCTTGTATTTACCAAACAGATAGAGAGCAGATAATGTGGAAAAATAAAAGAAGCAAAACACATCCTGGAAAGCCAGATTTTGTGATTTGGTGGGGTAAGAATCATCCAATGGTGGAGCTGGAAAGGACCACAAGGGTCATCTAGTCCAACCCCCTTGCAATGCAGAAATATTTTGCCCCAACTTGGGGCTTGAATCCATGATCCTGAGACTACGAGTCTCACGCTCTACCAACCGAACCAGAGTTTTGCACATCTGAATTTGACATGTAAAAATAAAATGAAATCCCACCAAGCAGTGCAGGAATGTTCTGGGTCTCCCTTTCCCTTAGAAATGTGCAACTTGTGGCTTATTTTTCTCCGTGGCAGCCAGATTCCACATATTTCATACTGCAACGTGAAGCTGAAGCATGCCTTCCATTCCTGGGCCAAATAAGTTCTCACTGCGGCCAGCTGTTTGATAATCACACTTGCTCAAAAGGGCTAAATATGGGAAGCCCTGAATGGGGCATTAATTTTTTCCCTGATATTTCTTCAAAAAATAAATTTGGATGCCGAAGAGCCTTCCCACCCCAAGTGGAAAAAGGCCCCCCAACGATCCTTATTATGACCTGGGTCGAATCGCTTTGAAAGCGGCACAGAGGACAGGACAAAGGCTAAGGGGGTTAAACTAATCAGAGCAAACAAAGTTCCCTCCACCAATAAACTACAGTCCAAGGAAGGCAGCAATAACAATCTAAGAGCTGGTCTGGGGGAAGGTTGTCAAACAGGCTGACAATTATATGCTCTAGACCAGGCGTCAGAAAACGTTTTCAGCAGGGGACCAGTCCACTGCCCCTCAGACCTTGTGGGGGGCCAGACTATACAGTGGTACCTCTGGTTACGTACTTAATTCGTTCCGGAGGTCCGTTCTTAACCTGAAACACCACTTTAGCTAATGGGGCCTCCTGCTGCTGCCGCGCCGCCAGAGCACAATTTCTGTTCTCATCCTGAAGCAAAGTTCTTAATCCAACTATTTCTGGTTTAGCGGAGTCTGTAACCTGAAGCGTATGTAACCCGAGGTACCACTGTATTTTGAAAAAAGAAAAGAACGAATTCCTATGCCCCACAAATAACCCAGAGATGCATTTTAAATAAAAGCACTCATTCTACTCATGTAAAAACACGCTGATTCCCGGACCATCTGCGGGCCGGATTGAGAAGGCGATGGGGCCGGATCCGGCCCCCGGGCCTTAGTTTGCATACCAGTGCTCTAGCCAGTGGTTCTCAACCTGTGGGTCCCCAGATGCTGTTGGACTACAATTCCCACCATCCCTGAGCTCTGGCCTTGCTAGCTAGGGGTGATGGGAGTTGTAGTCCAACAACATCTGGGGACCCACAGATTGAGAAAGGCTGCTCTAGACGCAGGGAGATAAGGCAAGGAAGGTTAGGTTTGGGGAAGCAGAGTGCAGGGAAGAAGTATAATGATTGAAAGGTCAGGGTTTCAAACGAAAGGTTGGTCTCTCCAAAGCTGCAACGATATGCACTTATTTGGAAGCCAGGCGGCTCAAACTCAGCAGGGCTTGCTTCCTGAGTAAAGCAGGCAGAGGCTAGGTCTGTATCAATTTTCAGCCAGGTTCAGGCAGATATCACTGAGATTTAAGTGGGAGTGTGTTAAGGCCCCAATCCAATACAAAACATGTCAGCCGTGGGAGTGGGAAAAGCAACAGAGTCAAATGGCTAACCATTCAAAGTCCATCCAGCTTCTCATAGCCCCTGGGGTTGCCAGTGTTTGAAATTAGCCAGGCGCATTTTGCACCTGGCTTATGACTACTTGGGAACAACTGACATTTCTGCCATCTGGGGATCATTGGATGCGGACCGTTTTCACACACTAATACCCCATCCTGTAGAATACTATCAGTTATACTTTATCCAAACAAGCAGAATGAATTTCTGGAACCGGAATGCTGAGCAGGAGCAGTCACCATTAAGAAAAAGAGCTCAGAACAGGCCAATATACTGTATTTTTCCGTGTATAACATGCCCCTGTGAATAAGACGCCCCCTATTTTGGGAGCTGCAAGCAATCACCTGGCCCCACAATGTACTGCCTGTGTATAAGACGAGCCCCGTTCTAAACATTATTTTTAAGTAAAAAAACCTAGTCTTATGCACGGAAAAGTACGGGATATGCAGACTGTCCTTGAATCAAGGGACTTTTCTTCTTTAGGTTCTCAATGTTCTTAACCTAGCTCAAGGCTGCCATCTGAACTAGGCAGATGTTTAACTGAGAAGCAATCACAGTCAGTCCATCATTTGAAAAACAAGACTTTAGAGCCACTGGGCCCCTAGCTTTTAATATCAGAATTTTTAACATGGGCTGCATTGCCAATTTTGACTCCCATTAGCCTCTCGGTTGGAAGAAAGTTAAGATATTAAATGCATGCACACAAAGAGATCTGGTGAATCTGGGCTCTGGCCAAATTTTATCTGAGCCTTGGAAAGCACATAGAGCTGAAAGAGGAAGTGGGCCAGAGCGCCACACTTCCTCATTCAACTCTATGCTCTTTTTCAAGTGGGGGAGGTAGGCACTCTGGTCCCCACATGACCAAGAGGGGCAGTTCAGACGCACCAGAAAAAGTGGGAAGGGGGGCGGAAGAGTGGGAACATTACGCTCACCGACACCATGCTGGCAAACCCTGCCCAAATTACACTGCTTTGCTTTTGGGTCATAATGAGCTAGATCAGCATTCAGTTTGCCAAATATACAGGTGATAAGGAATTGCCTTCAGGTGCAGACCTGGCAGAGGAGAGATGGATTGCTTAGTCCCTCTTGTTCGATCCTGCTTGGACAAAAGGGGTGGGGAATTGGTCCTAATCAGTGTTTCTATGCTGACTGCAGGGAATGCAGGCTACGGGCCTCTCAGCGGGCTGCTAAAAATATTTTTTTAAATCAGTGGCAGTCTAGGAGAATTTGTGAGTGCATTTAAAAGACTCAGAGATGGTCATCCCTTCCACTATAGCTAGGAGAAAGTTGTATGGGTCCGTGTAGAGACTATTCCAAATAGCCCAGTGTGGTAGCCTTGGGGAAGCATAATAGAACAACTAATAAAGCAGAATAATCCCCCTCCCCAGACTATTTCAAATCTGCACCAAAGAGTGCCCTCTCTGGGAGGAGCGAAGTGTGCAGCTTTTGCTTTCCAGCCTCAGTTTTCCCCATCTGTAGAATGAGAAGCACTGCAATCTACCCCATCTGTGTTACCAGACCGAAAGCACAATACATTTTACACCCCCACTTTTGCTCTTGAAGCGTCTTCCCCTGTCGTAGTCCATCGGCTGATTTTCAGCAGGTCCACGTGAAGCCAAAACAAAGCAAAGCAACCCAGTGTTATAATACGTAGCTAGCGAGATAACTGTAGCACAGATGGTCACTTGCAAGTGGGGGCAGATTCACAGTAGCAGTTCTTTGCTACCCATGGCAGGTCCGTTGAGCTGCATTAAACCCGTGCAACGTTTAGCAGCAAAGTTTTACAGCAGCATTTAAAAAAACCCCAAAGGTTCCTGGTCTACCGACGAGCTGATTCAAGTGTGCGGTTAAATCAGGGCGGGGCAGGAGTCAGGAAAAACTGCCAAAATCAAACCTATTTTATAGCCTACATGCAGAGAATGACGGTGCAGGTGAGAAAACAGTACGTCTTGTTACGTTAGAACAGGAACCAAACAGCCCAAACTCAACTCTGTACTACTTCTTGGGACTTTTCCGTCCAGCAAGTTTTCATATGAGGCTGAACTGCTTTCAAAGCTTTATTTAGGATGCTGCTGCACATGGATGTGATGTTTTGTGAGAGGGTGGTAAGGCCACCATAACCCGTATGTGCCCAGTGTTAGAAATTAGCCAGGCACGTTTTGCAACTGGCGCAAGTCCAATTGCAACCATGTGGAAAATAAACATTAGAACACCAATATGGATTCTGAAAGTCGGATTGCAGGATTCTTATTCTCCCTGGCGAAATAAAATATATACACAGAGAACACACACACAGATTCATACCCATTGCAACTTTCCCCAAGCCCATTGTGACTTAGCATCAGCAGTGTGTAGCAGAAAATGTTCTGTTTTAGAAGTTCATTCATAAACAATGAATAGGTGCCAACTGCAAATAAGTATTAGGCCAACCTAGGATAATAATTTTATTATTTATAGCCTGCCCATCTGGCTGGGTTTCCCCAGCCACTCTGGGTGGCTTACAGCACATATAAAAACATAGTAAAACACCAAACATTAATTGCATTTTAAGCTTTATTTACTAAATGCAAGTAAACTAAACATGCTAGGTTACATCATGCTTAGACCATCCGAATTTCCCCCCGAGGCAAACTAAAAGTTGTCCAGTGAAAACCACCCTTCCTTCAAAAGTTTCTGGAAAGCTCACATCGCTGCGCTCTGCACATTCTCAGAGTTTGTTAGGACACATGTGCTGGAATTTAGCCCCAGCATTAGAGCCTGGCACAGATTAAACCCTGTACAGTACAAGCCTCTGGCTCCAACTCCGTTAGAGGAGGGAGGGAAAGAAAGAAAGAAAGAAAGAAAGAAAGAAAGAAAGAGAATTTAAGTTCTGGCAGCAATACCAGGTAAAACCTTCTTAACACCCTCCCCTTCCTTTTTTAAAAAAATGGGAGAAAAGCACCAGCCCAGGATCACAAAAGAGAAAGTCAACACACTCACTGGCAAAGCCCTGTGCTCAAAAGATTACTGAAATAAGGGTAAGCTACAGGGCTCATTCATACTGTCATTTAACTGTGAATGGTGAAGGTTCTTCTCCATATGCCTTCCCACACTTTCCCCAGCTCTCAATCCAAAAGGAGGGGGGTCTGAGAAACCCCGGATTGAGGGGTTTGGTTAGGTGGTGGTTAGGTGGTTAGGTGGTAAATGTCATACAGGCAACAGAATTGATAGAGGTACAGGTACACACCTTAGAATATGGAATTGTCGAGTTGGAAGGGAACACAAGCGTCATCTGGTCCACCCCCCTGCAATGCAGAAATCTTTTTGCCCAACGTTGGGCTCGAACCCACGACCCTGAGATTGAGAGCCCCATGCTCTACCAACAGAGCTGTGAGCCTTCCTACAAGCAGAATGCAAGCTGCTAAGCTGGGTGGATATCTAATGCCACCAAAAGCACATTTAGAAAGTGTAAGGAGCAGGGACGCGGGTGGCACTATGGACTAAACCACTGAGCCTAGGGCTTGCTGATCAGAAGGTTGGCGGTTCGAATCCCTGCACGGGGTGAGCTCCCGTTGCTCGGTCCCTGCTCCTGCCAACCTAGCAGTTCGAAAGCACGTCAAAGTGCAAGTAGATAAATAGGTACCGCTCTGGCGGGAAGGTAAACGGCGTTTCCGTGCGCTGCTCTGGTTTGCCAGAAGCGGCTTAGTCATGCTGGCCACATGACCTGGAAGCTGTACGCCTTCTCCCTCGGCCAGTAAAGCGAGATGAGCACTGCAACCCCAGAGTCGTTCACGACTGGACTTAACTGTCAGGGGTCCTTTTCCTTTACCTTTAAGGAGCCCCAAAAGAGGCAATGACTGCTGCTCCTGTTGAACAGAGCACAGGGATGCAATTTTGTCTGTCAGTGCCTTTATTATCCCAAAGGAAACGCACACAAACCCAGAGACTTAGCGACATAGTAAACGGCGTTAAACCGAGTCCATCTAGTTCAGTATTGTCTACACTGGCAGGCAACTGCTGCCTCTCCAGGATTTCACAATAGGAAGCATCCTTCAGGTGGCCAAGCTAAGCCTACCCTCAGCCAGCCCCCACATGGTTACCTGGCTACTTATAACCAGTCCATTTTGGTGGTGGCCATGGCTGCCATCTTCCTCCATCACCAAGTCAGGCCAATGGTCCATCTAGCGCCACATTGGTTATATTAACCAGCAGCAACTCTCCAGAGTTTCAGACAACATCCGCTCCAAGTACTTCTGAGTACTCCCTAGAGTACTTCTATGGGGCAGCTCTATTAAGTTAAGTAGGTAAATAAATATGAGGAAAAGAAAACGTCACTTAGAGAAAGATATGAAATATTTTCCTTGCTGCTTGAATTTGTTTTGATTCTGGATTGTTTCTATTTGATGTTTCAATGTGTTATAAACTGCTTCGAGATCTTCTTTCTTTAAAATATAAAGTGGTATAGAAGTGAAACGAAAAATAATAAAAAGGCACCTAGACATTCCTTCATGACAACCGTAATCCAGGTGTAAGATCGGCTTTTATATGCAAGTTTCTAACAGTGGTTGTAAATGGGTCTCCAAGATATCGCAAACAGGGCGTCGGCTACAGGTCTACATTGGTTTTTCAAGATTATCATATTTCCCCCAGAAAGGATAAAAGCGGATAAAATGGGACAAAATAAATGGCTGCCATACGGATGAGAAGATGTTATTTGGATGGATAGATAGATCAGATTCCACAACAAACCAGCACGAGGAAGAACTCTTAGATCCACAGTCTGGCTCTTCACAAAATAAATTATCAATCAAAGCCCTCTCAATGTAACCTTCAGAGATTAGACTTGCCCTCCTACCTGGCCTTTACGGGCACCAAAGAAAGCATCTCCTACCAAGTCAGAACATCAGTCTATCCACCTCTATGTTCTGAACACTGACTGGCAGCAGTTTTCTGGGATTTCAGACAGGAAGTCTCTCCCAGCCCTATTTGGGACCCTCTGTATGCAAAACAGACCCTCTAACCCAATGACCTGTCCTTCAGCAACTTACATCCTTGGGTACTAAAGAGATTTGAGTGTTGCCGCCATTTTAACATCCTTTTTTGCACTTTATTATTTTGATGATGTGCGCTATCTTGAGGGCCCTTCTGGGACAGCTGAAATAGCGGATATAAACCGTTTCATGAACAAAGAATCCCCAATATTAGCCCATGGGCTCTTGGTGATTATAGCATAGGTTTCCCTTAGAGAGCACCCATGGAAGACTGGATTCGAGCAACTGGCTTCCCCACCCCAAATTTGTGAACCTCTTAGCGCATGTATGTACAAGCAGCCTTGTATTGAGAAGTTGATGTTTTATTATGCTTTTGTATGTGTTGGATGGGACATGGGTGGCACTGTGGGTTAAACCACAGAGCCTAGGACTTGCCAATCAGAAGGTCGGCGGTTCGAATCCCCGCAACCGGGTGAGCTCCCGTTGCTCGGTCCCTGCTCCTGCCAACCTAGCAGTTCGAAAGCACGTCAAAGTGCAAGTAGATAAATCGGTACTGCTCCGGCGTGAAGGTAAACGGCGTTTCCGTGCGCTGCTCTGGTTCACCAGAAGCGGCTTAGTCATGCTGGCCACATGACCCGGAAGCTGTACGCTGGCTCCCTCGGCCAATAAAGCGAGATGAGCGCCGCAACCCCAGAGTCGGTCACGACTGGACTTAATGGTCAGGGGTCCCTTTACCTTTACCTTTTATGTGTTGGAAACTGCCAGGAGTAGTTGGGACAACCCAGCCAGGTGGGTGGTGTATAGTAAATAATAACAAAACAAAACAACAACAATACCCATCTGACTGGGTTTCAAGTGTGGGAAACTCTGATCAACACCAAACTTCACAAGTGTAGGAACCTGTGGTCTTCTAGGCTGGACTGGAGGGCCAGGATTCCCCCTCTGTCATCCTGATTCAATTCTGAGCAGCAGGAGAGCAAGGGAGCCCCCCAAAAGAGAGGACAGAAACTATGGTTCCCCCCACCTGGAACTCAGTTCCGGCACCTCTCAGGTGGGTACCATTGCCATTACAAGAGAACAAGGGAGGCATTCATGGTGAGTTCCAGAACCATTTTTTCCCTAGAAAAATGGCACTGACAACAACTGTTGCCGTGGGACAGCTCAGTTGGTAGAGCATGCAACTTTTCATTTCAGGGTCACAGGTTCGAGCCCCACGTCGCGTAAAAGATCCCTGCATCACAGGGGGTTGGACCAGATCAGGGTTTCCCAAACTTGGGTCTCTAGCTGTTTTTTGGACTACAACTCCCACAATCCCTAGCTGGCAGGGCCAGTGGTCAGGAATGATGGGAACTGTAGTCCAAAAACAGAGACCCAAGTTTGGGAAAACCTAGATTAGATTATCCCTGTGGTCCCTTCCAACTCTACAATTCGGTTACCCCTTTGGTTATTCACATTGCCCCAAGAAACAAAGAGACCAGGTTTCGGTTCACTTATTCTGGGTTCGCATTCCACAAATGAGACACCCTTCCACTGACTCCCTCAGCTGATGTGTAGTTCTGGCCCTCTTCTCAAAGAGGAGGAACTGAGGGCGCCTCACTCAATTTCTACAGCTCTAACCCCCCACCCTCAAAGCAAGGAAAGATGGGGAGCTCATTCTCCACTAAGAAAGCGCCTGTGATTCTATGTGTAGGAGATAGTACAGTATGTGCTGCTGGACGACCAAGGTGAGACCCTCCATTGCCAAGAGCAGTGTATCTCGGGAATATCAGATGATGAGGACCTGCAACCAGAGGGGACACTTGCCTCTATGCAGCCAACAGCAGACCTTTGGCCTGACCCAGCAAATGCTGTTTCTAGGTTCATTTCACTGCCTCTGGACAAAAAGACACCCTCAAGGGCTTCGGGTGGGTTGGGAAGACTATAACTCCCCATTGTCCATGACCACTGACCACATCAGATGGGGCTGATGGGAGGCCAGCAGCTTCTGGGCGGTCACTGGTTCCTGAACAGCCCTACTGGATCCTGCCAGTAGCTGAGCAAATACAGCAACCTGCTCTTACAGTGGCCAACCAGAGGCCCCAATGGGAAGCCCGGAAGCAGGATCCAAGCACAAAATAACTCCTCTCCTGTGGTCTTCCAGCAATTGGTTATCAGAAGCATTTATTGCCTCTGACGGCAGAGGTAGAGTATAGCCATAGAAATTAGCCAGGCCTGTTTTGCGACTGGCACGGGTCCAATGGCAACAGCGTGGAGATCTCTGGATGCCAGGTTAGCGATTTTCTCAAGCAGGCAAGAAAGAACTTATTTATTGCACTTATATACCACCTTTTTCTCCAAGGAGTACATGGTTCACCTCCCTCCTCGGTCAGTTCCCTACAACGGCCCTGTGAGGTAGGCTAAGGGGCTGTGACTGACTCCAAGGTCACCCAGTGAGCTTCAAGACTGAGGGGGAATTTGAACCCTGATCTCCCAAGGTCCTAGTCTGACACGCTAACCCAGGGGTCAGCAAACTTTAGCAGGGGGCCGGTCCACTGCCCCTCAGACCTTGTGGGGGACCCGACTATTTTTTGGGGGGGGAGGAAATGAATTCCTATGCCCTACAAATAACCCAGAGATGCATTTTAAATAAAAGCACACATTCTACTCATGTAAAAACACACTGATTCTTGGACTGTCCGTGGGCCGGATTTAGAAGGCGATTGGGCCAGATCTGGCCCCCGGGCCTTAGTTTACCTACCCATGCTCTAACCACTACAACCACACTGGCTTCCTAGAGCACTTCTTTGAGGCAGCTATATAAATTAAGCAGGTGAATGGGGAAAGGAAAATGTAACTAAGAGAAGGATCTGAAATATTTTCCGTGAAGCTTGGCTTCGGGATGGTTTGATTTGATGTTTTAATCTGCTGCAAACCACTTTGAGGTTTTTGTTTTCTTTAAAATATAAAGCGATATGGAAATGAAATGAATAATAATAATAAATCTCAATGTAAAAAAAGGCCATTGTGGTGACCGTAACCTAGGTTTAAGGGGCCGATTAGCTTATATATCTGAGTTTCTAACTCTGCTAGTAGCTACTGATTGCCTAATTCCTCTATGATGCACCATCACAGGGACACAAAACTACGGAGGACATCTGGACTTCGGACCCTGGGTTACAGGCCTTATTTATTTTGACATCTATACTGTACTACATAATTACATTACTTATTACAGTGGTACCTCGGGTTACAGACACTTCAGGTTACAGACTCTGCTAACCCAGAAATAGTACCTCGGGTTAAGAACTCTGCTTCAGGATGAGAACAGAAATTGTGCAGCGGCAGCAGCAGGAGGCCCCATTAGCTAAAGTGCTACCTCAAGCTAAGAACAGTTTCAGGTTAAGAACAGCATTAAGTTCTTAACCCAAGGTACCACTGTACTAACATTTATGCCAATAAGCTCAGCACAGTTACATGGTTCACCCCCCTTCATTTTACCTGCACAACAACCCTGTAAGGCAGACATTGGAGGCAGCAACTGGCGCCAATGTCACCCACCCACTGAGCTTTCATGGCTGCGAGGAGCATTTGAACCTTTGGCCTCCCAAGCACGAGATCAGTACTCTAACCCTTACATACAAAACACACTTGCAGGGGTAGCTGTCAGGGGACTCCCAAGCAAAGCGTGTGAATCAGATCAGATGAGACAGTTACTACAAGACAGGCCTAGTTCACACCAGCTAAGGGGGGGGGTGAGGAATCTGTGTGTGAGCTGTACCATTTCAGGGGAATGGGGGGGAACTCTCAAAGGATGGAATGCTCTTCAATACAGAAAAACAAATAAATCCTTGCAGCTGGGTATTATCAAGGAAAAAGGCAAGGCTATCCACCCTCCCTTCTTGCCAGTGGGACGTCATTTGCAAATAAGGTTACGCAGGGGTCATTCACAAATCCTGGGAGTCATGGAGGAAGAGGGCTAAAGGTCATGACCCTCAAGCCTAAAAAGATGTGTTATGATGTAAGCAGATGGGGAGAGGGGGGGATTAACAGTTATTTCTCTTTCTCCCCCCCCCTCCCAGTATGGATCCGTCCCAAGAGTGGGAAAACCAGCCCAAGGATTACTCTTCTGCAATAGACCGCAGCCACTGCTCCTCAGTATGGGCAAGTAGATCTAGGCATCCATGCATGGGCTGGGGAAATGATTGACCACGTGAGGTTGCAAATAACTCCCCTTAGGAGTCCGAAGTTCAACACTTGGGAGGGTCCCCAAATGCAAAGAAGGTGCCGACTGGCTGTCAACACAAGGCCCGACACTTTCACAAAGTTCGCTACCACCAAAGTGTGGGTGGGAGAATCTGGGTCACAGCTCACGGCCCATGCAAAGTCCCAGTGAGTTCCACTGGGCTTACTTGCAAGTAAGGATACATACAGGAGGCGAAGCAGGGACCTCAATAACCCACTGTAGCGGCCAAATAGTGAAAATATGGGTCATGTTCAAGGAGAAAGCCCCCCCCCCCCCATATAAATATCTCATTTTAATTTCTGTTCTAATGGTTTGGCCTTGTAAGCCGCTTTCAATGCATTGCTGGGAATGCACTGAAAGGGACTGGAGATTATTCAGGAGTAACCACCTCCAAAGCAGGGTGGGCTGGGGGATTTAGCCCAGAATGAAAGCAAGCGGAAGTTAAGGCCGCCTGCCTACTTTAGAAACCCACCTTAGAGACTTTTACTCACAAGCAAGCGTCATTGGCCTGGACCCTTACCCCCAACACCACATAGAGTAGAAGCAAGGCTTAATGGGGGGGGGAGCATATACAGAACTGCAACCTTTTCACACGTCACAAGCCACCTTGCCATCCACCGTCGGAAAGGTCACGTATATGGAACCGTAAGAGGCCAAGGAACAGGAAATTTTTCCGGGTCGCAATCTCCAAAGGGCTGGGAGAGGGGAAATGGAGTTAGAGACAGGGGTCATTACCCTAAGAAACAGCCCAAGCGAGACAGCTACACTGGGGCCGGCGCTTTCTCCCTACCCTAACCCCCCACAACCCCCAAATAGTAGAACATGCTTAAAAGGATTGCAGCTTTCTCTATTTTTTTTTAGGGGGGGAGGAGAACAGGTTTGAGCACACTTGTCGGAAAAGCAAAGAAAACTAACCACGCGCACCTATATGCACATTGCACCCATAAAAAAATAAGAGGGTGGCGAGTTGTTTCAGCAGAACTCCCGTCCCCAAAGCGAAAAAGCTGCACCCAGCGTTAGGTCTGCTCGAGAGTAACGAAAGGGAGTCAGACCCACCCGCTCCGGCTGGGGTCTTACTCGCGAGTAGGCAACAAGCCGGAGCGAGCAGTGTTTGAAACACTTTGCCCATGGGCAGGGCTGTCATTCCTTGGGAAGGTGAAACGCTGCAGGGAACCCGGAGGAGGGATCCACCCGGGATCCGACCGCGCAAGACGGCTCACCTGCGCTGAGCTCCGGCTCCTTGCCGGCCGGGCCCGGGCTCCCCTTCTGCTGCTGGTCCTCGTCCGCCGCCGCCGCTGCCCCTGCAGGAGCCACCTCGTCCGCCTTGATGACCATGGCCGGTCTCTCCGCCGCCTCCCTTTCCTCGCTGCCTCTGGCGAAGGCGCCGCCGCTGCTCCTGGCGCTGCTGCTGCTGCTGCGAAGGACGGAGAGAACCACTCGCAGCCCCACGTGGTGCGCGCTTCACCTCCGGCGGCCGCTCTCTCGCTCGCTCTCCCACCCTCTGCCCGAGTCAAACTCCGCCCGGCGACGGCGACGGTGCCCCGGCTGGGACAAAAAACGGGAAGGGGGCGGAAGAGGCGGGGCAGAAACGCCTTAAAGGGACAGCGGAGTCAGAGGGAAGGGGGAGGGCAAGGGGGGGGGAGGAGGAGGACAGAGAGAAAAGGAGAAGGAGGGGAGAAGAAGAAGATGGGAAGGAGTATAATGACCAAGCTGCAATTTAAATGGTTTTTTAAAAATAAGTTGTGTCTCTTTTCTTCCCAATTTGTATCCCCCCCCCCCGATTTCTTCATTGGAACTTCAAAAAGTACATCATTCTAGGTGCGCTAAACATGGCGAGGCGTAAATGAAAGAAACAGCACCCCGTTTAGAAGGGAAAGTAGAGGGGGGAGAGGGGAAACCCCCCCAAAGCTGTATACTTTACAAAGTTGTTATGGTACAGTACTTCACCAGATCTTAACCTATTACAGTATTTGTAAGAATGGATTCGTTGAATTTGTCCAGGGTGAATCTGCGTTTATAGTCACTTAGTTCCTATGTTGCGAGTTTGTATAAGTCTTCAATCACAGAAGGGAGCCGCATTTTTATTTTTCCAATTCACCTGTATCAGTCTTTTGGCCATGGTAAGGGCACTAAGAGTCCGTTCATATTGTCCTTTTGTAAGGTTCCATGTGCTGCACATATAATTCAAAATGATATTTTGCTCTGCAAATGTAAGGTTGTTCTGTACAGTTCTGTCACTGCAGGTGAATAGCCAGTGTGTTGCTATGCAAAGCCCCAAACAACTGGGGCCCAGTTTGCCTTAAGGACTGTCGTAGCACCTAGGTCACTGAAAGCATGGTCCAGAGGAATACTTTGCCATTTAAGAGGAATTCCAGAGGAATACTTTGCCTCTCCCATTTAAACAGGCCTCATTGGCTTCAGCTAGAAGTCAGGCATTTAGTGTTGCCCATCTCATGCAGTGGGATACTTTTCCCCCGCAGAGATTTGGCAGGCATCATTGCATTTGACATTCAGGTGTCTCTTGAAGACTTTCCCTCTGAAGACAGGCATTTTAATGATTATTCTGTATTCCTTCTGAAAGTCTTCTGTACGCTGCCCTGATGTTTTGTGAGAGGGAGGTATATAAATACCTTTATAAATAAATAAATAAATAAAGAGCAAGGAGCAATAAGAGGATGGTCCCTAGCAGCCACCTAACTAGACACTGACCTGTCAGCCCTAATTGCAGCAACATTATAGTTTTTTCATGTTGCTAAGACTGCAATCTGATGCACACTTACCTGAGAGCAGGGATGGGGTGGGGAGTTTGATTTTTGTTTGGGTTTTAATTAGAAACTACCTACCTAAAACCTCTTAAACCAATACACAAGCCGAGACATTGCTGTCCTTTGAAATCCACACTTCTCTGGATTTTGCAAGGCAGTCCTCCAACCAATAGGTGCAAAAATGTGTATATTTGGAGGGGTGCGTGCGTTAACACAACAGAAATTGCTTTCGAGTCAACTTGCGTGCCCAGTGAAACTGAACCCAGAAGTGAATCCTGAGTCAGCATCTTCTTCTGAACAGGTGTCCCATCACCTGTAGATGCCACATTCTCAGACTTGGGCTCAACGGTGACTAGGAGTGACTCACTCATGAGAGAAAGTACCTGTCACTCTTTTGGTTGTTTATGTAATACACCATTTATCCTGGCCACTTCATTAACAGCAGATCTTCACCCTGTTGAATATCTCTGGCTTTCCTTCATTCTCTCTGAAGCCAAGTGCTGCACTCATCTCTTCCAATGCTGCTTTATAATAACATGACCCACCCCCTCCAAAAACTTTCTATCAGTGGCGTGTGGTCGGTGGACTAGAGGGGCTAGGCTAGTCCCCTAAATGTCTCCTTGGTGCCTCCTTCCCAAAGTGTGGAAAGTTTCTGCTCAGCTTAGGAGGGAGGCATGATGCTCATGCGCCACACATGCCACATGTGCAACGTAGGCCCACCCATCGCCCTTGCACTGTTCCCCTGTGAAAAATTTCACTGCACACCACTGCATTTCGTCTTTACCCGTGTGTGTATATTTAGAGATATATAGATACAAGTCTCTTGCAGAAGATCTGTTTATTGAGCCTTCATCCTGCTTTGCTTGCATAAAGCTTACGTGGAGGTTAGAATATATCCACATTGGACTGACGTCGGTTCCGATTTGTTTGAGGGGAGGTAATACAACAGTGAGCACCCTAATTTTGCTTGCACACGGTATATATGTATTTGTGCTTTCCTTCTCCCCCACTCCTGACACTTTTAAGTGCATCTCCTTGCCACTTTCCAAACCGCAAAAAGAAAGAGTTTTTAACAAGTGGGTTTGTTGTACTGGGGCAACAAAGCAATTCAGTCCTCTGTAATTGTGGATTGCAGGGGATTAGATGACCCTGAGCTGTATACCCACTTGGGAGGCCAGATGCCAAACAGACAGGGCTCCTCTGACTTTAACAGTTGTGTAGATGGGGGAATCTCAGCAGGTGCAGCTTGTCATGCAAGGCACACCTGCTGAAATTCCCCTTTCAGTGCAAGTTTTAAAGGCGCAGCGCCCCTTGTCCTCTTTTGCATCCAATCAACCTGATGCCAACTTAGGATAGCATCCTGTGCTTCAGGTGAGGTGGCATTGGCCACAATGAACTGGGAAAGTAGTTAAGGTGCTAATGCTTATGTTCTAATATGTATTAGATTGGTGAGTGTGTGCGCGCACGTTTATGATGTCTGTAGGATTTATAATGCATGCATAGGAAACTTAACAGAGTAAACCTATCCATACCTACTCAGAGAGGTCTCCTTGTGGTCAGTGGGGCTTACTCCCAGGCAAGGGGGCAAAGCAGGAGAGGAAACCTCTTTTTCTGTTTAGGGCCTCATTCCTTTGGGGGCAATACATTGAGGGCTGCAGGCCAGTGGTGGGAAATTGGGGCCACTGCCTGTGTTAGTTAAATGGCACCAGCCCTAGACTAGTCAAGGGCTATTGCCGTTTCCCTTTTCTTTTGCCTCTGCACTCTCTCTCTCTTGTGCATGTGCCCGTTTTCTCTCTCTTTCCAGCACGCCCTTCCCCTATTTTTTCACCCTGCCATTCACATAAAGTTAGGCAAAGCTACATGACTCCCACTGGGGTGTAGGAACGGCATACCCGCCAACATTTCTCCGATGAAAATAGAGATGTCCCATAATGAAAATTTTACTATTTATACCCACCCCCCACATCTTACTGGGATGATCCAATCTGGACAGCTTCCAAAACACACACACACACACACACACACACACACACACACCCCATTTAAAAAAACCTTCTATATACAGGATTGCCTTCAGATGACTCAGGAGTTGGACAACTCTATACCCTCCAACATTTCTCCAGTGAAAATAGGGACATCCTAAGGAAAAATGGGACATTCCAGGATCAAATCAGAAACCGGGACGGATTCTGTAAATCAGGGAAAATAGGGACACTTGGAAGGTCTGGAATGGAGCTTGAAAGTAAGAGCCAATTCTCTGTCCCGCCCAACTAAAAATTGATCGTCACCATTTGCAAACTTCTATACTTCAGCGTGGAGTAGGGAGAGAAAGGTTTGAATTGGCTCCTGTTAGCTCTGCCCCCTTAACAATGGTTCGTTCTAGAAAGCAACCAGCACAGCTATCAAGTGATTTGTGCTATTGAAAGCTTCACCTGCTGGCTTCTGTGGTGCAAACACCTGTTAAGGTCTCTGTGATTGGCAGAGTTGGCAGATTCAGGGAGCTTCAACCTGATTCCTCCAAAAAAGCAAGGTAGTTTTTCTTACTCTCACACAGCTGGGGCTTCAAGCTCATTGGTCCTTGTTCAAGAGAGTACTCATGCTTATCGTATTAACACACTTGGCCCTATTGTCTCCCTAGAACCATATGACCTCTCATTAGGCATGGAGGAGAAATTAACTCCAGCTGGCATTTAAAGGGGAAACTGCCTAATTCACGTCCTGAAACAATATTTGAACTGAAACCACAGCCAAGCTTCGAAATTTGCAGTGCAATTATCCAGCCAAATAACGTGTTTTAGGGAAAATGCATATAGTTCTATGTGTGTGTCAAGTGTACATAAAATGCATACATTTGTGAAAATAACATGTGAAAAAACATGCTATTAGGCAAGAATTGCTTGCAGAAATGCGCACAACCTTAGGAGAGATTTGCACTAAAACACTGGCGAATTTTCACGAGGACTTAAAAAATTGCAAACTGATGCAGAGGTCATCATCATTGGGTACAGGCAACCCCGAATATCAGGGGCAATGGAAAGACCCTGTTCTGCCTCTGCCCTGCTCTTTGAGTGACGTCTTTCATGACATTTCCGGATTCAGCGATGTGCGTGTGTGCACAATCGCACACATATCAGTCACACCTAAAACAGGGGTTGCCTGTACTTGCAATGACCCACCAGGGAGCCCACATTTGCGATATATCGGTATATTGTGATGTTTAGCTGGCGAGATATCACAATGTTGAAAATCGGACATCGCCCTAATTTTGACCAGGGAAAAGGCTCGTGCCACTTCGACCCAGCCTCTGAAAACAGACGTAGCAGAATGCCTTTGGCCTGTCCCCTCGCCACTGAAGATCATCTCAACTGAGGATGCTATGAGACTTCTTCTGGGGTGGTGATGTTTATCCTGTGCTTGTTTCCAGGCCTGGCAGAGATGGTGCTGAGAGGGTCCGAATGTGGAGTGCTCCATCGCTTCCGGCAGAAGACGTCATGGATGAGTTTCCTTGCTTCCTTGCTTGCGAATGCAAGAGTGCCATTGTGCGTCCTGGGGGTGAGTCAGCGCAAGTGTGGCAGGCACCAGAGCGAGGAAGGGATATCCCTCTTCGCCACCCCCACCCTGAGACTCTGCACAGACAGGCTTAATCGTGGCAACACAGCAGGAGGATGGGTGAGAGATGGGCAAGAACAGGCACGTTCAGGAAGGAGACTCCACTGTTTAATCGAGCACAGTTCCTCTGAGTAGCAGATCAAGCAC